CCTATACCCTAAACTCTAAACCATAAACTTTATTTTTAAGCACTAATCCCTAAATCCTATATTTTAAATCCTAAATCCTAAAATCTGACCTTAAATTTAAATCTAAAACGAAAACCATAAATCATATGACACATCCTAACCTCCAAACATTTTATTGAACATCCGAGCATATCCATACTTTTATAACCACATGGATATATATGGTCAAGGTGTCCTTGAACTCAAGTCCAAATTGAATGTTTACTATGGATGGCTAATCATGGATTCAATATTTTGGTTTCCATCAGTCATCATCATGACATTGGCCGTTACTATATCACTCGTATCTGAAAAATATCCATGTGTATTTTTTTTAACTTTTTAATCTGAATTTTATATGATACGAATATTTACTCCAAGCAAATACAATATAGTTGAGAGATTATACTTTTCCTCTCCTTTTGTTTCATATACACAATAACACAAAAAATGTTCCATAAGCCAAAAGAAACAAGTAAAAAGCAAATCCATCAAAACTTGTACCATATCGTTTTTAAAAATATCAATCTCTTTCAAAATCGATAAAGAAAATAAGGAAAAATCCCAAACAAATAGGAAAGAAAAAAATAGCTACGAGGAAGGCGACTCTACGGAGGGAGAGCTCTCGAGATTTAGATCGGAGAGAAGAAAGAGAGTGGGGAGAAAAGGAATAAGAAGAAGAAGGGAGTTTAAAGGCTGCATCAAAAACAGAAACGGGAGATTAGGAAAACTAGAGGGAGCAAAGGAGAAGAGAGAGAGATTGGTTGCCAAAAAAAAATAAAAGATAAAAAGAATAAAGAGAGATTTAAGAAAAAGGGAAAGAAAAGAAAGGGATGGTGTAGTAATTTCATTAGGCAAAAGTATACTAGTAGCAAGAAGTAGGTGTAAGAGAGAATAGTTTGTGAAAAAGTGGGTGTGAGTGCTAATATCCCTTAATAAAATGTGATCTCAATATACTACAAGGCATTTCAAAATCTCTAAGATTAAAACAAGGTTGAAGTCTTAACTCGAAAAGTAATATCACAAAAGGTCCAAAAAATAACTCATAAAAATCCCATAAGATAAGTTTTGAAACGGATGCAAACTGAATGAAAGTTGCTGCAAACTAAAGCATAGCTTGTTCTGAAAATTGGGAAACAGAGTTAAAGTATTAAGCAGATTGCTGAGCAGAAAGTCTCTTCCTGGCTTCCTCAATGATGGTCAACTTAATACCTTTACCCTTTGGAAGAGACACCCATGGCTTTGTTCCTTTCCCGAGAGTGAACACATTTCCCAACCTTGTAGCAAACTCATGTCCTGTTGAGTCTTGAATGTGGATGGTTTCGAAGCTTCCCTTGTGCTTCTCACGGTTCTTAATCACACCAACACGCCCTCTGTTTCTTCCTCCAGTGACCATAACTACATTGCCCACATCAAACTTGATGAACTCCACAATCTTGTTTTCTTCAAGGTCGAGCTTGATGGTGTCGTTAGGCTTGATGAGCGGGTCGGGGTAACGGATTGTGCGACCATCGTATGTGTTCAAGTAAGGAATGCCCTTCTGACCAAACTGGATAGATCTCACCTTGCAAAGCTTGAACTGCACAACAACAAACGAGGATACTTGTTGGAACATATTACAAACCAGTCATCAACAAATAGATTTTATCAGACCTCCAATGTAAGACAAACCAGTAATCAACGAATAGATTTTATCAGACCTCCAATGTAAGACTAGAGCAATGAATACATACTTAACTTAGTTTAAAAGGATTCAGTATGTGGCAATGTAAGGGATTTAGGAGAACAAACCTTAGCTTCCTCATCCTTGATGGAGTGGAGACGGAAACGTCCCTTGGTGTCATATAAAAGACGGAAGTTTTCATTCGTCTTAGGAATAGACACAACATCTGCGAATAAGTATGCATCTTTCATTAGATCATTCATCAAAGAAGCAAAGACAACAGGGCATATACATCAAGCAACAAAAAATACCACAGCCAAAACTCACCCATGAAACCAGCAGGGTAAGTCTTGTCAGTCCTCACTTTCCCATCAACTTGAATATGCCTTTGCATCAAGATCGAAATCACTTCTCTGTAAGTCAGAGCATACTTCAACCTGTTCCTGATGATAAGAACAAGAGGTAAACACTCCCTAGACTTGTGTGGTCCAGAAGACGGCTTGGGGGCCTGGAACAGATATTACAATTATAAGACACCAAATCAAATGAAAACTAAGCTCTAATAAAATTCAATACAACACAAGTGACTTACAAAAGCACCACCAAGTTTGTCAAGCATCCAATGCTTAGGAGCATTGAGCCTCTTCAAATGCTTCTTCAAACCTCTTGCCTACAGAAAACATAACAAATATAAACATCAAAACACATTACAAAGAGATCTCAACAACGATAGTTTAAGAATCGTTACCGAACCCATTATTACAATTCGCACAAAGAGATTAACTTTACAAAACAAAGCTCAATCACTAAAAGTCCCACCATTCTCAAGACCTCAACTCAAAAGGATAATAACGCCTGTGATAATCGAATCCTATCTTTTGGGATCTCAACAACGCCAGTTTCAGAATCGTTACCAAACCCATTATTACAAATCGCACAAAGAGATTAACTTTACAAAACACTAACAAGAACTCGTGATTACTTCGAAATGCTATCAATCTAGTTAGACTGAGACAAACTATCCAACCAAAAAAGAATACATGACGCAGTTCACAAATGAATCTGAGACTTAGAGAGACAAAGATTACGAACCATTTTTGCAGCGAATGACTTCTGGTTCTTCCGCGGCTAAAGCAAGCCAGTCTTGTCTATTTCTTCTAGGGTTTGGAGGAGCGTAACACAAAACCCTAATCTAAAGATGTTTTGCCACACGTGTGACCGATGTTTTGCTTCTTTAGGCCCAGTGAAGGCCCAATAGGAGCCCATTTATTTTCACTCTTTTTATTATTTTTCCCTCTCAAGAAGATTAGAAGGGAAACAAATAATAAAACAAAAGGTCGTGAATGTCTCTGTCCCTCCTCAATTCTCACGCAAGCTCGGATTCTCGCCGCCGGTGAAGCCCCGCCGTAGTTAGAAGACGGAAACACAGAAGCGGATTTTGGAAAGAAGGAGATTATATTGATGTCTTGAAGCGGTTAGTGTGAGGAAAGAGGAGATTTTTATGTAGTTAGAATCTGTGAAGGAGACGATGTCGCTGAGGATTAAATTAGTGGTGGATAAGTTTGTGGAGGAGCTAAAACAAGCACTTGATGCTGATATACAAGATCGGATCATGAAGGAGAGAGAGATGCAGAGTTATATCGAAGAGCGTGAGCGTGAAGTCGCTGAGCGAGAAGCTGCCTGGAAAGCTGAGCTCTCTCGCCGTGAGGTACGTTTTCTTAAAAAAAATTTGATTTTTAGGGGTTTTGATAAATCTGTGAGGAGATGCTGATTTTTGTTTCTATAGACGGAGATCGCTAGACAAGAAGCGAGGTTGAAGATGGAGAGAGAGAATCTGGAGAAGGAGAAAAGCGTTCTCATGGGGACTGCGTCGAATCAAGATAATCAAGACGGTGCTCTTGAAATTACTGTGAGTGGTGAGAAGTATCGGTGTCTTAGATTCTCTAAGGCCAAGAAATGAGTTGTGGAGATTGGATTAGGGTTCATAACGTAGGGCACAAAAAGGGTAATGCTTTATGCTCCTTTCCATCTTGATATCTTGCGATTCGATAAGGAGAAGATTTGTTCTTCGTTTATGATGGATGTAATGGGAACTTGGGTTGTGTAAATTATTAAATTCAATGAAGAAGGTATTGTGTTTTCTTGAAAGGGAGTTTGTCTGGATCAGTTTAAGGTGCTTGCTTCCTTGCTCTGTTCAAACTTTTGTCGATTGCTGTGTTGTCATACTGATATGTAGGAATTGAGGTATTTTGTATATGGTCTTTCCGAATGATGGATGTAGTTTGGTGGGTTAGTATAGATGTTTGTAGGAAAGACAGTGGCAAAGGTTTTTCAGGTAGTTTTGTTTTAAGGTGCCAGCATCGTAAGTTGTGAAGAGAGCCAAAGATGTAAGGATGCATGAGTGAGTGTGAACACTGTGATTATTGGTGTTAGTATCATAATGAGATTATAATAGACAAATGTTTTGGGTTAGGGAGATAAAAGCACTTACGCTTAACTTGGTATGCTGAAAAACCAGCACCCAGTAGCAGGGTTAGGCCTAAGAGGTTTCAGAAATAGGGAAGAAGTAGAAGGTTGTGTCTTTAAGGTAAAATGTGATCTTGTTAGTGTTCAAGCTCATATCCATACATTTTTTTTTTTTTTTTTTTTTTTCATATCCATACATTTGAGCTAGGTTACAATAGTAATGACTGTCTTCCAGGCTTCCAGCTGGACCTGTTAGAATTGCTTGAAATGGAGAAATATGTCCAACATCAGTAGCTATCTAAAGGTAAGAGGAACCATATGCGTTCATTTACTTTGCACATCCTCTCTCTGAAGCGAATCTACAAAACAAACTTACGGGTATATCTATCCAATGCACTTATGCAAGCATCAGATCTTGTGATTGGCTTAAATTTAGATCAGTGACAAACGAACAAGTTGTTCACTTGGACTGATGAAACCAATTCATCCAGAACGACAACTCATGTCTCTGACCACCTCATGTCTTTGAAGCCCAAAGATGTTACCATAACTAGTTTCCAAACAAACTCCCTATGGCCTTTTTTAGCCACAAGCAGAAACAAACACTACAAAGTTTGGAACTTGGCTACAATTGAACAACGAGTCCCTTTAACTAAATACAAACCGAAACCGAAGCGTGTGGTGTTAATAAACACCCAATGGAAATCTTTGACCCATACCCGACCCGGTTCTAGATACTCATACACTCTTGTTCTCTCTTCATCGTCATCAATCATTTTCTGAAGATCACAAGCAAAGAAATGGAGAGCGATTCAGAGATGGTTCCGTTTCCTCAGTTACCGACGCCAATAGAAACCAGCTACAGGGCTTGCACCATTCCTTATAGATTCCCTTCTGATGATCCCAGTAAAGCAACTCCTACTGAAATCTCCTGGATCAACGTCTTCGCTAATTCCATCCCTTCTTTCAAGTAATCAAGTTACTTCTCTTCCCTCTGCTTCTCTCGTGCACCTATAGTTTCTAAGACCAGATTTTGATTCAGATTCTGTTAATGGGGATTGTTTATGTTCACGGGTCGGATCAAGTTTTGATTTTGTTACTAGATATTGATTCTCTTAGGCTCATATATCAATAAGCTCAGGAAATTTTTTAGTTCTTCAGCTTAATTTGACTACTGTCTTTGGTAGTGTTTTGTGTTGACTTTCCCACTTGGTTACATCACGAGGAAGCTATGGTAGTTTCTGGCTGGGATCTTGTAGACAACAGTTGCACATGATTCAACAAGAAAATTCCCATAATTTTAATGTTCTGAAGCTGTTTCATTTGTAGGAAACGTGCAGAGAGCGATACAACGGTTCCAGATGCTCCTGCTAAAGCTGAAAAATTTGCAGAAAGGTACATATTATGCATAATTGGTGGTTGTTCTCGAGGTTTTGGTGGGTATCACCTTCATAAACTAGAACGAATGGTGTGCCCTGTGGTTTGCGTTTTTTTCATACTTCCGAAGGGACTTTAAATTATATATTACTCAAGATAGTGTTTTAGCCTTTTGATTTGCTTTTAATATATTTAACCTTGAATCTTGAAGATATGCGGGAATTCTAGAAGACTTGAAGAAAGATCCAGAGAGCCATGGAGGACCACCAGATGGCATTGTAAGTCAAAAACACCACATGATATCTTTTCCTCTGGTGTAGTGAGTTTTGTTTTCAAGGATTGTTTTGGCTTATTTTCAGCTGTTATGCCGTCTTCGTGAGCAAGTACTCAGAGAATTAGGATTTAGGGACATATTCAAGAAAGTGAAGGTGTGAATTTCCTTTCAAGGGCTTTTCAGGTTTTCAGATAGTTAAGTACTAATTGTCTCTAATTACATAAGTTCACATCCAATGAATAGGATGAGGAGAATGCGAAGGCTATATCACTATTTCCTGAAGTCGTCAGTCTGAGTGATGCTATTGAAGATGACGGAAAACGGTTAGAGAATTTGGTGAGAGGGATATTTGCTGGAAACATCTTTGATCTCGGTTCTGCGCAGGTATCTTTCAATCGCCTCTCTTTGGTATCTACCACAGGAAGCATGTCTTAATTTATGGGATCTTTTCTTTTCCCGTCTTGAAGCTTGCCGAAGTTTTCTCAAAGGATGGTATGTCTTTCTTGGCTAGCTGTGAAAATTTGGTTCCACGACCATGGGTCATTGATGACTTGGAAACCTTCCAAAGGAAATGGATCAAAAAGTCTTGGAAGAAGGTAACTCATTTGGTTTTCTCTTCCTCTAATGCTTTGTTCAGACTTCAGTGGTTAACCGCTTGACCAAAAAAATTGTTTATCTTCGCTTTTTCATGACAGGCAGTGATTTTTGTTGATAATTCTGGTGCAGACATAATTTTGGGTATTTTACCGTTTGCAAGAGAGTTGCTCCGTCGAGGAACTCAGGTACCATTGACTATAACTGAGTCTTTTAATTTTTACTCTCTTGAGTACACTCTGAATTGTTCATCCTCTTTTATCTTTTCTCCTTGAAGGTGGTGCTTGCTGCAAATGAGCTGCCATCTATCAATGACATAACATATACCGAGCTTACAGAGATCTTGTCACAGGTAAATTAGGTGATGAATGAGTAATTCTTGATATTCACAGCTTTGAAAAGTGAATCTGAATATTTTGTCTTAATTTACCAGTTGAAGGATGAAAATGGCCAATTGATAGGCGTTGATACCTCGAAGCTTCTGATTGCAAATTCAGGGAACGACTTACCAGTAAGACATTAGAAGCTCCCTGAAAGATAAATGGTATTCATTGATTACTTACGTTTTTTCTCCCTCCCCAAATGTTTTTTCAGGTTATTGATCTCTCAAGAGTATCACAGGAGCTTGCTTACCTTTCATCTGATGCTGACTTAGTCATCGTAGAAGGCATGGTAAGTGTCATTTATATTGTGAAAGTGAAACTCAAGCTTACTATACAACTAGTCTTGGTTTTGTAAACTAACTTCTTGGCTGGTCTAATCAGGGTCGTGGAATTGAGACAAACCTTTATGCTCAGTTCAAGTGTGATTCTCTAAAGATTGGAATGGTAATAGCTAATTTCACTATTTCATGTTACTCTCTTTTGTTTTCATCGGATTAATAAAAAGAAATGTTGTGTTTATTACTTTATTTCTGACTTCACATGTTCCATCCTTTTGTTATGCAGGTGAAGCATCTTGAAGTAGCAGAGTTTCTTGGAGGACGGCTTTATGACTGTGTTATCAAATACAATGAAGTTCAGAGCTAACTATATTTCAGTAGTCTCCAGTCTCACTTCTCCCCTACTGTCATTTTTTACTGAATCGGGTACAAACTACAAAGAGTAATGATTTATGTTCCTTTCCATCTTGATATGGTAAGGTGTTTCTAGAACCGAAGGGAAGAAGTAAAAGATTGTGTTTGTTCGACAAACAAATTTGTTTTTAAGATAACTTTTGTATCATTTACACAAGTTTTATTAATCCAAATTTTTTCATAAAAGGTTTTTTAAAGTTAATTCACACGTAAAGTCCCTATGCTAACTAGTAACTAGTTTCTTCTAACTAGTAATTAAGGAATACAGTATGTTATATGTAAATGTATATAGTAAGTAATTTATACTACGTATACGTAGTTTTGTATGACAACATTATTATATGACTAGGAATTTAAAAGAAAAAGCTAGTGTAGAATGTGAAGAACATATTATGAGGTTTTGAGTTGAGATTTGAATAGAGTATAAAACAAATCCAGACGCCATCGTTTGCTTCAATCGTTATCGAAATCTGATACAATACAAAACCGGTCTAACACTCCAGCGGCATCATTGTCAACACAAGCAGCCCGCCAGACAATGATCTGAAGTTTAGACATAAGGGGTCTCCCTTCCATGACGTATGTCCGTTGGGAAAATAGCGAAAATCAACCCAAACTATGATACCCGGCAAATAATAATTTAAATTCGCAACCTGAACTATATGTTGAGATTTTGACTGATTTCATATAGTTTAGGTTAAGAATTTGATTTTTTTTTGTGAGTTTAGGTTGTTATTTACTAGGTATCATAGTTTGGGTATAAAAATAGTACTGCTGACAAATAGTTTGGGCTAATTTTCGCTATTTTTCCTAAGTCCGTTTTTATGATTTGTGCATGGCCGCATGGCGGCTGAGAGAGAGAGATTATTATTTGTGGGTCAATAACTAGACAGTAAAACCACCAACTTGTAGGAAATAGCAATAATATAGCTAGTGGTGTCTTGTTGTTGTCTTAGTTGTAAAATATGGACTCTCTATTTCTTTGGATGAAAAGTCTAACTAGGCATGCATCTGGATGATGCATACTGTCGTTTATTAGGGACAGTCTTTGTAATGTAGCTATAACATGAGTATATATATATATGAGTCATATAATACAAATCTTTGTTCATATCAATCATTTTTTCCTAGAAATATCACAAAATAGCAAAGATAGAAATGAAGAGCGTTATAGGGATGGTTCCGTTTCCTCAGTTACCAACACCGATAGAAACCAGCTACACGGCTTGCACCATTCCTTTTAGATTCCCTTGTGATGATCCAAGAAAAACAACTCCTACTGAACTCTCTTGGATCAACGTCTTCGCCAGTTCCATCCCTTCTTTCAAGTTACTATACTTACTTCACTTGCTTCTCTTTATAAATCTCCAATCCTCTCAATGTTTCTGAAGCTGTTTTTTTATTTGTAGGAAACGTGCAGAGAGGGATTCAACGGTTCCAGATGCTCCTGCTAGAGCTGAGAATTTTGCACAAAGGTATTCATATATTGTGCATTGTTGTTGGTCGTAATTGATTTGTCAAGATTTGTTTGTGTGTGTGGGAGATCTTTTACCAATGTGTCACCTTAGGATTATGGTGATTTATTCAACACTATTTCTTTACCTTTTAACACTCCACATCACTCTCTTGCCCATCATAACATTAACTCAAATATATTTATCTATACATTAGATTTGTTTAATAAAATTACAACATCTACCCTACTATAATTGTTACATTTTTTTCACTTTTTTGTATGCTTTAATTTTTCAGGAGGATTTATTGACTTTATTTTCCCATAATAATATGGCTTAGATACCATATTAAATTAGGGTTTATATGAGTTTTTAACTCAAAATTAATCGATAATAAGTCAGTTTATATAGAATATATATAAATTTTTTAAGTCTCATCATATAAATTTTTTCTCCCTGTATCCAAATTAAATAAAATGAGTTCTTATAAAATATTACTTTTAGTGTAACTCTATAAAATCATTGAGGTAAAATAATTGAGGAGGAAAAAACAAATCCATAAGTTGAACATCTAATCAGTATGCTCCACATATCCCAATCTATATAGTTACCCCAAAAAGAAATGTAAGTCACCAATAATTTATTTTGGCCCATCAAAACATGTCATGTCATGCACGAAACACTCGTGTCTTCCTTTTCACGGTGTTGAATTTTATAACACACTAGCTAATAATTTACTTACCATCTCACTGTTACTTGTTTTCAACAAACTATTGCAAGTAGTAGAGAACAAATGAAGTTTTCAGAAGGGCATTTGAATAATTGAATTATACATTATGCGAGATGGTGTTTTAGCCTTTTGATTTGCGTTTAATATGTTTAACCTTGTGTATTAAAGATTTGCGGGAATTCTTGAAGACTTGAAGAAAGATCCCGAGAGCCATGGAGGACCACCAGATGGCATTGTAAGTCAAAAAACACCACATGATTTATTTTCCTCTGGTGTAGTGAGTTTTGTTTTCAAGGATTGTTTTGGCTTATTTTTCTCTGATAGTGTAGTGAGTTTTGTTCTCATGTATGAATATTTTGGCTTATTATCAGCTGCTATGCCGCCTTCGTGAGGAAGTACTTAGAGAATCAGGATTTAGGGACATATTCAAGAAAGTGAAGGTGTGCATTTTTCTTTCAAGGACTCTTAGTTTTTGAGATAGTTAAGCACTAATGTTTCCATCACTAATCACTCAATGAATAGGATGAGGAGAATGCGAAGGCTATATCATTATTTCCTGAAGTTGTCAGTCTGAGTGATGCCATTGAAGATGAAGTAGAGCGGTTAGAGAATCTGGTGAGAGGGATATTTGCTGGAAACATCTTTGATCTCGGTTCTGTACAGGTATCTTTCAGTCTCCTCTCTTTTGTATTCTACCACAAGAAGCTTGTTTTAATATATGAGTTTATTTCTTTTCATATTTTTGAAGCTTGCTGAAGCTTACTCAAGGGATGGCATGTCTTTCTTGGCAAGCTGTAAGAAATTGGTTCCACGACCATGGGTCATTGATGACTTGGAAAACTTCCAAGAAAAATGGATCAAGAAGTCTTGGAAGAAGGTCTTTCATTTGTTTTGCTCTTTCTCTAATGCTTTGGTTCAGACTTCAGTGGTTAACCGTCTTGACAAAATTTATTGCTTATGTTCTTTTCTTTTTCTTGACAGGCAGTGATTTTTGTTGATAATGCTGGTGCAGACATAATTTTGGGTATTTTGCCGTTTGCAAGAGAGCTGCTGCGTCGAGGAACTCAGGTACCTTTGAGTATGCTTCAGTTTATATACTCTTGAGTGAGCTTGAGTCGTATACTCTGAATTGTTCACCCTCTTCATCTTTTACCCTTGAAGGTGGTGATTGCTGCTAATGAGCTGCCAGCTATCAACGACATAACTTATACCGAGCTTACAGAGATCTTGTCACAGGTGAATTAGATGATGAATGTGTTAATTCTTGATATTCACAGCTTTGATAAGTGAATCTGAATATTTTTTATTTTATTTTACCAGTTGAAGGATGAAAATGGCGAATTGATAGGCGTTGATACTTCGAAGCTTCTGATTGTTAATTCAGGAAATGACTTACCAGTAAGACATTTGAATCTCTCTGAAAGATAAAATATGGTTTTATTCATTGATTTCTTACATTTTTTTTTCTCCCTCCACAATTTTTCTTTTCAGGTTCTTGATCTATCAAGAGTATCTCAAGAGCTTGCTTACCTTGCAGCTGATGCAGACTTAGTCATCCTAGAAGGCATGGTAAGTCTCATTTATAGTGTGAGAGTGTAATGCAAGTTAATTTATATGTAACTAGTCTTGTTTTTGTTAGCTGACTTATTGGTTGTTCTAATCAGGGTCGTGGAATTGGAACAAACCTTTATGCTCAGTTCAAGTGTGATTCTCTCAAGATCGGAATGGTAGTACATATTTTTCACTATTTTTTGTTAATTACTCTCTGTTGTATTTTTGCTTATTTCTGATTTCTCATGTTCCATTCTTTTGTTACGCAGGTGAAGTATCTTGAAGTAGCAAAGTTTCTTGGAGGACGGCTTTATGACTGCGTCATCAAATACAATGAAGTTCAGAGCTAATTATATTTCAGTAAACCTTCAGATTAATATGATATGCTCCTTTCCATCTTGATTTGGTAATTGAGTAAGCAAAAGATTTGTTCTTTGTTTGTGAAGGATAAGTGGAAAGGGACTTGTTGACATTGTACTTGGATTGGATTGTCTTAATATGTCTATTGAATTTTAATGAAGAAAGTATATTTATATTCTGCAAACCGAGTTTTATGATCATTCATCGTGTTTAATTTCTTTACAATTTTTATTATTTTACGATTCTTGATCCCGACATGTAGAAGTTGAGGTATTTGGATCATCTATCAAAACATGTCATGTCATGTATATCTTATAATCCCAAAATATAAAAAGGATTGTGTGAAACATAGTAACATCCATATGCCTTTCTCCCTTTGGCTTGAATCTACAAAACAAAGTTTATCAATTAAAGCATTAGTTTTGTTACTGCAAAGTGCAAACAAACAAACGCACAAACACCACAAAGTTTGGAACTTGGTTGGCTACTATTTAAACCAACTACAATCCGAACGCTCACACATACGACATTTGTGACCCGTACCCGACCCGTTTCTATAGACACTCGTCCTTGGTCCTCGTGAATTGGGAGATGATTCCGTTTCCTCTATTACCGACGCCGATAGAAACAAGCTACAGGGCTTGCACCATTCCTTACAGATTCCCTCGTGATAATCCCAAGATTGCCACTCCTACTGAAATCTCCTGGATCAACGTCTTTGCTAATTCCATTCCCTCTTTCAAGTTACTTTTCTTACTCTTTGACACCTTTGGTTTCTCTTTACTTTGACCACATTAGATACTCTTTATGAATCATGGGTTCGGATAAAGCTTTGATTTTTGTCATCAAATTTGCTTCTTTTAGGCTCGTATAGTCCAATAGTTTGTGGGATCTCTTTCCTTTGACCACATTTAGAGACTGTTCATGAATCATGGGTCAGATAAAGCTTTGATTTTTGTTATCGAATTTGCTTCTTTTAGGCTCTTATTCCAATAGTTTGCTTGAATTCGACGCGTGTTGTTGATTTGTTGCGAATTCTTTCAAAAATTAGACACCTTTGAGCCATTCAGCTATTGTCGTGGCTAGCTGTTGCTTTTGACTCTACTGAGTTTTCATGGTGTTTTACTTAGTAACATCACGAGGTTGTTTATAGGGAAACAGTTGGGATCCTGATTTTAACAAGAATTTTTTTCCTTTGTTCTCCATGTTCTAAAACTGTATCATTGCAGGAAACGTGCAGAGAGCGATACGACTGTTCTAGATGCTCCTGCTACAGCTGAAATATTTGCAAAAAGGTAAGTCTTTTGTGTATGTATTGATTTGGTAATTCTCTAAGGGTTTGTTTGTTGGAAATTTTTTGGCAATGTCACCTTCATAAACTAGACGAGTTTTGTGTCCTGCGGTTTGCGTTTGATATGGCTTACTTTGAATCTGGAAGATATGCAGGAATTCTTGAAGACGGGAAGAAAGATCCAGTGGACTTGCGGAAGTTGAAGGAGTTGAAACGGGCTTTTTTTGGGCTTAAAAAGGAAAATAGTAAGAAGGAAGGCAAGAAAGAAGCGCACGTGGCAATCACGAAAGAGACAGCGAGAGATTGAGAGAAGTTGTTTTTATATTCCCCAAATCAATCGACAAAGAGACTCTATTTCTCTGTTATTCCCCTCCCCCTCCTCCAGATTCCAACCCAAGTCCACCCTCAAAATTGCTGCTTTTAGCTTGCGTTGGCGTTAGGAATTGTCAGAATGATAGCCCGGATCCTTGCCGCCTTGGCAGATTCCATGGAGATTCCTGCTGCTGCTGGTGAATCAGTGCTTGGTACCATCAAAATCGCTGTGATGCCAATTGCCAAGGTTTTTACCATGTGCTTCTTGGGTCTTCTCATGGCCTCCAAGTACGTTAACATTTTGCCTCCCTCTGGCCGTAAACTCTTGAACGGGGTAATTCTCCGCGCCTCTTCTCACTTTTTTTTTTTTTTTTTTTTCTTACTTTGTACAACCCATCTTTGAACTTGTTTTTTCCGGAAAAAAAAATAAAAAATGCAAACTTTGCTACTGTGGCATACAGTTGGTCTTCTCGCTTTTGCTTCCCTGCTTGATCTTTTCCCAGCTCGGACAAGCCGTCACTCTCCATAAAATGCTTCAGTGGTTTGTTTCCATCCATCTTAGTCCCTTGTATATGTCCTTCTTCTATACACCATAGCTCCATAATGGCATCTTCCTTTCGGCTGATCAGGTGGTTCATTCCCGTGAACGTCGTTCTTGGCACCATCTCAGGCTCGATAATCGGTTTCATTGTTGCTACCATCATTCGTCCGCCATACCCTTATTTCAAATTTACAATCATACAAATTGGAGTTGGTTAGACCCTTTTTCCTAACACACTTACCCTACCCTCGCTTTTCTGCTCTCACACTAGTTTCACTTTATGTGCCTCGTTTGTTTCAGGTAACATTGGCAATGTACCTCTTGTTTTACTAGCGGCCCTATGTAGGGATACCTCCAACCCTTTCGGTGACTCCGAAAAATGTAGCATTGATGGCACTGCTTATATATCCTTTGGTCAATGGGTACGCTTTCTCTCTCTTCAAACTACTTACTAGAATCATAACATTTGCTGCTCCACTTTATGTCTTTGCTGTCTCCTGACACAGTTTCTTCGCTTTCTGCTTTTTCCGTTTTTGATGAAGAGGATCTTGATGTATGAGAACAGTAGCCGCATTGACACTATTTTGTTTTGGATCCTTAGTTCGAATCTACTGTTTGTCATCAGTGTCTATGGATTTAAATATTGTTTCGGTTCCCTCATGTAGTTTCCCAGATGATTAATTCTGAGGAACATTAATTAACATAAGTTTGTACTTTTATGTCAGGTTGGTGCCATCATCCTCTACACATATGTGTACCAGATGTTTGCTCCTCCTCCAGAAGGGTTTGATGCTGAAGAAGAAAATCTTCCTTTGAAAAACCTGCCAGTAGATGCTGCTCCAGAGCAAGTCCCCTTGCTTACTCAGAATTTCCCCAAGGACATTTCGCCTGCTCAAGTTCGCCTGCCTGTACAGAGCACCGGACCTAGAGGAAGAACGGACTCAAGGAAAAGCAAGGTGGAAATGCAATTATGGATTTAATTCAATGGTTCAGGAGTATTTTATCTTATATAAAGTTGGTCCTTATGGATTTTTTTTTTCATTTTTTTTTTTCATATTTTGACCCGTGATGTAGATTACACAGATCTTTGTTTTCCTCTATGAGAAGTTGAAACTGAAGCAAATTGTCCAGCCTGCAATAGTTGCTTCGGTAAGTATTTCGGCTGTTCTGTTCCTGAATTATCTGTCAATCCGATGATCAAGACTCATAAGAGACCATGCGATTGCCTTTACCGTGTAGCTAAACTAGGCGTGTTTTTGATATTGTCAGATCCTTGCCATGATACTTGGTGCAATACCTTTCACAAAGAAGTTGATATTCACAAATGGTGCACCTTTTTTCTTCTTCACAGACAGCTGCATGATTCTTGGGTAAGCACTCTCTTTTTTTGTCTTCTGGCAAGCGGCTGGGTATAAATGAGTTAACAACCGTAAAACCTTTGGCTATCAGGGACGCAATGATACCGTGTATCTTACTGGCGTTGGGGGGAAATCTCATTAACGGTAGGGTTGTGTGGTTGCTCTCTTTACATACTGTCTTTGTTTTTAGCCTCATCCATCATATGGAAATTATTGAGCCCTTGCGAAATTTTTAGGACCCGGAAGTTCAAAACTTGGTTTCAAGACAACAGCGGCTATTATATTTGGACGGTTGGTGTTGGTGCCACCAGTAGGACTAGGAATAGTGACACTAGCAGACAAACTTGGGTTCCTTCCTGCTGAGGACAAGATGTTCCGATTTGTGTTACTCCTTCAACACACAATGCCTACATCAGTTCTCTCAGGAGCTGTTGCCAACCTTAGAGGCTGTGGAAGGGAGTCAGCTGCTGTGCTCTTCTGGGTTCACATTTTTGCCATCTTCTCAATGGCTGGATGGATGGTACTGTACATCAACATACTCTTCTGAATTCTTTTGGTGTAAATACAGGGCATCTCATATGTGCCTGTATCAATCCAAAGTTATTTTATTTATTTTCTGTGTAAATGTGAGTTTAACTCTTATTAACTGATGGACACTCGCTTTTTCCTCTGGATATATCAAATAAAATTATTTACAACACAGGCCACACAACACAACTTTGGTTAAACTTCAATTAAACTAACATGTGGAAACAGTACAAGTCAATAAACAGCAAATAAAACTGCAATCTTCTTTTACGTCTGTAAATAAAGTACAGATTCTGGAGGTACAACAGGAATGGCCTAATGGGAATCATTCAGAAATTGGAACAAATCTTTATGCTCAGTTCAAGTGTGATTCTCTCAAGATCGGAATGGTAGTATATATTTTTCACTATTTCTTGTTAATTACTCTCTGTTGTATTTTTGTTTATTTCTGATTTCTCATGTTCCATTCTTTTGTTATGCAGGTGAAGTATCTTGAAGTAGCAAAGTTTCTTGGAGGACGGCTTTATGACTGCGTCATCAAATACAATGAAGTTCAGAGCTAATTATATTTCAGTAAACCTTTAGAATAATATGATTTGGTAATTGAGTAAGCAAAAGATTTGTTCTATGTTTGTGAAGGATATAAGTGGAAAGGGACTTGTTGACATTGTATTTGGATTGGATTGTCTTAATATGTCTATTGAATTTTAGTGAATTGAAAGTGTCTTAATATGTCTATTGATCATTCATCGTGTTTAATTTCTTTACAATTTTTATTATTTTACGATTCTTGATCCCGACATGTAGAAGTTGAGGTATTTGGATCATCCATCAAAACATGTCATGCATGTATATCATATCAAAGCATTTGTATATCTTATAATCCCAAAATATAAAAAGGATTGTGTGAAACATAGGTAAGATCCATATGCCTTTCTCCCTTTGGCTTGAATCTACAAAACAAAGTTTATCAATTAAAGCATTAGTTTTGTTACTGCAAAGTGCAAACAAACAAACGCACAAACAAAGTTTGGAACTTGGTTGGCTACTATTTAAACCAAATACAATCCGAACGCTGACACATACGACATTTGTGACCCGTACCCGACCCGTTTCTATAGACACTCGTCCTTGGTCCTCGTGAATTGGGAGATGATTCCGTTCCCTCTATTACCGACGCCGATAGAAACAAGCTACAGGGCTTGCACCATTCCTTACAGATTCCCTCGTGATAATCCCAAGATTGCCACTCCTACTGAAATCTCCTGGATCAACGTCTTCGCCAATTCCATCCCTTCTTTCAAGTTCCTCCTCTTTACTTTGACCAACATTTAGATACTGTTCATGGGTCGGATAAAGCTTTGATTTTTATCATCAATTTTGCTTGTATTCCAATAGTTTGCTTGAATTGGACGTGTGTTGTTGATTTATTGCGAATTCTTTCAGAAATTAGAAAACTTTGAACCCGTCAGCTATTATCGTGGGTAGCTGTTGCTTTTGATTTTCCTGTGTTTTCATCCTGATTTTAAAAAGATTTTTTTTTTTTTTTCATAATTCTCCATGTTCTAAAGCTATTTCATTTGCAGGAAACGTGCAGAGAGTGATACCACTGTTCCAGATGCTCCTGCTAGAGCTGAAATATTTGCAAAAAGGTATATCTTTTGTGTATGTATTTGGTCATTCTCAAGGGTTTGGTTTGTTGGAAATGTTTTGACACAAAAGTAGACGAGTTTAATATGTCTTACTTTGAATCTGGAAGATATGCGGGAATTCTTGAAGACTGGAAGAAAGATCCAGAGAGCAATGGTGGACCACCTGATGGCATTGTAAGTCAAAACACCCCATGATATGTTTTCCTCTGGTGTAGTGAGTTTTGTTTTCATGGATTGTTTTGGCTTGTTTTCAGATCCTCGGCAGAGTTCGTGAGCATTTACTTAGAGAGTTAGGATTTATGGACATATTCAAGAAAGTCAAGGTTTGAATTTTCTTCAAGGACTCGTGAGGTTTCAGATACTCTTTCTCTCTGTGACTAGATGAGTTCACATTCATTGATGAAACTGAAATAGGATGAGGAAAATGCAAAGGCTATATCACTATTTCCTGAAGTTGTCAGCCTGAGTGATGCTATTGAAGATGATACAGAACGGTTAGAGAATTTGGTGAGAGGGATATTTGCTGGAAACATCTTTGATCTGGGTTCTGCACAGGTAATTCTATTACTTGAACATCGTCGGTTTCTTCAGTTGCCTCTCTTTGGTATCTTCCACAGGAAGCTTGTCCTAATTACGGGTTCTTTTCTTTTCGCATCTTGAAGCTTGCTGAGGTTTTTTCAAGGGATGGCATATCTTTCTTGGCTAGCTGTCAAAACTTGGTTCCACGACCATGGGTCATTGATGACTTGGACAACTTCCAAACTAAATGGATCAAGAGGCCTTGGAAGAAGGTCACTCGTTTGTTTTGTTCTTTGTCTAATGCTTTGTTCAGACTTCAGAGGTCAACCAAATTCATTGTTTATATTTTCGTTCTCATGACAGGCAGTGATTTTTGTTGATAATTCTGGTGCAGACATAATTTTGGGCATTTTGCCGTTTGCAAGAGAGTTGCTCCGTCGAGGAACTCAGGTAGGTACTTTTGACAATGGCTGAGTCTTTTTTTCACAATCTCCTGAGTGGTGCAGAGTATATAAGTTGTTCTCTCTCTTAATCTTTCCCCATGAAGGTGGTGCTAGCTGCTAACGAGCTACCAGCTATCAACGATGTAACATATACAGAGCTTACAGATATCGTGTCGCAGGTGATGAATGAAGTAATTCTTGTTATTAACTAAATCCAAGAAAAGTGAATCTGATTTATTAGCCTTAATTTACCAGTTGAAGGATGAAAATGGCCAATTGTTAGGTGTTGATACTTCAAAGCTTCTGATTGCAAATTCAGGGAACGACTTAGCGGTAAGACACATTAGAAGCTCGCAGAGAGAAAAATGGGTTTGTTCATTACGTTTTTACGTTTTTTTCTCACTCCCCAATTTTTTTTTCCAGGTTATTGATCTCTCAAGAGTATCACAGGAGCTTGCTTACCTTTCATCTGATGCAGACTTGGTCATCCTAGAAGGCATGGTAAGGCCCTTATAGTGAACGGCAATTTAACTAGTCTTTGCTTTGTTAACTAAGAAAGTAGCCGCTCTATTCAGGGCCGTGGAATCGAGACAAACCTTTATGCTCAGTTCAAGTGTGATTCTCTCAATATCGGCATGGTAGTGTACTTTCTTCTCTTAGTCATAATTCTCTCTTTCTTTCTTCGTCGAATTCAATGAAAAGAAATGTTCTGCATTTAAATGCTTCTTTCTGACTTGTCATGAACATTCTTTTGTTATGCAGGTGAAGCATATTGAAGTAGCACAGTTTCTCGGAGGACGACTTTACGACTGTGTCTTTAAATACAACGAAGTTCAGAGTTGATTATATTTCAATAATCTTCACTCTTGACTTCTCCCCAACTACAATTTTGTACTGAATCATCCATTCAATATAAATTCCAAATAAAACCAAAACAAAAAGACTTGCATTTCACTCAATAGGACTGCTAAAATAAAGGAAGCGGGATCAAACTGGGAGTAGAAACACAGTGACAATATTGACCTATTTGAATCTTCTTGCACAGATCTTCCCTCTCAATATAGATGCAAGCCGCATCATATTGACTGCCGCCACAACACATGAAAAGAGTCTTATCGTGGATGAAGTAACTAATGAGATTTACCTTCCAACAGAGAATTGGCACTTGAGTTGTTGGCAAAGTCATCAACTTTATCCACACTACTTCCTTTTCTTCTCTATCAATATTTTTCTTGGTTACCCAAATATCAATCTTCAAATTTTTACAACATTGCTTTAACAAGGAAAAACGATCTCCCTCGTAAACCGCGAGGATAGACATATCGTAAAAATGGTTCTCCCGAGTCGGAAGGATACAAAAAGGTTTGAAAATCTCCATCGAGAAATCAAAGCTTCGAATGAATAACTCATCACTAGTATAACAAATCCAGTAGAGGTTTCCATTTAAGGAAACGTTTCGTCGTCCAGCTGTTTCAGATGTATCAATAATTCTGAACACGTGAGATGCACAATCATAGATGGCAACTCTCGGCTGGTGATCATCTTGGTCTTGGTCTTTCCAAGAAAAATATCCCAAGACCTTGTAAACCATTTGGGGTCTACTACTATCGTATCCAAAGCCGGAAATACAAAATACTTTATCCTCGTAGTACTCTTCGTACTCGATAAATTTGACCTGACTCAGCCACGGATTCCACAGCGCTGTCCCATTCTGATTCCAAAACTCATACTTACAAAACAGGAACCCATCACATGTAGTGGTGTTCGTGTAATTCATTGTATCCTTGTATGGAACAATATTATCAGTATCAGAGGAGGCAGGTAGCTCACGCAAGTTTATCGTTGGTTCGATGATATTGTGATTGATGATGTCTACTGAAAAAGTCTCGCATCTATGGTTCTGGAAGATGAACTGAGGACGTGAGCGAGACAAGTGCTTGGTTAGGAAAAACTTGTCGTTGAAAAGAGAGTTCCATCGTTTACATACGGTTTTGAGTCGAACAAGATAATGAGGTTGGAGACGTGAGAGTATTTCTTCCTCCAACTCCCATGGAAGCTTTGACGGCTTCAACGGCTGCTCTTCGATCACTCGAGCTGGTCGACACAAGCACTGCCTCATGTTTAACTTGCAACCCTCGAGCTACTTTGCATCAACTCCGGCGGAGCTATATAATATAGTTAGGTCTTTTGCTTTCAATTTTGTTACTAAATCCAAATCTGATCTCTAACGATAGATTAGGAGAGGATAAACATTATTTCAGATTTTCACAAAGTTGTTAATATTTACACTGTCAAAATCTTTTCAATATATAAATACATATATGTATTTATGGCGTAGTCACTTGAGTCTTCAATTATAGAATAAGATTAGTCGACCTAGCTTGTCATGAATTAGTTACTTACTTGACATGCTTTATGTATCAGATTTTATATATGTAAGTAAATATGAAAACTATAACATTAATCAAATCTTTTAATCAAACTAAAATATTCAAAAAATTCAAAATATATTTGTATAAGGGCTTTTCGGGTCGGGTCGGCCCGAGCCCGACCGGGCTAAGCCCAAAAAACCCTTTAGCCCGAATGGGCTTAGCCCAAAAGGCCCGGTTTTTTCTGGACATATATATTTAAGCCCGATCCCGATGTTTTTCAGGGCCGGGCCAAACTAGCCCGCGGGCTTTAGCCCTAATTGACATGCCTATATGTAACTGAGTAACCAGTTCTTGGTTTGGTTATCAAATGGTTGCATCGCTTTTAGTTTCTATAACAACAAAAAACAAAGTTAAGATTCGAAATATCGAATGTCAATGCATAATTAGAAAATTGATGATTCCCTTAATTTGTTTTTTAACGTTAAAAGATAAGCATTTTTTGTTTTTAAATTTATTAATTATTACAAATTATGAGAATTGTTACAACGATTTTACCATAGACAAGTCTAGCCAACTCTATTAGATTTTCGCGATTGACAACACTTCCATACTACATAACTCTTCTCATTTGATACCTAAAATCACAATCTTCTATGAACTTGTATCAATTAATCTGCGTAATTATTAATACATCGTATTATCTGGAACGCGAACTTCAAAATTTTCTGGTGTATAAACACACTTAACCCTTGGACAAGTATTCGGCCAAAGAGGTTTCCACTAGTCTTTTTAATTTAAATGTGTGTTTTTTTGTTCTTTTATTTTTTAATATAATTTTTTGTTGCCTATGTATATGTTAAGTCTCACAATGACTCTAGTTTAGGATTCACATCATTGGATGTTGGATGAATTATTTATAATTGTTAATCACTTTTAATACTTCTAATTATCGCCGGTTAACAGAACAAACAAAAACCTTAAACCTTCCAAAATGATTTTAAGTTTTTAATAACACACAAAGAAAAAAAACAAATGACAAGAAAAAGAGATGATAAAAGTTGACTTGCAGTTCACTCAATCTAATTTCTAAGTAAAGGAAGCGATATAAAATTGGGAGTGTAAACACAGTGAGAACACTTATCAGAACCTATTTGAAACTCCTTGCACAGATCTTTCCTCACAATATAGATGCAAGCAACTTTACTTCCACATCCGCCACAACACATGAATATGGTCTTGTCAAAGACCAAGTAACTAATGCAATCAGACATAAAAAAGACCCTTGATGGCAAGTTATCTGTTGGCAAAGTCATCAAGTGTATCCACACCACTTCCTCTTCACATCTCTCGATATTTTTCTTCGTTACCAAAATCTCAATATTCCTAGTTTTGTAGCATCCCTTTAACAAGGAAAACCGATCTCGCTTATAAACCGCGAGGATAAGCTGATCGCTTATATCTTTCCGTAGACATGGACGGAGACAAAAAGGCTTGAAAACTTCCCTAGAGAAATCAAAGCTTAAGATAAAGTACTCATAAGGAGTCTGGTGATTATAACTAACCCAATAGAGATTCCCATTCAAGAACACACTTCGTCGCGTAACTGTGTGAGCTATGGACAAGTCCTCGTCAGGTATATCTAGAAACTTGAACGTGTTAGTTGCACAGTAGTATATCGCAACTCTCTCCTGGTAACCTCTCTGGACATTATTGCGACAACGAAACACGCCTAACATCTTGTAAACCTTTTCACGACTAGTATTATCGTATCCGAAGCCGGACACTAAGAATGGTTCGAACTCGATCCTTATAACTTGTCTCAACCACGGATTCCAGAGCGCTGTCTCCTTGTTCCAGTAATTACACATAGGAATCAGGAACTCATCACACGTGGCGACTGTGTAATCCATTTTTTCATCGTACGGAAGATCAGAGGAAGGTAGCTCCCGTAACTCTATCCTTGGATCGATGCTGTTAGGACCGACCATGTCTATCGAATAAGTTTTGGTATTGGTATGGAAGATGAAGTGGGGACGTGAGTGAGACAAGTGGTTGGTTAGGAATAACTTGTCGTTGGAAAGAGCGTTCCATCGTTTACATACGGTTTTGAATCGAAGGAGAGAGTGAGGTGGGAGACGTGAGAGTATTTCTTCTTCCAACTCCCATGGAAGCTTCACCCGCGGCTGCTGCTCGATCACCCGACCTTGTAGACACAAGCACTGTCCCATGCTACCAACACTGCTGGCGTCGGAGCCGTAGTTAGGTCTTTTGCTTATGATTTTTTTGTCTACTTATATAGTTGTAGCTAGCTCTGACGTAAATATAATTAGGACTGGATAATATAGGAGATTAGATCATATCTATATACTAGTAATCAACCCGTGCTACGCACGGGTTTAGTTTAATTTTTCTTTTGGATTTAGTTATTTTCGTTGAAGTAGTAAACTCATACTATCATTTATAATAATTTATTAATAATATATATAAGTTTTTGATCATGATTATAAAACGTAAATTTGAATAAGAAAATGTATAACATCATGATTAGTTATTGGGTTACAAATTGTATTTATCGTTAGAGTAATTGTGTTCTACAAATAGGACATGTTGTTATGCATCGTTACTGGTTGGTAATGCATTCATGGTAAAATTTATGGTTGCATAGTATATAAGTCAAAAACGAACATAGGATCATCGTTATGGCCATTATTTGCTAATATCACGTCGAGAGCAGCACCTTCTTGGTCACAGTCATGAAATGAGAGATCTTTTTCCGGCCCCGAAAATTTATTATTGATGTTTTTTCCTCTTTAGATATTCAAACATACTGAGCATTCACCATCTGCTTCGTTTGTGACTTGCGTTGCTCAATTTTTAGGTCTCCTATTACCAATTTTACATCCACTCTTGTTGACGCATTTGGGTTGTTGAGATAAGCTTCAATTGTTTTTTTTGGGCTGCTTTAACTAATTGAATAGCTGAGTGCCTAAAAGCAGTCAAATTATCGATTAAATTAAATACCTGATGTTTGTATACAAACTTTTATTTTAATGTTTTGTTTGTATTTTACTTGTTTTCTTTTTTACTTTTTTTTTGTTGTTTTTTTCTTCATTTTTTAATGTTTTCTAATAGTTTTTTGGTTTTATTATTTTGAAATGATGGTAGAATTAAATACTCATTGCAATATTTTATTTATTCTTAATTAATAATATTTGTTATATTCATTTGTATAATATTGTAAAGCTTATACAATTAGTATTCTACAATTTGGAAATGTTGTTTTGTGATGTAACCATGTTACAATACAGTCATGGTGAAATTTGTGATTGCAAAATAGAGTGTTAATATTTTCTGGTCCTTGTAGATCTTCAAGACATATAGCGCATTTACTATCTTCTTCTTCGGTAGCTTTCCTTTGTGTAATTTCTAGATCTTGAATTACCACTTCTACATCAAGTCTTCTTGAAGCATTTGGATTGTGATCTTCGATTTCGAAGTAGACGTTGAGCGATTGATGGTTGTCCCCTCCAAATGAGAGAATAACATCTTGTATAAAATTTATCAAGTTAGTAACTAACATACCTGAGACTGTTTCGTCGATTTCATGAAAAGTGAGATAGAAATCGACAATATTTCTGAATTGTGTGTTATTTGGCAGTAGTAGATGGTCGTTGGAAATTGGGATTGTGTAGCTGATGTTGCTTTCTTGTCGATGTGGTCTATCAATTTTGAGTAATAGCTGGCTGGTTGGTTGTATTGCTGTTATAATTGCTTCGTATAACAATGCATAGAGTATGTTATCCATTTGGTTTTTGTAGATGATATTTGTTTTTGTTTTTGGCTGTTTTTTTGTTTGTTATTTTTATGATGTGTTTGATATTCCTATTTATAGTGGAGTGTGGTTATTTGATATTGTTATTATATTTCATTAATTGTCATTATTCCTCGTTTTTTTTTTACCGTTAGTCTTTTTGGTTGTTATATGTATTCAATGTGATTATTATTGTGTAATTAATTTGGTGTTTTAATTACTGTATATAAATTCATTTGACTTTTTATGCTTGTGTGTTTTTGTCCATACCAATTATATAGTCACAGATTAGGTACCGTGTCACTTTCGTGGTAAACAAAAATCATGATTAATGGTCATTGTTCTTGTTGTCATTTCAGAACAAAACAACAGTACCTTAACATATTTGATAACAATGATCATATTGCGAGCAGTGCATTAGACAATAACAGAGAGAGAGACTTTTGTCACTTCTCAATTTTTTTTTATATTAGCTTACCTATTAGTTTTTACTGTTAATTTTAAAATACTACTATATTTGTTTTTCTTTTCTATTTTTGATTGTGTATTGAATGTATTTAATTTGGGCATTATTATTGTTGGTCCTAAATCATTGTCTACGATTTAAAATTTAATAATAAAATATGAATTAAATGTGGAGATACATTGTAACTTCTATATATCTCCTCCACTATGTTGATTTTCAAATAAGACCAAAAAAGTTTGTCTGAAATTTGCTAACTTTCACATGATTTTTAGAAAGCAAAGTATAAGATCGAGCCAGAGAGTAGAAGAATAAGAGGAAGGATTGATAAGAGAAAGATAAGGAATTTTATAAACCATGGGAGGTTATGTGTTGGGTTCGGCCAGATCGGGGCAGATGATAATGGTGGCTCTGGTTCCAATGGTTGGATCATTCTACGCCGGCTCTATCAACCTTTTTCTTCTTCCAATTCACTGGCATGTACAAATTATATAATGTGAAGGTTGAGTATGAAAATAATATGAGTATAAGGATACTTCGGCTGTTGCCCATATCTAAAAGGATACTTTAATGTATGATAACTCCTTCTATTGACTCTTATCTCTTTTGGGGGACACTTGCTATTGATGCCCAAGCCAAGCTTTCAACCTTAAAAGGCGAACTCTTTTTGTGAAACAATCAAATTAGCTTAGAGTGAACCTGCCACATGTTTAATGCTGGTTAATCATATTCTGAATCAGATGAGATGATTTGTTTGTTGCGTCCTTTACCATGTCGGGTGCTTGTAACTTTTGGAATAACTGTTTTGGACGATTCCCTATCACCCAAAAGAGACATATTTGGGCAGTTCAAATTTATAACCTTTATTCTTATTATTTAAGATTAAGTTATTAGTTTAACTAAGAAATTAACCTGGTGGTGTTTCCTCTGTTCGGCATTATAGAGGACAATCCATCTTCAGCTACGTGACTCCTGTTATGTGAAGTAAAAATTAGAGACAAAAAGTATATGACGTATTACTGCTACAAAATCCAAAGCACCTGCTAGCTCCTTGTTTCCTCGTTAGTCTTCCAGGAATTCTAGAGTACCACACCAACAGAAATTGTCTATAGAAGATATAGGTTTTTGTAAATATGTAATCATAATAACCTGGAACAATATAATATTATTTCTGTTTTTCTTAAAAAATGTAAGTGTTTTTAAAACCTGTGGCGGAAAGTCTTCGTCTTCTTTAACTTCTTCTCCTTCTTCTTGTTCGGGTAAGGTTGTATCATCTTCATTATCTTTAGTGGTGCCTTTAACTATGGAAACTGTTTTTTGGTTATATGACCTGTGAGAGAAGACGCAGAAAATTATTAAAACCAATGACAAAACTCTTTTTGTGAAACAATCAAATTAGCTTAGAGTGAACCTGTCACATGTTTGATATATGGTAAGACCATCTAGATATTTCCTGGAAGGTAAAAACGTGGTTGAGGGTTTTAAAACTTTATAGAAGAATATAACATGATATTTGAAGCCAATTAGAAAATACCTATTAGGGCGTCGTTCCCTCAAAGGTCTTGCAGAGGTAGTGGAGGGCTGAACCTCAGTTTTGAGTTTTGTGTTACCACCATCAGAATTCACCTATTAAAGATGGCAAGTTTAAAACTCTAAAATGAGTAGTATCTCACTGAAAGCTGTAAAATAGGAATTTGCTTACATGTGTATTGTGTTCATTTAAAGATAATTTGGTTTCTTCTTCATCCTCTTTGTTTTCTTCTTCGTCCTCTTTGTTTTGAACAGAATCAGGTTCTGATTCAGATGAAACAAATATTGATTTTCTGACACATAAACACCCGGATTGTTTTAAACCATAACCTATAACAATATGCTTTTACGTTGAATTTCTTAGGGATTACCTTGTGCAGTTTTCTTTCTTCGAAGTTGCTATAGGCAAATCAGTCGTGCCTTTCGTAGACCTGGAAAGTGAAGATGAAATCAATATTAGAACTTAGAAGACGCATTAGACATGTTAACGGAAGATAATTTATAATTACCTCCTACAACGACGTTTCTTAGTAGGGAGCACAACTTCAGTGGTGAGTCTTTGGTAACTCCCATCAGTATTCACCTATTTAAGTTGGCACGTTAAGAACCATGAATAAGTAATAAGTTCCTCAAAACCATGCAAATATGCAAGTCCATTCAAATATGCAAGTCCTTAAATGTGTTTTGGGTTCATCAGGTGAGACCATTATTGCTGCTTTGCTTCCCTTAACCCCTTTTTTTCTAATAGCATCATGACCAGCTTCTTTGTTGTATTTCCTGTCAGTGGAGAATGAAAATACATAAAAAACACTAATTACCTAACCAGAACTCACCATTTTTGTTGTCTAAGAAGTTACCTTTTGCTGATTTGTATCTTCCGCGTTGTCGAAGGCAAATCATCATTGACTTTCTTAGAACGGCCTTTCTTGTTTGATTTCCTTCCAGATAAAGTAGAGGGCTCGCCTTGAGACTGAAGCTTCGGAATTTCACCACTTTTAGTTAGCTAAATCAACAATCATTAATTTATAAAATATAAGTGTCACCCTAGGGGGAAATGTACTATTGACTTTAAAATTGGTTGAAATTTAAACTGGTAATTAGTACACAGAAAAGGTATTACATCTAAGGGAGTGGTCACTTGTTCATCTTTGATGGATGTGACGGTGAACGTCTGGTATGTAGCAGTGAAATTGTAGGAGGATACTTTCACATTGAAATAGAAAGTCTTCCCTATTAATTCATTGATGGCATTAGGCACATCTTTTGCCGACTCATCAGAAGTCATTTGCGATTGATAAATTAAAGTTGGTATGTAATAGCATTTAAACAGTCCAAAAAATACAGGGTGGGGAATTTGAACTTTACGAAACTAATAAGTACCTTGTCTTCAGCCAGGTCAGAGGCTGTCCTCTTAAATAATTTTTGGCCTTCTTGATCGAGAATTACAAAAATTGTTGTGTTATGGCCATCGTCCACAATAATTTGAATCTGATACCTAGATGGGAACTTGTTAATGCACATAAATTATTAAAGAAGAAAATACAAATGAAAAGTTACAAACCGAAGTAATCCAACAGCTTGGTTTGGAGGGCAAGTGAGACAAGATATGTTGCAGCCACTTGTGTTCATTTTAAGATTGCAGCCTGTGCATGAAATGTAAATCCACCCATTGCGTAGTACAATATCAACCACCTTAACTTTACACCAAAAACTCTTTTCTTACAAAGTAATGAAGACACTGATTAAAAGAACCAATCCATATAATTAAAGCATACTATCTTTTTAATTTTACCTGCCCTCCTTGTCTTCAATCATATACAAAGCATCTGGGTCAAAATCCCTTCTTCCGTCTACAATTGATGGCACAATACTTTCCTTGAAATGGTTGTTGAAATTATAAAATATCGATCTTCTTAAATTTTCATAACTTGGTTTTTTTTTATATGAACACGTTAGCTAGGGGGAACTGGGGTAGAATAACAAATATATAGTAATGAAAATATGACTAACCTTTTACAGAAATTCAGAGCAACAGTATTGTGGGGGTTAAATAAAATCTGGCTTGAGGATGTACCATTCAAATACAAGTAGCCTGATTGCATAAAACATACTATAAATACACATTCTTGAAAAAATAGAGATCAACTTATACCAAAGACGTTGAGAGGGAGGATCACTTAACGGCCAACTTTCCTTGGGTTGACATGGGTTGCAATGACCACGACAGTTTCGCCTTTAAAGGTTGAAAGCTTGGCTTGGGCATCAATAGCAAGCGTCCCCCAAAGAGATAGGTTTACATTGTCACCACTAAAAGAAATGGGAAAAAAAATCAGGATATTTCATTTTAAAAGGGAATTGTAAATACAAAATGATGGTATATTGAAAACAGAAACAATACCTTTCCAAGATGCAAGTCAATGTTAAATAGTGTTGAATTTATTATATATAATCTCTGTAATTTGGGTATATGATTACAGTTGAGGCATGTGATGATCAATCTTGGGGAGAAACTAACAGATGAAGAGGTTAATCTTATAATCCTCCCTGGCAGAGATGTAACCATTTTGGTCTTTGTCAAACACTTTGAATGTTTCTTTGAGCTCTTTGTCTGCATCAGATTCCTACAACAACAACAACAACATTAACAACAAAAAAGATCATTAAGATTAAAAAAATAAATATGATTAACCGATTAAAATCATTATAACTCGTATAAAGATAACTAAACCTGGATTTGGTTGGCCATGAGGTTGAGAAACTCAGAAAATTCGATGGTGCCGTTGCCATCTGAGTCGGTATCAGTGATCATATCTTGAATTTATACATTGCTTTCTAAAAATCATGTGAATCTGTTTGTGGAGTGACTGAACTGTGAAGCAACTAAAAAGAAGGTCAGCTTCGAAGGAGAAAAAGAGGACAGTCAGCGAAGATGAAGATCTCACATTTATTCCGACTTTACTCGTCCCCTCAAATTGCTTCCCGTCGGCAACTGCATGTGAGAGATACGTTACACATTCTGATCCCTCATGTCTTTTTGCAAATTGTCACCCACCAAATTGTAACCAATAGCTGATTTTGGGGATTTGTAAATAATCCACGTCGAAAGATACAGAAGATGGGTAGATATAGAGTTACTGATAATAATTTGGGGCTTAAAACAAACAGGAATTGAAGAGGAAAATTAAAGATTTCCAGAAGTAATGGTACAAAAACAGGATGACTGTTAATGTAATCAGCTGGTTTCGATGAAAAAGGGAGGAAGAAGACGGTGGAATATTTTTTTTTGGCTAGGTTTAGTGTAAGAGTTGTTTTGGTTAGTTTAAATGAATTGGGCATGTTTTTAAAAAAATAAATTTGGGCCATTACTGATGAATTAGGCCTGTTGTTTTAGTAAGTACAGGTGTCAGATAAATAGCCAGCCAGGTGTCATCTTCTCAGGAGAAGTTGAGAAAAATCATGTCTTATTATATAAGATATCGTTCAGTTGTGTGAACTAACGTATACTTATCAAAATCTTGTATATTTATCAAAATCTTGTATAATATATGTGTCGTAATCTCCTGACTTCTATAATAAATCATATATATAGCGCTTTTCATGAATAATTAATTAATTACCACACAAGCTAATAAGCTATATATATACCAAAATTGTTTATGTTTTAAGTTTTTACAATAACGTTTTTACAACAAATGCATATTTAAGTTTAAAAAATGAGTGCTACATAAAATTAAAAAAGACTCAAAAATGATAACAAATCTATTTTTTTATAGACGAGTTTGAAACCACTATAGAAAGCCATTGTTATATCGTCGATCTCCCATTTTCTCATTTCTGAATCACTAAAAGCTGGAATTAATTAGTTCAGTATTTAAATTTTCCATCGTATCAAGTTCAAGGGTATACATGCAAGTGTAGATAACGGCTTTTGGTCCGTCGGCAAGCTCGCTTTGATCTTGGACGCAAAGTATACATTTCGTGAATAAAAGTAAACTAAAAACATCAATTTGTCTTAATTGTGTATGTGGTTAATGAATTGATCTATGGATGAATTTGTAATTATGGGAAATTAGACCCAATAAAAAAGTGTAAGAAATGTAAATAACAAAAACATAATATTGTCATGTATAAATTTTTTTAAGCGCATTTAAACATAAGAATTTAAGATACAAGTAAACAAATCAGCCAATAAGGAAACGGGTTGGAGCAACTAATTTATAATTTAAGCATGGGAGGGAAGTCGTGTTTATAACAACTTCCTCTATTTAAGCTGCAACAAACATTTCTTTTACCTGCAGATCCAAGAAATAAATAAAAGAGTTGACGAAATTAAAATATAACCAAAAAAAAAAAAATGCAAGTAGGATTTTTTATTTGGAGGGAAGACGAAGACTTTCATTTGGTCTTATAATAACAATTCCTTTTCTTAATATTTTTGAGAATAATACATTGTTGATTATGGGTGTAACAGTCGTATATAATAATAATATAAGTATATGATTAGACAAAGCTTGGTTTATAAAAGACACCTTCATCGTTTACCTTATGGATCGGCATAGCACTTTATGTTCATCATCTTTTTCTCATTCTACCACCATTATAGGTCAGCTCTCTTTCTCTTTATCTCTATGCATATTTGCTTTTATTATAGGCCAATGTTTGAGCACCATATTCTTATATACATAATGTAATTGTAAGTTTGATGAGCATAGTTTTGACAATTCTCTAGAGCATATAAAATCTTCTAACTGTAAATTTGAGATATTTGTTGGAGCTTCTCCCTCTCTGCTACTAGCTATGTTCTTCCTTCGATGTAGATCTTGTTTGATTCTTGCCTTGAAATGGTTTTTATCTTTTAAAAAATCCTAACGCATTGAAACACATGTTTATGTTGATACCAACTATCTATATATTGACTAAGAAAACATAACACTTTGACGTCTAAAGAGTAATAGAATCTAACAGAGATGACACAAAAGTTGGAAGCGCATGGGAAAACGAATCCAGATAACCAATATAAATGGGATGATGGATCGGACCATGAAGGTGTAACAAAGATATATGTACGAGTTGATCGTGAAGGCATACAGTTCATCAAGTTTGACTATGTCGGGAACGGACAACTTATAGATGAATCATTCCATGGTTTCTCAAATCAAGGTTGCACACAGATGGTATGACTTCCCTTTTTAAAATATTCTTATTAAGTTCCATTTATTCTAACATATATGGTAGCGCTTGGGTAGAGACCATATAACATGATCTGGTCTCGGGCCTGAGGGGATGTATGGGTTTCGGCCCAAAACCTCTTAGTTTTAAGGAAGTTCCATTTATTCTAGCCGTTTATGAGAATTATATTGAACAAAAGTTTTTTTTTGCAGTTTGAGATTGATCATCTAAAAGGTGAATATCTTGTATCTGTTGAGGGTTACCACGACTACGAGGTGATTCAAGGACTTCAATTCAAAACAAACTTGAAAGTCTCTGAAATGATGGGATATGAGTATTCTACTAATAAATTTACACTAGCCTTGTATGGCAAGAAAATCATTGGGTTTCACGGATCTGCTATGTCAAACCTCAACACTCTTGGAGCGTATGTTACAAGCATTACTCCAACTAAAATGGAAGCAAAAGGAGGAAAGGGAGGCAAAGAGTGGAATGATGGAGGAGACTATGAAGCTATAACAAACATTCATGTACGAATTACTACAAAAGGTATAAAGAACATCCAATTCGATTATGTGGACAAGGATGGACATCCAAAAGTGCTAATCCATGGTTCTACCACGGGTGGAGGCACGCTCGAGCCGGTAAATAAAACTAAACTTCATTTACATTTGGTGACTAGCTAATAGGAGTTGTAAATAAGAAAACGAATATCAAATAAATTAACGAATGCTAATGTAATGTATATATATCTACCATTCTTTTGGTGTAGTTTGAGATAAACCATGCTGAAAACGAATATCTACTGTCTATCGACGGTTACTACAACGAGACATCCGGTGTGATTCAAGCGATTCGATTCAAAACCAACATGAAGATATCGGAAATGATGGGAGGCAAGGACGATGACGACGACGATGATGATGAAGGCGAAATGGGTACAAAATTTTCAGTAGGATGTCCCGGCAATAAGATCATTGGATTTCATGGATATGCCGACAAGAAGCTATACTCTCTTGGAGCATATTTCACATCACTTCCTATAACTAAAATGGAATACAAAGATAGTGCTAAAGGAAAACTAACCGATGATGGTAGTTCAGGCTATCTTTGGGATGATGGTACTTTCCAAGGAGTAAGAAAAGTGTACGTTTACTATGATGGTCATTACATAAGGTGTGTCAGGTTCGAGTACGATAATGGTGGCAAAGTGGAATCTCGTGAGCACGGGTCAAAACCTATAGCTGATAGGGTACAAGAAAAAGAGGTCACAATTCCTACCACTTAAAATATTTTTCAACCATATATATGTTTCTATGTAGGTGTGTTCTTGAATAGTGGCTTATTTATGAAGCTGTTTTCATTATTGCAGTTCGTCCTGGACTATCCAAATGAATTTCTCATGTCCGTGAAGGGAACTAGCACAGAAGCTTACATTGAAGGTTATCGTTCGTTGATTACATCGTTGAGTTTCAAAACATCAAAAGGGAGGACCTCTCAGACATTTGGAAATGAGTTTTGTAGCAGTCCTGTTGAATTCGAGCTTGAAAAGAAAGGTTGTGCTATTGTTGGGTTCCATGGGCGGTCTCGTTATTATGTTCTTCATGCTCTTGGAGCATATTTTTTTCCGATTCCTCCTGCTCAATAAGTTCTCACTGATGGTGGTAATGATCATGTTCTTTATTTGTCTTTCTATATATGTTTTACCTTTTGTTTTAAACTTCTTCTTCACCAGAAATTTTTGGACCAAGATCCATAGACCATAGTCTTCTTGAACATGATCATTACCACCTTTGTTAATTAAACTTATATGTCAAATATTTTGAATTGAACTTCACAAGCTTTCAAAGTCACCTACATCAAATTAGGCTTCTATTTCTCATTCAGAACAACTCCAATTTTGACAAGTCAATACACTATCTTACCTTGTAGTGCACAAAGCGATTTTTCAAAGTTGATTAACGCTCGTTGATATGACAGCTTACTTGATGAATTATTCTTCAAGCCATATCGATTTCAAAAAATTCATTTCACCACTATGATTTTACGTAAGAGCCATCGTAGCATCACAATTCTAAGAACTCATGCATCTCATTTGATGGTTTAGTAAGAGCTCATGCATCTTCATAGCTAAGAAGACACATGCACAATGCATAATAAGACTACACCTAGCTTGTCATAAATTAATTAATTCAAGACAAACTATCAGTTTATTTATCTGTTAATTCATTTCAATACCAAATTGAGAGCAACACTTCGATTCATTTCTATATTTTTGGAGAAAAACTTGTTTAATTAATTGTCTTTGTACAACTCTTTACTCATTTAATAATTATCGGGTTCGCTTGAACCTCAATATTACATCAAAGTCCAGAAGGAGTAAACGAAGAAGAAATTACTAAAAGACGAAGCAAGTCCGAATATCATCAAAGGAAAAGAAGACTTATAATTATAAATTACTAGATTATAATAATAAATTACCAAATTTTATACAATAAGATAGTTGCAATACACCAAATTTTATTTATTAAGATACTTGCAATATATATACACACAACAATTTAACCTCCAAATAAAGGAAGCGAGATCAAATTGGGTGTATAAACACAGTGACAACACCTAACAATCCGAGCACCTATTTGAATCTTCTTGCACAGATCTTCCCTCAGAATATAGATGCAAGCCTCTCCAGTTTCATCATCGCCACGACACATGACTAAGGTCTTCTCATAGATGAAGTAACTAGCGCGATAAACTTGCTCAGCAACTAGCCTTGGCAAGTTAGTTGTTGACAAGGTCATCAACTTTATCCACACCACACCCTCTCCACCTACCCCAATCCTCTCTTTAGTTACCCATATCCCAATCTCTCTTGTTACACGGTATTGTTCTAACAACGAGAACCGATCTCCCTTATACACCGCGAGGATAACTTCATTAATATGATGGTTCTTTTGACCCGGAAAGAGACGACAGAATGGTTTGAATTTCTCGGTTGAGAAATCAAACATTCGGATGTAGTACTCATTAGTATGAGAATTACTCGAAGCAAGCCAGTAGATATTTCCATTCAGGGAAACATTTGATAGTTTAGCAATTTCAGATAAGGGGTAGTCGTCATCCTTAGGTCTATCAATAAACCTCAACAAGTTAGAAGCACACTCGTAGATTCCAACTGTCTGATTCCTCAAGAGTTTACCGTGACAAAACAAATAGCCTAGTATCTTGTATACTTTATCCGGTCTAGTATTATCGTATCCCAGCCCGAAAACACAGAACTCTCTGTCCCCATACTCGATCCATTTAACCTGTCTTAACCATGGATTCCACAGAGCTGTCTTGCTCTCCACAAACCGATAGTTACAAAACAAGAGCTCATCGCAAGTAGTGACGATGGTGTTGCGATTATAATTTGTTTCTCGGTTTGGAATATTAGAAAAGGAGGGTAACTCACGCACCTCTATCGTTGGATCGATGTGGTTGAGATCAATGATGTCTATAGAATAGATCTTGGAAGTGGTCAAGAGTATGAACTGGGGAAGGGAGCGAGACAAGTGGTTCTTGATGAAAGTCTTGTCGTTGAAAAGAGAGTTGAATTTGTTAGATACGGTTCTGAACCGAACGAGAGATTGAGGTGGAAGATGAGATAATACATCTTCTTCTAATAACTCCCACGGAAGCTTCACCAGCGGAGCCATGAGGCCTTTGTGTTTTTAGTTTTTTCTTTTAGTTATAGCTATGATGAAATAAGAGAAGAGATGAAACTGTATTTATATATCCTGTGCTAGGTAAAGTAAGTTTTGTGATCTTTTTATTTTGTGTGGAAAAAGTTATTATTAAATGCAAAGTAAAAATAGATCTTATAACATTGAATATATGTGTTTGTATACATGTGTAAGTAGGCATGACCAAAAGCTAACCTTAACCGTATTTTTAACCGTAACCGGACCGTTTATCAACCGTAACCGGACCGTAACCGTATAAAACGGTTAAAAATTGTAACCGTTAACCGTAAAAGTAAATTAGTTACGGTTAAAAAATAATAATAACCGTAACCGTTAATTAACCGTAACCATAATTAACCGTAATTAATCGTCGGTTAACCGTACGGTTAAACGCTCGGTTAACCGCATATTTAAAATTTTAAAATAAATTATATTATAACTGTATACAATACCCAGATTTAACTAATTCACTATAAATAATTGAAATCAAATATGTTTTTTACTTGTAAAATAAATAATATTTCATAAAATTTTATTTCCAATATTAATATTATAATAATCATCAAATAACCGTAACCGTATTTAACCGTAACCGTAATTAACTGTAACCGTATATAACCGTAACCGTCTTAACCGTATATATAATGATTAAGGTTATGGTTAAAAAAATTATAACCGTTAACCGGTGGTTAATTAACCATAACCGCATTAACCGTAACCGTGGTCATGCCTATGTGTAAATAACGTAGGATTTTTTTTTTTTTTTTTGACTTATATATTAGTAAAGTGGAAATATATTTTGCATAATTTTTAAATTATTTAGACAAAAATACTTTTGAAAAAGTATATAGAACAAATCAAAAACAATTAAGTGCAAAACTTTTTAACGGGAAGATAATTTTCTTTTAACGTTTATGTATTTTGTGACTTTGTATATTACAACAAAGCTGAAAATGAAATTGTAACGGTAGGAGAAGGACAAAATAAAGTATTACATGCAATGCATCTAGGAATAAAGGGTGAACTAGTGTACGTGACAAGTAACCATTAATTTTATTCTCTTTTAATTTGTGTATATATAGTTTTTTTGAGGTGAGAGATCATCATCTTCTTTCCTCATTTGTGTATATATAGTTTTTTTTAGGTGAGAGATCATCATATTCTTTCCTCATTTTTGTATAGCTTAAATTCATTGTATAATAACTAGGTTTACCACATGCATTTCATCTCTTGATTGCTTTAATGTTTTAGGTACAATCAAGTTATTCGATAAGGTGAGTACTCTTTTAAGTGCTTTGCAAACACAAGCTCATTTATAAAACAGAAGAATGACTCACAGAAGAGTAAAAAAATCGCTGTTTATGATTAAAAAGGACTCATCCTCAACGAGATAAAGAAAGTGAAAACCAATCCCAAAATCGATAAATTGTCGGACAAGAAAAAGCCCTAACGAATGATAATAACGTGCGATGCATCTAGAATGAGGTGTTACGTCTTCAAAAAGAAAGAGATAATGTTGTTATTGTCTCTCACTATCTAAACCTTAATATCATGGACCGTCACAATTCAAGAATAAGAAAATATAGATTCATTGGACAATACGATACTTTTATATATAACTTTTTTTTTTGTAATATACCAATAAACCCTAGCCAACCAACTTTATCGCGAAGACGAAGATCATTTATTTTTCTTCTTGCGTAGGCAGATATGTATTGTATAGTTTCGATTGAAATCTAATGAAAATTTTATAACAAAATCAATATTTGGATCTTTTTTAGTTTTGCGTAGGAAGACTGTAGTTGCTTAACAGTTAGTTTCTACGATCGAGTCCTATTTTTCCCCATGACTATGTTTGTATCGTCATATGTGTATGCTTAATTAAGGATCAACCAGTATAACCTGTTCAAGAATAAAAATAAATAAATAAAATACTTAGAAACAGACAGTTAAATTAGTAAATATAAAATATTTTTAATCAATTTTCCAGTTTCTTAAGAAAATAAATAACTTCCTACCAAAAAAAAAAGAAAATAAATAACTAACAAGTGTCAAGATCTCAACGATGAATTTGATATGTGTCACAATCATTGTAATTAGTAAATTTGAAAAGTAAGCTTCATATAGTAAAATATATTTGAAATTAGTAATACATATCCACATGGAAAAACACTGAAAAATAATCAACCCGTTTTGGTAGAACAATATCACATTCTAATCTATATAAGCAAATAAAACTATAAATGGAATTGAATAAAATGTTTCTGTCAAGATAAAAAAGCTGAATCAAATTAATTAGAAAATTTCAAACAAAAATGTATTATATTTAATTTTTATTAAATAGTGAATATTAGACATATACTTAAACTTTAAAAACCAAACCAAAACAAACCAAACCGAAACGAGTACAAGTCTGAAAACCAAGGAAACTAGGTTTTTCATTTCTTTGTCATCAATTGTTCCTCTAACAATCCAATATATGAAAATAATAAACTGTAGCAATTGATCGAAATAAAACATTGAAATACATTGTAGAAATTGAAATAAAACAAAAGGTGAAAAGAACCACTCAACGAGTACACACTTTTCACTAGAAAATGCTTCGATCAAGCACTGTTTAGAGTAATTCTCAAATTCTTTGAAGCTTTCTTGAAATTCTTCTGAGCCTTCTCGACTCCAGCCATCACCAAACTCTTCTGGTTAGGGTTCAATCCTTTTGCCTCGTAAAGGTCAACTCGTTCCAGCACACACCCGGTACGAATCAGATACTGAAGCACCTGAAGCTCGTTGAAGCCTCCAGTGAAGTTCTTTACCTTCACAACCTTAAGCGTTTTCTCCAAGCACTTGTAAGCTTTGCTAGTAAGCCAATAAGTTTTCGGATCTTTCGTTGTTGGCGATGGAACTAACTGCATAATCCAATCAAAGTTAAGCGCTTTACCAAATAGCAAGACAATATGAGATGTAATAATGTCTTGATCCATGTTAAAGATTCAAGATAACAAACACTTACTCGGAGACGACACTTCGTAACCGAATCAAAAGTGAGAGATTCCAGCTTTGGACAGCTACTGAGAAATATACTGATTCCCCCTAATTCCTTAGGGTGCAGATTTGTTATCATCACCAAATGTTGAGTTTCCATCGGATCGTGCAAAGCCAAAGGATGGTCACAATCTTCGATCGCCTAAGTCCAAGAAAAAAGAGATGTTAGAATATTGTATGTTTAACTGTATATATATACTACTCTATATATTAAAAAAATTGAAATGCATAGTCTCCTAAAAGAATAAACTCTTCAAATATCGAAAAACAATTTATAAAGAATTTAGTAGAGATAGCTAATAGAGTGAAATAAAATAAGTTACCTCAAGGAGAAAAGAGCAAACCGTTAAACTTTTAACATATATCAGATTGAAAAAGAGACGAGAAACATCTAGTTCTTTCTTTTTGCATCTGAGTATATAATCAGCTCTGATGGCATGTCTTAAGCGTCTGATGCGTAGATAATCACTTAAGGGTTGCTGGATAGGTTCATCAGCTGAGAAATTAAGAACTAAGTTCTTGACATGTCGGGAGGTGGCAAATTCTATGAGAGACATTAGCTCCCCCTCGAAATGAAGCGGCTGGGAGAGATGAATCTCGAAGTTTTGGATAGCTGTACCCGTAAACTTCGAGACCCAATGGAGCATAACACCAGCAACGAAAGCCCTATCATCATCCTCATCACAACTTGTGGGTTCTTCGAGTTCACGGCCAGGAACCGAAGGTGTCACAAAGTCGGATTCCTTAAAAACAAGACTGGTCGTCTGCCGACAGAGATTTCTCCATCTCCTGGAAACAAAACTCTTTCGTACCAATTCTTTGAATGGTAGCATCGAGAGTATCACAATCAGGAGTGAATCATGGAGTAAGGAAGAGAGATCTGGTGTTTGTGTCGAAACCATTATTGACAAAATGGTGATCTCTCAGAAAGAAAATGAAAATAAAGAAAAAAATGATATAGCTAGAGAGAGGAGATGGTTTGTGAGGCTTTGAGACTTCACAGAGTTATCTATTTATAAGCTGTTGAAAGTCTTAGATATTATTTGGGTTTTTTTTTTAAAGGAAAAATAATATATGTTTTTGATTTTTTTAGATTTAAGAATATCTTTTTTTTCTTACAGAAAATTTCCTAATTTGATGTTTTTTTTTTCAAAAAGTTTGATGTTTATTTCCATATAATTTAAGTAAGGATATAATTGAGCATTTTCCTATTCTAAAACCTAATATACCAAACTTAAAAAAAGAAGGCATAAATGGACAAATTTAAAAAAAAACATCCTTTAAAATCAATTTTCCCTTTTTATTAACTACTTATCTTTTAGGTTTGTGAGGCTTTGAGACTTCAGAGAGTAATCTATTATGTTAAGATAAGAAGGAGTAAATTCTAGTATTTAATATGGTTTTAAAATTTTATTTTATTTGTGTAATTGTTATAAAGGAAATGATAAAATTAAGATTTCTTTCTTTTTGGGTGTGATTTGTTACCCTCTTAAGTAGATTTGGTCAACAACACTTTATATTTATCAGATACCTATTATGCCTTTCATTATAAATTTCCCACAAATGTTAAAACTTCTAATTGGTAGAGAGGCTTCAATTAGAAAATGGGTAATATTTTTGTTTCTTGATGGACTTAATGGGCTTAATCTCTCGTAGACCTAATATTTGTAATTAAGCAATTTTTTTTTGGAAATAATCCATGGGTATATCATATATGATTTCGAATGAAACGAGAAGGTACTTATTGGTCCATTAAAGTGTATCCGTCAGTAGAAAATGCTGATTTTAGTGAACCTTGCATGATAGATTCACACGTTCTTAAATTTGGGATTCAAAACCTAATTTGCTAAATTTTGTCAAGTTTTACATACGAAATAAATGAAATTTTTTTTTGAGTCAATCTTTGTGTGCGGTTTGACTTCCCCTTAAATTTATATTGTGGGTCTTGTATTCTGATGTGATTTACCACTTACTTATCATCTCATATCCACCAAAACAAAAATTTTGCAACCTTACTCGTCTCATCATTGTAGCACCCATGAGTGTATCATTGACTTGTCAAGAAGCAACAAGTTCAGTCAGAAACATGATATCTCCCTCAAAATAATAGATGTGATGAGAAATAAAGTTTAAATATTTTGATTGTTTACCGGTAAACCTTGATATACATTCATGCATATTAAGAACAAGAAAAATCCTAACAACCCTTACAGTTTCTCTATTGAATACATATTTTTCCATGGATTCCTTGAAAATGAGGCTCACGATTGATAAATTTTACATCGTTTAGAAAAAAACACATATGATATGCCCACGCAGCCATGGTCAGTGGTAAGAGAGAATAGGGGAAAGGTTAGAAAGAACTAACCCAGTTTCGATCCGTTGTCGAAACAAAAATCATTGTTTTGTGGGAAGTTTGTCAATTGCGCCAAGGCCCAGTTGGTTTACATGATAGTCAGAAATGTAGGCGGCCTGATTACTCTTTGGCATTAGTCGGAAAGCATTCCGAACTCGGGATAGACAGTCTGGTGACCCTTCGGGGAGTAGTCCACTCTGAAGCACTTTGGTGCGTTTCTACCGGAACTGACCGGATTAGCCGATAAGAATTATCAAAACAAAAACACATAAGACTTATCTCTACAGATTCTTTGAAATGGCAACATATAGAAATGATCAAAACTAAAAGGTAATTAGGTCAAACAAGTTTGATTTTTCGTCAGAAATTTGTCGACAAAACTTATATATATATATATAAGTAAAATGACTTTCCTTTTTATTTTTGGTCAAAAATACACAACTTCAAATGGCTATAGACAAAATACATTAATGGATTTTTTCCTAACATATTACAAATGTTTTATCGTATACATTAACGGATTTTTTCTTTTGCTATTTTTTGGGGGTGATTTTTTACCTTTTGTTAGTTAGATTTGATGAACTATGTTTTATAGTTTGTATTAATCAAAAGCCTATTATGCCTTACATTTTAAGTTTTCCAGAAATGATAAACCTCTAATTAATTGAGAGGCATGAGTTGAGAAAATGAGAGTAACAATATCTCGGATTTTGTTTTCTCGAGTGTTTATAATGGGCCATTCTTTAGACGTTTAGCTGGTTTTCAACGAGACGAGGCAACTATAATTAATGACGTGGGAGAAGTGTGAAATATGGTTTTTTATTTTATTTTTAGAATGAATGTAAAATTATGTTCGATCCAAAAAAACATGTTTTACATCAAATGCATCCCTTAATAGAATGCAATTTTAAAAAGTTTTGAGACATTAAGATATAAGTAAATAATCAATTGAGCCAAACCAAAATTGTAGACTAAAGTATTGTTCTAGCGAACGTTGCATTATAGATTGATTCATTCTAAAACGTTAGCCTATTTCGATGGAATCAGTCAAGTCTTACATATATATAAGACATTAACTACTATGAGCTACCGTCAGAGTGTACATAATGAAAAGGTAGATGTGTAACGAGTAATTTTATTTTTCTTTGTAACGACTAACGAGTGATTTATTTATAATTAGATACGTAAAATTGCATCATACGTGCTTTTGGCATATGCGAACTAATATATTACAGAATATAGAATTAATTTTTTGTCAAAGTAATATTTACAGTAGATAACGAATGCACTCAATTTTAATAAAATTTACTAAGTAAGTAAGTGGCAAATACAATATGGCGTTAGATTACAGTATATTATACGAGTGGATTGGTTCATATAATTCCTAATATATTTAGTCAAATAGAAGTATTTTTTTTCAAACCATTAATTTTGGTATTTTTGGACATGGATCAACGAACAAATTTTGGTCGAGCCGATCATAATCGAGTTGAAAAAACATTTTTTTTTTTAAAAAAAAACGGATTCTAATAGTGCTATAATCAATTTGTTATGACTATTTTATGCATGCGTTGGGTCATATCATATGTTATATACAAGTGGGCTGTGGTCGCACATGGTTCTTTTGTTCATGTTCCAATATAGCATTTTGGGGCCAATTAATGTATGATTGATTGGTTCGAAAACAACCTGAGTCTGGATTCAATACATCACTTTGATTACATGATCGAGACTTTCTAACTCAACATATTCCACATCTACAACACTTATATCCCTTTTCATGTCCTTCAAATATATTTGGATGTAACCATTTTTTTAAAAAAGGTTTTGAATTTGTAGTATAGTTGTCTGTGTTAATTAGTATAGATGTATGATATAATTTTAATTTGGATTATAGTCTTATAGACGACTAACGCAATGTATATGTTTTATATATAGTTTTTGAACTATATATTAATTTATGGAAAAAAAAAACAAAACATAAATTACACACTGTACCACCAACTTTGCGGCAAATCATACTATTAGAAAGAACTGGCATGTAAAATTATTGGCAAAAGGAATAAAAAATGAATGATGTCCACAACATACATACATACATACAATATAAACCACTCTATGTCAAAAGCTTTGTTCACAATCTCTCATTCTCTCACACCTTTCTCACTTTTTATTCTCTCAAGTCTCAACCTCCTTCTTCATCTTCCTCTCTTTCTTGGCCATGAGCTGCTCAATTATGAAAACCCTTCAGATTCGTAAACCCACTTCTCTCCCTATCTCTTCCACCACCACCACAACAACAGATGAGCCGGGGCTTATCCGCCGCCGTCTCTCTTCTCTCTCGCTAAATCTCTCACGTAACCAACCTTCCAGTACCGTGCCAAGACCCAAGTCGGTCTCAAGCATGGGAGAGCAAGGAGGTAGCTCCGTGAAAGAATGGTGGGAATGGAGTTGGTCATTGGTTCTTTTCAAGAAGTTACCAATCTTTTTCACGGATCTTGAGGTTAACAAGAACGAAACCAAACCATCATTAATGGGGAATCAACAAAGAGGTAGTAGCTTTATCGCCGTCTTCTTTAAACTCCGATCTGAGATCCGCCGTCTCCTACGTTCTTCCTCCGAGTCTCTTCCTCTATCTTACAAACACGGACAGCGATGACGTTACAGCCTTCTCTCGTTTTGAGGTTTTAAGACTTTTTCATGTGTGTCGTTACTTTCATTCATATAAATTCTCTTATTTCATTTCTTAATTACGATGTATAATCTGCTTGAGTTACCTATCATTTCCTAGAATTTGTTATTATTATTATTATTTTTTTTTTTTGTCAAATGTAATGTATAATTATTTCATTTGTTTTAGAAGTTGTGTATGTAATTGTCTTTATATACGTTTCAAACCATTCTTTCATTATTTTTATTAACGAGCCAAGTTCTTATAGCAAGGGTGATTAATATAAAAGAACGAAGAACGTTACTACACAATACAAGTCAAATTATAACATTTGAATCCATAATATCATAAACTACACAAATTCTTCCAAATCATGATTTGAATACACCCCTAAAAGTCCAAATATTAGAGCTGGATAGAATTTTCCAAAGTTGTTTTTTGCTTTTCTTTTTTGTCTTTGCGTGAAATTAGGTAGAAACAGCTGTTGCCGAAAAAGAGTATCTCCATAACGTCGGCTACAAACAAGGTGGCCATTACCTTTGTTGGTCGGTGGGGACAAGAATAATCCATTGGGTGGCGCAATTTCATAACTAAACAATATTTGTAACTAGTATAATAAGATTATGGGTCCTGATTGTGGAAATTTTATTACTCACACTAATAAATAAGCCTGTGAAACATTTTTTAGATTACAGTGAAGTTCCAAGCCAAACCATAATATGAATTTGATTTGTTGTAATGGTTGAGACTGATAAATCTACTTGTAGATTAGACCAATGTTATCTACTGTAGAGATGTAAATTAAAAAAAAAAATGTAGCAAATTAACTACAAATTATTTTTACATGAAATTAAACTTGTTCTATAACATTTGAACAATATATTATTTAGAACATCAGAAGATACATTATTGTCTTCTCCAAAAATAGAGAACATTATAATATCAATTAAACCGTTTTTCCCACGACACCATTCAAAGTCTCTATCATCGGACCAAGAACCAAATGTCTACAACTCTCATGTGGAAGGTTCGAGGTTCATTAGAACTTTATGGGGAGAAAAAAAAAATCAAAACTTATTATAATGAATACCAAAAAAATATATTTAGCAAATAACTTTTTACTTTTGGTTTTAATGTTTAGACGGAAAGATTTTTTTTTATTTATAAAGCGTGGTTCTTGATAAACCAAATGTGAGATATGTTCTTCTAATTTGCAAATAATAAAATATTACTTGCAAGAGGAAATAGAGAAAATATCAATAGTTTTCGATCTATGCCTGCAACGGAACAAGAACAGCATTGAAATCTCACTGCTCTGATCTCTCAAAGGCAATTTCTCATGTAATTAACATTGAAACAGTAATTAATAAATAAAAAATATTTGGGAAAACACCTCAGTAAGCCAGCGTTTTTCACATCAAAGAGTATAAAAAACTCAGACGGTAATTCCATATTTTAGCAATAATCATCATCGGTAAATTTAACCTTCCCAATATATATTAATCCAAACAAAAAAAAAATCAAAATAATGTAATCGCCGAAATGGCTCCGTGGATCGTATAAAAATAAAAAAGATCCACAGGTTCCTATCAGTAAGCGAAACACGTACATTTGTATATGTCCAATGTAGCATCGAGGATCATAGCTATAAAAAGCTACCGTCGACGTGGCATCGGACAAGTTCATCATACCTAGTTTGGTATATAAAAAAACAAAAACCTCAGCGAACCCTTGTCAAATCACCCACACAACGGACACAGAACGGTTGGGAAAGTACGGTAGTTACCCGACCGAACAGCTCGAACCCGACCATAACGGTAGAGAACAATACTGACGGGGGGGGGATGGGTAACTACCGGAAGCAATCCTAGCTAGTTCAGTCACGCTGTTGTGTAAAGTGTCATACGGCACTTCCTATCTTATGGGATTGCTTCTTCATCGGAGATAAACAAAAAAAGAATACTACTAGTAGTAAATGTGAAGGGACATTGAAGAAACAAATACTAAAACATAGATGTTGTTAGGCTACAGAGGTGTATATGAAGATATTAGAGAGACGAGAAGGAGCTTGTTTTGTTTATATAGATAGAGGGTAGGAGGCGGCTCTATATATTAACTCAAAACCCTAATCTTCCTATACGACTATGGTTATCATGTATTGTTTATTTATTTATTTTTAATTTTACAAACCTAGTAACGTTCAATTTTTACGAAAGTAAAAGAAACTATATTATATATGGTCAAAACTCAAAAGCTTATCATGTTTTAAGAAGAAATATTTCAAATATTATTTCAATGATTTTATTTACCATGTTTAACTATAAATGTTTTAATGTCAAGAACATGATGTTTCATAAGCTTTGAAGTTTAACTTAATTCATCTTAAAATATTTGCTTATTATATTTTTAAAACGGAATATTTATATATACACTTTTGAATTACCTATGGTTATAACTTTTATTTTATTTTTTATTTTTGTCAATAAACCTTTTATTTAATTTATAATATTTGCATAACAATTCCTTGACATTTAAATAAATAACAAAACTTGAATTTAAACTTTGTAATTCAATCACAACATAATCACAAAATAGGAAACCAATATTTATTACATTAACAAAATTTTCTAAAATACCTCCCTAATAAATTGAATATCTCTCAAATATTTTTATATGATTTCATTCATTTTAAAATTTATTTTATTACATATAACACATGTATAATAATAAAAAATTCCGCATATGTTGTAATTTGAATTTTTGAAAACGGACATATATTACTGAATCTATAAAGAAAGAACAGTATGTACAACGTCATACATCTGGTATAAAATTTTAGAAAATGGTTCATAACCATTATAAATAAACTAAGAGTACATGATCAAGAGATGTATAATAACTATATTATGAGATCTTACATTCGAGATCAAACAACTTCATGCACCGAATTGCAATTAAGAAATTTTTGAGCATATAAGAATTTACTCAAAAGAGATAAGTTCTTCCTTTATGAAATGCATTGTTCCATATTTTTATTACAATAAATAGGGATTTCAATAAGTGTAAGCTAATCTTCAAAACTTATGAAACATCATATTCTTGGCATTAAAACATTTATAATTAAACATCGTGATTAAAATCATATAAATAATATGTAAAATAGTTTCTCTTAACATCATGATAAGTTTTTGACCATATAAAAATTAGTTTCTTTTACTTGGTAAAGATTCAACATTACTAAATAATATTTCAGGAAAAACTAAAAGAAAAAATAAGGAAAAAAGGAAAAAAAATATTATTAACAATGAATTTATAAAGTAATAACATATCCCTTTTGAGTTAATTCATATGTACTCAAAATATCCTAGTTGCAATTCGGTGCATATAGTTGTTTGATCCCGAGGTAAGATCTCATAAGATAGTTCTCGTACATCTCTTGATCATGTACTCCTAATTTTTTCACCGTTTGTTGTCCAACCACAGCTACACAATCTTGATCCGGACTTGAGATTATGGTAAGGGTTTCTTCTATTGAGTATAAATTTTTCTCGAAATACTCTCTCCTTTAACTTTTACAGATTTTGTGAGAACAAAAAGTCGTAGAGTTTGAAATGATTATAATCATCTTCATACTAAGCATATTCAACTTCACCATCACCCTCACCCTCACATTCGACATCTTTAATATCATCCTCATCCTCATCCTCACTCTCACGCTCTCCCTCACCTTCACCTTGTTACTCAAGATGGTGGAGATCCAGTTAGACAACAAATGATTGAGAAACTAGGAGTACATGATCAAGAGATGTATAATAATTATATTATGAGATCTTACCTTCGAGATCAAACAACTTCATGCACCGAATTGCAATTAAGAAATTTTTGAGCATATAAGAATTTACTCAAAAGAGATAAGTTCTTCCTTTATGAAATGCATTGTTTCATATTTTTAATATAATAAGTAGGGATTTCAAGAAGTGTAAGCTAATCTTCAAAGCTTATGAAACATCATATTCTTGGCATTAAAACATTTATAATTAAACATCGTGATTAAAATCATATAAATAATATGTAAAATAGTTTCTCTTAACATCATGATAAGTTTTTGACCATATATAAATTAGTTTCTTTTACTTGGTAAAGATTCAACATTACTAAATAATATTTCAGGAAAAACTAAAAGAAAAAATAAGGAAAAAAAGGAAAAAAAATATTATTAACAATGAATTTATAAAGTAATAACATATCCCTTTTGAGTTAATTCATATGTACTCAAAATATCCGAATTGCAATTCGGTGCATATAGTTGTTTGATCTCGAGGTAAGATCTCATAAGATAGTTCTCGTACATCTCTTGATCATGTACTCCTAGTTTCTTCACCGTTTGTTTTCCAACCACAGCTCCACAATCTTGATCCGGACTTGAGATTATGATAAGGGTTTCTTCTAATGAGTATAAATTTTTCTCGAGATACTATCTCCTTTAACTTTTACAGATTTTGTGAGAACAAAAAAATCGTGGAGTTTGAAATGATTATAATCATCTTCATACTAAACATATTCAACTTCACCATCACCCTCACCCGCACCTTCGACATCTTCAATATCATCCTCATCTTCATCCTCATCCTCATTCTCACGCTCTCCCTCACCTTCACCTTGTTACTCAAGATGGTGGAGATCCAGTTACACAACAAATGATTGAGAAACTAGGAGTACATGATCAAGAGATGTATAATAATTATATTATGAGATCTTACCTTCGAGATCAAACAACTTCATGCACCGAATTGCAATTAAGAAATTTTTGAGCATATAAGAATTTACTCAAAAGAGATAAGTTCTTCTTTTATGAAATGCATTGTTTCATATTTTTAATATAATAAGTAGGGATTTCAAGAAGTGTAAGCTAATCTTCAAAGCTTATGAAACATCATATTCTTGGCATGAAAACATTTATAATTAAACATCGTGATTAAAATCATATAAATAATATGTAAAATAGTTTCTCTTAACATCATGATAAGTTTTTAACCATATATAAATTGGTTTCTTTTACTTGGTAAAGATTCAACATTACTAAATAATATTTCAGGAAAAACTAAAAGAAAAAATAAGGAAAAAAGGGAAAAAAAATATTATTAACAATGAATATATAAAGGAATAACATATCCCTTTTCAGTTAATTCATATGTACTCAAAATATCCTAATTGCAATTCGGTGCATATAGTTGTTTGATCTCGAGGTAAGATCTCATAAGATAGTTCTCGTACATCTCTTGATCATGTACTCCTAGTTTCTTCACCGTTTGTTTTCCAACCACAGCTCCACAATCTTGATCCGGACTTGAGATTATGATAAGGGTTTCTTCTAATGAGTATAAATTTTTCTCGAGATACTATCTCCTTTAACTTTTACAGATTTTGTGAGAACAAAAAAATCGTGGAGTTTGAAATGATTATAATCATCTTCATACTAAACATATTCAACTTCACCATCACCCTCACCCGCACCTTCGACATCTTTAAGATCATCCTCATCCTCATCCTCATCCTCACTCTCACGCTCTCCCTCACATTTACCTTATTACTCAAGATGGTGGAGATCCAGTTAGACAACAAATGATTGAGAAAATAGGAGTACATGATCAAGAGATATATAATAATTATATTATGAGATCTTACCTTCGATATCAAACAACTTCATGCACCGAATTGCAATTAAGAAATTTTTGATCATATAAGAATTTACACAAAAGAGATAAGTTCTTCCTTTATGAAATGCATTGTTTCATATTTTTAATAGAATAACTAGGGATTTCAAGAAGTGTAAGCTAATCTTCAAAGCTTATGAAACATCATATTTTTCGCATTAAAACATTGATAATTAAACATCGTGATTAAAATCATATAAATAATATGTAAAATAGTTTCTCTTAACATCATGATAAGTTTTTGACCATATATAAATCGGTTTCTTTTACTTGGTAAAGATTCAACATTACTAAATAATATTTCAGGAAAAACTAAAAGAAAAAATAAGGAAAAAAGGAAAAAAAATATTATTAACAATGAATTTATAAAGGAATAACATATCCCTTTTGAGTTAATTCATATGTACTCAAAATATCCTAGTTGCAATTCGGTGCATATGGTTGTTTGATCTCGAGGTAAGATCTCATAAGATAGTTCTCGTACATCTCTTGATCATGTACTCCTAGTTTCTTAACCGTTTGTTGTCCAACCTCAGCTCCACAATCTTGATCCGGACTTGAGATTATGATAAGGGTTTCTTCTAATGAGTATAAATTTTTCTCGAGATACTATCTCCTTTAACTTTTACAGATTTTGTGAGAACAAAAAATCGTGGAGTTTGAAATGATTATAATCATCTTCATACTAAACATATTCAACTTCATCATCACCCTCACCCGCACCTTCGACATCTTTAATATCATCCTTATCCTCATCCTCATCCTCACTCTCACGCTCTCCCTCACCTTTACCTTGTTACTCAAGATGGTGGAGATCCAGTTAGACAACAAATGATTGAGAAAATAGAAGTACATGATCAAGAGATGTATAATAATTATATTATGAGATCTTACCTTCGAGATCAAACAACTTCATGCACCGAATTGCAATTAAGAAATTTTTGAGCATATAAGACTTTACACAAAAGAGATAAGTTTTTCCTTTATGAAATGCATTGTTTCATATTTTTAATATAATAAGTAGGGATTTCAAGAAGTGTAAGCTAATCTTCAAAACTTATGAAACATCATATTCTTGGCATTAAAACATTTATAGTTAAACATCGTGATTAAAATCATATAAATAATATGTAAAATAGTTTCTCTTAACATCATGATTTGTTTTAAGCATATATGAACTGGTTTCTTTTATTTGGTATAGATTCAACGTTACTAAATAATATTTCAGGAAAAACTAAAAGAAAAAATAAGGAAATACTCTACATACGTGTTGAAGCAACGTTTCAGTTTTGCATGAAATACAGTAAAAAAACTCTATAAATCAATACTCTAAAAATTAATAACCACTATAAATTAATAAATTTTTCTGGTCTTGAGTCGAACCGGTGTAAACTAAAAAGTTCATAAAATTAAATAAGATAATTAAATATTTTTCTAAATTGTTTATTTTTCATAAAGCTCATCTCTATTTAAAAAATTATGTTATATTTTTAAACTATAGTCCTGTAATATATTTCATAATATGTCATAAAACTAACCAAAATTCTCTTTTATGTTTTCAATTTCTAAATATACTCATATTCATTTTATTTTAGCTTATAGGATGTTAAAATATAACTACTAAGGTTATTAATCTTAAATTTAAATTTATGCATATTATTCGTATAAGTGAATTTATCTATTAATTTGTAATTTATTGTTAAATTTTTTTTTCTAAATATACAATTCAATTCCAAACTATAATATTTATAATATCTAAAAAACTAATTTTATTTTTGTAAAGTTGTTCCAATTAATATTTATAAAAACTTTAAACAATGAAAAATACCACTATATATTTAAAAAATATATAATACCGCTATAATTGTCCAAAATACTTAGTTTAGTACTATTGGAAGATATTTCTCTAAATAGATAACTAAATTTCCCCACTTCAAAGGAAAAAAGTCGAACTAAGTCATGGGATTTTGAATCTAGGACGACGCTAATTTGTTTGCTAGTTAAGATATTAGATTTTTTAAAATATACATAATTTTTTTTCTGACATCATTACAAATTATAAATCTCTCTTTGAAAGGGACCGGATTCGAACCCGAATCTGGTGAGAAGACAGAGGTGAGAACCACTAGCCCACTTGCTCCTTCTCAAATATACAAGATTTTTTTTAAAAATGTTTTAATTATGCATGTGCTGTGGAGAGTATACATATAATAAGCATAGATATAAATAAGTGGGAGCACATGGTTTCCCTGTCATGTTCCAAACTACCATATTGGGGCCATTGTGTGAGATTGATTGTTCCGAACAACCTTAAGTTTGGTTCCAAGTCTTTACTTTTATTTACATGATTGAGACTAGTGGACATAAACTTGTAACGATCGACAACAAAAATGGTGGAAGATTTTGTCACACAACTCATACTTTTGTACTCTATTGGCAAAGATGATTGATCTTTCAAAAAAACCCCAAAAGGGGTCAAAAGCTTTCAACGATGGGAGATGAAACAAAAAGCTCACCAAACTTTACCAATTGTTACAAACAAAACAAACAAAACAAACAAAACAGAGAGAAAAATGGAAACAGAACGAAACACTTTTTGTTCATCCACCATTTTTAAAATCATACAGTAGTTTTCAACATTTTTAAACTCGAACCTTCAACGATTTAGCTGGTTCACCTGTAGCTAAGAATCTGGTTTCTCTTCCTCCTTTCTCTGTGATTAAAGATTTCAAATGTTGGCTCCATGGAAACATTTGTAGCCTCACCGAGTAAACGGTTATAAGGACATTGTGCTTATCTTCCTACACATCTCTCATGCTGATGTTTAGGCTATTTTTCATTGTTCTTCTCCCGACACCAGCATTTCCCTTTTGCATCATCGCAACAAATTCTTCATAGTCTATCCGACCGTCCTGTAAGAGAAAGAGAACACCAAAACTTTCATATCAGCAAAAAAAAAATATGGTGAAGAAAGTGAAGAACCATGTCTTGAGGCAAAACTTACATTGTCTTGATCTACTTCTTTGATTACGTCTTCAAGAAAAACATCGGTCATCCCATGTTCAATGCAAGATTGTTGCAGCTCATCAATGGTAATGTAACCACTTCCATCTTTGTCAAAGTACTGAAATGCAGAGACAAGATGCTCTTCTCTCTCGAGTTTATTCAGATGGATCGTCGCTGCAATAAACTCGCTGTAATCTATTGTACCACTGTTGTCCACATCAGCCTAAGATACAATACACATAATTAGGTTACTGTCATCAATATAGCAAAATGAAATCGTATATTTCTCAAAAGCATGCATTTTTTACCGCTTCCATAAGATCTCGGATCTCGGTGTCTTTCAAGGTTGAACCATATCTTCTCAAGCCAGCTTTAAGTTCATCAAAAGTGATTGCACCGCTGTTATCCGTATCCATTGCCTCAAACATTGCTCTCAAACCCGCAATCTCTTCTTCTGAGAGGCTCTCAGCTATCACCTGATCATTCCATAGCAAGTAATATGAGTAAACATATCACAAACCAATGTGATGCATAGACACTAGAACATAGAGTATAACTTCAAACTGACCTTTAAAGCCATCTTTTTTAATTTATTCATTGCAGAAAATTGTTTTAGACGAGACAAAACAGCCGGATCAAGTGCTCTATCCGGGGCAACTCCGTTCTCACAGATCCATGGATGGCCTGAAGAAAAGAGATACCAGAGATACATATAGTTTAATGTTGCCAAAAGTAACCATTTATATAACTGTAGATGATTACGTACGCAAGACTTCATGAGCAGTCAAGCGTTCAGAGGGACTAGAGCATAGCATTTTCCGGATCAGATCTTTAGCACTGTCGGATATCACGGGCCATGGGTCTGAATCAAAGTCGATATATCCCTTCAACACAGCATCAAATATTCCTTGCTGTGTTTCTGATTCCAAGAAACAAAAAAAAAAAAGAACAAACTTCAGGAAACCTTGTCAATGTCATTAAGAGAACGCGATGAAACGGCTATATGCCAACGCGCATACCTGCCCAAAAAGGCGGGACACCACTTAGTAAAATGTAAAGTATGACACCAGCAGTCCACACATCAGCTTCTGGACCATAATGTTTAAGAAGAACCTCAGGAGCAACATAGTATGGACTTCCAACAACATCTTTGAATATTTGGCCTATGAGAGTAGTGTTACAAAAATGCATTAGGCAAAAGCTCGCAGACTAATGAATTCTTTAGAACCAAATCAAGCTCTATGATTCTCCTAAGATGCTAAAACACTAAACTAGAAACCACATTACCTGGTTTGAAGAAAACAGAGAGACCAAAATCAATGGCCTTAAGAGAGAAATCATCATCCTTATTAACCAACAAGAAATTCTCAGGCTTCAAGTCTCTATGCATAACACCAAGCGAATGACACGCCTCAACAACACCGACAATGATCTTGGTCAGCTCCGCGGCTTTCCTCTCGCTGTAATGCCCTCTCTGAATAATCCTATCAAACAACTCACCACCAGCACAAAGCTCCATAACAATGTGAACATACAAAGGATCCTCATAAGCTCCTTTAATAGTAACAATGTTCTTGTGACCAGCTAAATGGTGCATTATCTGAATCTCCCTCCTAACATCCTCAACATCTTCTTTAGATATCAACTTCCTCTTGGATATAGACTTACAAGCATAATCAACACCCGTGGAAACATCGGTACACAGATACGTCGTCCCGAATTGTCCTTGTCCTAGCTTACGGCTCAAGGTGTAAAGATCACGGATGTTAGGAGTCTTGTGACCAAGAACATAGTAAGCTTGGTTGTCCACGTTACGCCGCATAATTGGTTCTTTAGCAGGAATCACAAGACCTGGATTGTTGCTATTGTTGTCCTGTTTCTGAGCTTCTTTGTACAAATCTTGTTCTGTAGCGGTAGGAGAATGATCAGAGGAAACAGTGGTGACGGATTTGGAATTCTCCTCGGGCCTATTAGTATTGCCCTCGTAGATTTTGTCCTTGAAAGAACCACGGCATGAATTGCCCATGAAACAACTCTCTCTATTTCTTCCACACACAAAAGTTTCTCACTTTCTTCTTCTCCTCATCCAACGATACTGTTTGATGATAACAAAACAAATCCAAATCAGACAAAGAAACGAAATCAGAGAACCCACATCAGATCAAGCTTCAAAAAAAAAAAAAAAAAAACACATAATTTGTAAATTTAAACAAAAAGACAAGACAGGAGCTCCTAAAAAGTCGTTGTCTTTAAGGATTATTCAGGAGAAGTTTCATTAAATGTTCATCTGATCATATTATTACTACAGAATATTATAGATAGATCCCACAAAAAATCAAAGAATCAAATCAAATGGTAAATAAAGAAACATGAGAAAACAGAGGATCTAGTACCAGAATAGCCAGAAGAGACGATGCAAATTGAGATTAGGATTCAAATTTCTGGGAGAAGAAGAAGAAGAAGAAGAAGAAAGATAAATATTATTCGTAGATTAGTTTTGTTTTAAAGTCAATAACAAAAGAAATGGTTTCTTTGTATCGTTTTAAAGAAATATATATATCTTTGTGAGTTGCTGTTTCTGGTTGGGTGTAATTGGATTCGTTGAATCATATAATCAAAGAGAGTAAAAAAGATTGAGATTCTTTTTTAGTTGGATTTGTAAAATGGATGAGAGAGGAGAGGAGAGGAGAAGAGAGGATGGTGCAGAGAAGAGAAGAAAGGTCTTACGCGGTTTCGTCTCACCTTCTTCATTCGTTTAATTAATAATTTGATTAATTAATCATTCTTCTTTTACTGGTGTTAATGATGATGATGATTAATGCAAGTAGCTACTAGTATAAAATTGTTTAATGTTTTGTTTAGGATAAAGTTTTACTATATTTTTTTAAGAGAATGATGATTATAAGCCTAACGTTCTAGTATTTTAGCTTTTTCTCAAGAGTTAGGAGTTGGATGTGCTTTTTTTAGCTAAGTAATTAACAAACTAATTATTATTAGATGCTCATAGTTAAAGAGTTTTGACTTTGATTAACTGGTTTTCAAACAAAAATAGTTTGACTGTTCACATTGCTTCATCAAAGAATGTTCATTCTTTTTTTTTTTTTTTTTGTAGCATCTAAACTTTGGCATGTAAAATTCAGGTTTGTGTACGTTGAACCGATAATTATAACCTTTTAGCATTGGGAAATTTTGGTTATATAGTTATAAAGTAATTAGTAATGAATCTCTATTACATAATGTAAAATTTTCATCAATGATGAAGAAGAAAAATAAAATCAGTTTTTATTACAAGAACTATAAAAAGGGCGTGAGACATGTCGTTGTCGGTTTGTGATTAAGATCGCAGACTACATTTGTCTTCGCACGTGCTACAAATTTAGTTTTGTACTTTTCTTTTTTCTTTTTCTTTTTTCATTTTGACATCATAATTTTAGTTTTGTACTTCCACTTTGCATTTTCAATAAATAAATTTACAATCATCATTCTTTTTTTGTAAACACAGTTGTCTTTCAGAAAAAACACACAAAAAAAAAAAAAACATAATTATCTATATGTAAAATCTGAATATACAGTTAGAGTAGAAACTATGAAGAACATTAAGCTTTGATCTACTACTTCTGTTAGAAAATATTTTAAAATAATTCAGATTTTCTGAATAAAATTACTTAAACACCAATACACAAACCTAATAGTTAAATAAAAACTGAGTGTAGTAGTTTTTGGAACTTTCTCTTTGTGTTTACTGAAATGGTCGACCATAAGAAAAGTCATTATACAGCTGCTATATACAAAATTCAAAACACAAGAGACAAAATATATGAACATGTCACAAAAAACACAAACTGGTGGAGTAAATTTGTTTTCTCTAAAACAGTTGGTAAACATCAAATCCAATTACTTGGGAGCTTTTGAGCAATTCTAAAAAACATACAATAACATCTCAGTCTTCTCTTCTCAATCAACATGGTCCACAACATACATAACAACGAGTACCTACCTATGACTTTGCTTTTGCCTCAACCAGTACTTAAAGATCATTGTTTCAATACACTTACTTACAAGCCAGTTCCAGGAAATGAACAAATGCATTTGCCCGCGGAACGAATATGAATGCGCTCACAAGACTCGGTATCTACTACTTGATCTTCTTCTTTTTTATATCATTACAAATTATAAGTCTCTTTGGAGAGAAACCGGATTCGAACCCGATTCTAGTGAGAAGACAGCAGAGGTGGGAACCACTAACCCACTTGCTTATTCTCCTACTACTTGATCTTACATAATAATATGTTATAAGTTTCTAGTTTGATGATGATAGAGATGAATCTACTCATACAAGCTTCACACTCATAATTTAGTTGCATTTGCATCAACCATTTATTCCACTCAACCACTAGGACTATTGTTTTCACAATTGTATATATAATCATTGCTTGGATGAGAAATGAAGCAGAAAGATTAAAAGCTACCACCAAATTTTGGAGTAAGAACAATCATATAATCAGTAGAATTAATGTGGCAGCAGAGTCAACCTACATACCAATATTTCACTAATGTTCATCAATAACTGAAAAGGTCAAATTCTAGTCCAATGGAACAATCATTGTAATTTATTATTTTGAGAAGGAAATAACTATCTCAGAAACTTGTGCTCTCTCTTACTCTTGAGCTGTTTAGGCACTTGGATGATCAAGTCCTTGAGGAACCTTCCCAGGATAGTTTGTGGTCTCTACAGAATCAGTCCCCAGGTTCCTACACACAACAACAACAACATAATAAATAATCCAACACACAGTCAAATCTTATTACTCTTCTGTTACAACTTATTGCCATCTTTTTGCTTACCCTTGATCGACGATGACCACAGAGCGAAGCTCACAGTTTTTGAAACTGAACAGAGTTAAAGAGATTTTTGATTAGTAAACAGTTACTGCATTATTGAAGTTATACAAAATTTTGGTGCTTGTAGATATCAAGTTTGTGTTTTAAGCTCTTACTGTATAGACAGCTCTTTCTTGATGTCATCGGCACAGTCCTTCCCGAAAGAATTTAACATACCGTGCAAGAAGCCGCTGTGAGATACAACTGCGATCTCCTTCTCTTTCCGCGTCCATAGCCTTCACAAAGCAAGAGATTAAGCTATACTTTTGCTTACATATCTCCATGGGGAAATTAGTAACAAAAAACTCACCATTTGATGAACTCTACACCTCTGGCTGCAACTTCTTCAAGGCTCTCTCTTGGACTTGGCTTCCACAAAACATCCTTGTCGCTTTCAATCTAAAACCATAGAGAAAACTAGCATAAGAAACTTACCAAACATTTCCAAAGAAATAGATACTAAACCAAAATAAGATGTCTTTTTTACAATAGAGAAATCGATTGCGGGAAAGAGAGCCTTGTACTCTGTGACGCTTCTTCGCCTATCACAAGGATGATCACCCTGCATTCATAAAAAGAAATCTTTAACAATGTGAATCTTCACCCATCAATACTAACACCCTCCTTAACTACTTCTGTACCATAGTTTCCCTGCATAGCTCAACAGCAAGAAAAGGTGGGCTATTTAAGCTTGAAATCGCAGGGTGATCGCTGCTCCCAGCGTTGGCCACCATAAGCGGTGTTGCATCAGCTCCATTAGTATCTTCTTCACCTCCAAAAGCACCAACAGCAGTTTGTATAGTTCTACATTTAAAAACAATCATAAAAACTGAGTTTTTATAGCTAACTATTTCATTTTACTGAGTAACCAAAAAAAAGCACAAAGTGGTGACATTGTGAAACTTTCTTTTACCTAAGCAAAGGTGAAACAATAACAAGTTCAACCTTGTTTAAGAGCTGAGTTTCTCTAACATGGCTCCTTAGATTATCAACCTGTGCCATAGAGAGATGATGATGTTAATGGACGACAACATCGTTACAAGATCAGTAAGATCCATACCAGAACAGAACAGAACAGAACAGAACAGAACAGAACAGAACAGAACAGAACAGAACAGAGATCATAGATATACATACCTGTTGCCAACCAAGAGGGGTGAGATGAGCATCAAAGTAATCTTCAGAAGAGTAAGCACTGTGATCTTTTTCACCAGCCACGTTATGAATCCCTTGAGCATGTCTCACCTACCAGAAAAATACAAAACCCGTATGAGAAACATGTGAGAAAGAGAGAGAGAACAAGAACCACACATTTATCTCTGGTTTGTACGAACGAACGAACCAGGTGAATGGTTTTGCAACGCTGAAGAGGGTAAAGACCAATGTTTCCGTGGTTCATGACTACAACAATATCTTCTTCAAATCAAGATCAGAAAGGTGTGAAATCTCAAAATGTTTTTTTGGGAAGTGTCGTTGAGATAGAGGAGAGATCCTAAACCGCCGCATGTGCCACACTCTCTCTAATCTAATATTATATTTTAACTATTTTGTAAAAAACAAGAAAAGAAACGTGTGTGACTGAGAAAGGGCCATTGTTAACCTAACCAGCCCAATATGTATTGATGATGGCCGACGTATTTCACTTTTTTGTTCCACGCGGTATCATTATAGTATATTCTTTTTGTTTGTTTGTTTGTTTTGCCCCATACCAATTACAAAACACAAAGAATCTGTGAACTGTTAATTAGCAAAACTGGCGAATCTCAAGACTCAAGAGAGTTGATGTAAGTCATTAGAACAGGAACTGTTGAATGATAATGTTAGGTATAGGATGCAATGAACCTGCTCTGTAGAAATGGAAGGTGAATGGGTTTTCACTGTTTTATTTTTAGGAAAGTTATGTGAATGTGAATAAAGTTACAGTGGAGAGATTCTTTCCTTCATGGTGTTCTTAGTCATGATTAGCTTCCATATAGAAGAAAATATGAAGAAGTCACAAAAAGTTTTTAGCTAAAAGCCTAAAACCAACCACTTGGGAGCTGTATTGAGCAATCATGAAACAGCAACATCTCAGTATTCTCTTCTCAGGCAAAAGTGGTCCATAACAAAGATAAAACCAGACACTTTCCTTTTTTACCTCATTGAGTTAAAAGATTATTGTTTTCTGTTTACAAGAAATATCACTCATTAGCACCTTACTTACAATCCAATCTCAGGCAGGAGTTGGACAAACAAATGCATTTTTTTCCATGAGACTAAAATATCAAATGCTCATTCCAACCGCTATACAACGCTTGGATATCTACTTGCAAGAGAATCTTACATGATAGTGTGTTTTGAGTTCCTCGTTCTGGTTTTGATATAGGTAGATCTACTCTTCTAAGCTTCACAGTGATAATTTAGTTGCTTCCAATGGTTTCCTCACTCCTCCACTTGTAGGGCTATATTTTTCACAATTGTATCAAAGCTGGTTAGATGAGGATTGAAGTGGAGATATTAGAGCTTCTGATATGGAAACTGGGAGAGGTGTCTACTTACAATCCACTTAAGACTTTGATGGCGTCATAAAAGAACCATTGCAAGGTAATGACAGGTCCAACAATTGTGATCCGAACAGGGAGACTTCTCGTGAAAAGACCAACAAACCCAATATTCCTCACAGCCTGAAGATTAAGCAAATAAAGAACATCAAACAGGAACATTTTATTATCCTACGGAATAGTGAATGGATCTCAAAAAATAATTTGCAGATGATAGTTTAGACTTAAGAGTACCTGCAGTACACTTTTGGCTTTGTTGTTGTAGAGAGACGAGACAACCACATCTGCGGGGTTAGAGATGATTGTACCTACAGCTCCAGCAGTATAGCCAGCAAGACATGTGACACCGAGCTGTTGAGCTTTAGAGCAATCTTGCTTCCTTTTGTGGATAACCTTTTGATATATAAACTCAACTGACTGCTCAAACGTTGAGAACATCACCATTGCAACTGAAACGACACATAAAACATCAAAATCAACAAAATATGGTTTTGGTAGAGAACACAACCAATCCTACGAAAAGGCTAATATGTAGATACAAACATTTCAGTATACTTGATGCTAATGCCTAAATCTGAACGATTTGATTACATAACTGAGAGTTTGCAAAATCATAATATATAGATTAAGATCAAACTGATGCAGAGAAAATGATGATGTTCAGTGAAAATGGAGCAGTAGTATTACATGGAAGATTACGACACCAGAGCGGAAAAAGTCCCCTGTGGAAGCTGCATATGAAGAGATAAAGACTCAAAACAAAATGTTAAGTGAGACAGCCAAGCAGAATGATTCTGAGAAAAAAGGGCATACCCGGCAAGACCTTCACTTCTATATACTCTTGGAAATCCATCAAGCAAACCTTTTGCGAACAGAGGCTGCGTCTGAACTCTAACTTTGATTGCTTCAAAAGGACACAAAGCCATATCGGCAAATACCTGAGCAGAAGCGCTGCTGAGAAAATATATTGAAGTTCTGTTATGATTAGGTAACACATTGCTGTAGAGTGTCTTGAAGTACTCATATAGTCCGAATCTGCATCCACCTTGAACACCATAGCCTAATAGCTTCCCTGACCAACCTCTCCAAAGATAAGAATATCCATGCTCTCTTAATAAAGTGGAGAAACCAGAAGGAATGCTATTGTACTTCACAGGATTCACCTACAAGAGAGAGAGTGATCGATCCTCAATTCCTCATTTGACTGAGACAATCATAAAGATCCAATTTAAGCACAGAGAAGAGCCAAAAAGATCCTAAATTTAGCAGTTCTATCCATCATCATACATCCTAACAAAGACAAGTAAGTTAAAGAAACAAACAAGAATAAAGATTTGAAGCATATAACAAAGATGAAATCAAGAAACAGAGGAAAGAAACAAAACCTGCATATTGACTTTGAGGACATCAAGAGGAGTTATAGCCAAATGGATAGTTCCGGCACTAAGCATTCCTCCCATGGTGCAAACAGTATAAAACCAAGGAGACGACAGATCATCATCTAGTTTGGTTTTGACTCTTGTCATCTTCTAACAAAACCGTTTCAAATCCCGATAAACCCTAATCCGTCAGAAAACAAAAGTTGTTCTTTGGCGTTTTCTCTGGTAAAGCCCCAAAACCCAGAGAAGGAAGAAACACGTCAGGGGAAAGCTATGATGGAAGAGAGGCAAAGAGTGTGTACGTGGAAGAAAGGGTTCTCATTTTCTGATGGAGATCGCTCGTCCACGTCTCACGGACAAAGACAAGGCTCAGAACTAAACACAAGGCTCTCTCTTTTTACTTTTTCCCCTAATAAAGTTCCAAGATTTCTGGAAGAACGCGTTGGCGGAAAAATCGAATATTTTTGGTGAAAAGTCACAAGAAAATGGTAAATTTCAATTTAGGTTTCATGCCGGCGGATTACCGTTACCGGAATATATATATATGAGTCTTCTTCTTTCGAATTGGGCTTTCATGGGCCTTCTAGTTTTGGTTCTTTACATCTTCATTAGCGTCTTAAATCTTAATGATTGGATTTTAGACATCTTTGGTTTGCCTGAAGTCAATAGGATTTGGTTTATCTTGCTTAACCGAAGCTTGTCTGTTTCCTTCTCTTTCGTGGCTGGTAATTTATGTCTAAGGTAGGTTTGCTCCACACTGATCAGTGGATGGGTAACAAAACCTAATATGAGTGGATGGGTAACATTTGCTAGTTTTGTTACCATTCTGATTGTGTTGAAACTTAGAGAGTGATACATCAGTGAAACCAAATTTTGCTGAGTGTTACTCTCAAACTCAAAATCCAAGAAACCAAAGACAGACTAAACAAAACTCAAATTACATTGTTCTCTATTTGTGTAGAAACAAGCAACTTTTATTATCATCTAGAAATTACAGTACAGAGAAAGATTTGTTCCAATCAGAAAATCACCTGGAAATGCTGTTGACAAGCCTAGCACCAATCTTATCAAGCTTCTTCACAGATGCAACAGATTTCAAATGTCCAACTTTCCAAAACGCTTCCACCATCTTCTCTCCTATCACTTGACCCATCTCCTCTGAATCAATCACCGCAACCGCTGTTGGTCCAGCTCCGCTAATCGTACATCCATAAGCTCCAGCTTCCAAAGCAGCCTTCTTCACAGCTTCCATTCCAGGAATCAAGGGCGCTCTCGTCGGCTCGACAATCTTATCAGACGACAATGCCTTCCCAAGCATCACTGCATCTCCTTCTAGCACGGCAGCGACTAAAGCAGCCGCTTGGCTACTGTTCCAAACATGGTGAACCATTGGAATCTCTGTAGGCAATGCAGCTCTCATTTTCTTGGTTGGAGCTTCAAATTCAGGGCTCACTAGAACAAAGAAGAGATCTTTATCTGATGGGAACCTCAATGGTTTCAAATCAAGAGGTTCGTAGTTTCGAATCAAAACGAATCCACCCATGATCGCTGGTGCGATGTTATCAGCGTGATAACCGGAAACTTTAGCTTCCGATTCTAAACCGGCTAAAACCAATTCCTCACTTCCTAATTTCCGGCCAAAGATCTCATTAACCGCCACAGCTGCTGCGGCGGCGCTAGCTGCACTAGAACCTAAACCGCTACCTAAAGGTAAGCCTTTGTGCAAATCTAATGACAAACCAACCGATCTAATCCCTAACATCTTCATCGTAGCAATGGCAGCGATTCCAGCACAGTTCCGGAGAGGATTAGTGCTGAGCTTTGTTGTGGTTCCGGTGATCTCCGAGATTGAGATCTCACCGGCTCGTACCGAAGGATCTACACGGAGAGTCACGTGGTCACCAAGACCATCGACGGCGCATCCTAAGAAATCAAACCCTGGTCCCAAATTAGCGACGGTGGCTGGCGCAAAAGTCTTGACGGAGACGAAAACTGGCTCCGGCTCAACGGCGACGAGTGTTTGTACGGAAGCTTTGCATCGAAAGACGGAGACTTTCGCGAACAACGGCGGCGATGGATTGAATTTAGGTTGGAAATAAGAAATGGGTTTAGAAGGAGACTGGAAACAGAGACTCGCCATTAGAGAACACTAATGAGATCACCAAAGCAAGAATGAACAAAGACGAAAACTTTAAACAAATATATATGACAGAGAGAGAGAGAGAGATGAACAAACGTGACCACCTAACCTAATACTTTCTCCATTAAAGCTGATTACTTTTTTAAGTGGAGTGAGTGAGAGATCAGATTCAGATTGGCTCCTGAGTTCTGACCATTGAAATTAACGGTTTAGTTACAAACCGAACTGAACCGGACTGGGAAGCTTGTTCACTTCAGTTTGGCTCTTGCAAGCACTTTTGAGGTTCATGTTTATGCTTCAGTGTAGATGATTGCAAATATGTATATATAACTTATCCATGTCTTCATATAAACAAAATCTCATTTTGGTTGCAAATGAGGTGTGTGTTAAAATGTACAGATTAACAAAACCATAAGTACAGTCTTCTGTTTCTTCATATTGATCTTCTAGATGTGCACCATAAGATACTATTCGTTCTTCATATAGATCTTCTAGATAAGCTCCTTGAGATACTACTTGCATTCATTGAAAGGTCGTTGTTTCTTTTGCGCTTGACCCTTCGCTTTGTTTCTTCTTCCTTTTCATCAACAAATGCTAGAAAAGTCTGCAGTTTTGTTAAAGGTGAACTTTTGGGTGAAGGTATAGCTTCTTCTTCTTCAGGTGTCTGTTTGCAGAAGTTGCGGATTATCTTAAAGAAGTGGATAAAGAGAGCGACGAGACAGGCGATCCCAACTACAAGGAACATGCCCCAGAAGCTATGCACGTTGAGCTGTTCTGAGTCCCCTGACTGAGACCCGTGCGGGCTGCTGCAGTTGGATTTGGAAAGCCATCGGTCATGGATCTTCTGAAGCTCGCCAGTTTCCGATAGCCCAAGAATCGCGGTTGACATGTCAACTGCTAAAGGAGAGTCTCTTGGAAATGCCTATTTTTAACAGAAAATGCAAAAATGTGATCAGAATTATGTTTGAACATGCTGGTAAAGAGAGAAGAGATTCAGAAGATGACTCACAAATCCCCAACCGCATCTAGTGAATTCTTGACCTCTGATGGCAAATTTACAGTAATCTGAGAGAAAGAGATCAATATAAGGACGTTCATCAACAATTGCAGCAACAGTGCCATTTTGAAGCGCATTAGCATATTCTTCAGGAGAGGTAAGAGCCACAAGCCTGGATCTTGCAATGTTAAGCTCCTCGGTCATGTAGTTCTCAGCAAAAGAACCAACCTGGAAGCCAATACGACCAGTGCTACTGATGAGTGTATCTACTCCTTTTATAGGTGAATTAAGCTGTTGAACTGTAAGTATTGATGTGAGACTCGCTGTGTAGCTAGATGTAATGATCAGAACCACAAAAAGCCATATCAGAAGCACCATACGACCAAGCGTGCTCACAGTAGTCTCTCCTACGAGTTTGATTTCATAAAGATGTTAAGAACTTCACACAGGAAAATTGCAGTAATTAGCTTGAGGGGGTTTCGACACTTACTGTGGGAGAAAAACATTGTCGAAAAGGTGAACCTGCATGGTAATAAAAGAGTAAAGCTTGCATTAGAGCTATAGTAATCATCCTTTTTATACAGAAAAATTAGATAACTCTTGTATACTAACCAGAGAATGGTAATAATCTGTCTCCTCGGCGTACCACGAAACTCATCATTAATACGATGTTCAAGAATCCAAATTGCAGCTCCCACAATAACGAAAAAAGATGCTGTTACTGCCCACATAGGAAGAGTAAACGGGCGTAAGAAGGCCCAAGGATTTTCGTTAAGTCTTGTGACAGGAGCAACAACAACAAGGCCTGACTCAATGTATGGCTGGGTGAAATCCACAATCTTGGTTCGTTTGGTGACAATAGCTATGTCACCTACAACAGCATCGAAGTCAACCCCAGTGGTGACCTTATTAACTAGCTCATTGTAGTTTGGACTCGTTAGACCATCTCCGAAAAAGATAAACTCATGAGGAACCGGATAAGAAAGCAGTTTCACCGCAGCTTCAAATACATCAATGCAATATCCTTGTACTTCGTTGCTACTTCCATTGACCCTTGAGACAAAGTCCTTGAAGCTTCCTCTATCAGGAACACCGATTCTCAACCGCCTTCCATTGTTACGAAAAACCCATCCACGAGGTGTAATTGAAGTCCCACCAGGCCAAGTTACAGAGTTCAGATGTTGGTTTGAGCTAGAACGGTTAGGAGGTTTGGTGTAAAATGATTCAGGCGGTACAATAGAAAGACCAGAATAGTTAGACCAGTAACCTATTTGATGAACCCTGTCATCAACCAAATTGATAATATCATATGAAGGGTGCAACATTGATCTGTCTAGATGAAATTGAACCGGACCAGTTAGACCAGACATCTTTGTATGCACAATATAATCAAGAAGTTGTGATCCTTGATCAAATCTGCTTAATGCACTTAGATTCAAGGCCTCACCTTTCAAGCTGCCTAACTGTGCATGATTGGAGAAGGAAAGATTACCTCCAGCTTCCAGAAGTGCCTTAACGGCTCGAGCAATGATCCAGACAGTATCATAAGCATACAGACCATAGACATTCAACCCAATAGTCTTGTTATTACTCAACTTGTTCTTCCACCGTGCTGCAAAGTCCCTTTTCTTTCTCGAATCTGGCGTGTGAAGACGCAGTGTTAGAACTCCATTGAACAATTTCTTATCCAAAGGAAAATTTGAATCTAGCAGAGAAGACAACCAAGTTGTAGCTATCCAAACATAGCCTTTCTCCATCATCCCTAATCTCTGTGCTTCCTTAAAGATCATCGTGCCTGTATTTGGGAAAGTGTTCACAACAATTACTCGAGATTCCATTCCCCGGATCTTAATCAACTCCTCTATAATCTCAACTGGACTAGAAATCACAACATCCAGGGGAAGTATTGCCTTGTAAGAAATCCTGCAACGCCTCTCTTCAAGCTCATCGCCTAAAGCTGTAACGCCATTTCTGCTGTTATCATCATCATTATATAACGCCACCACATCCGACCAGCCATAGTATGTGATCATCTCTGCAACGGCGCGCATCAGAAACAGATCACTAGGTGCTGTTTGGACAAAGTATGGAAATTGGAGTGGAGAAAGTGTAGGGTCAAGCGCCGTAAATGACAACATTGGAACAGTAAGCTCATTGGCAAGATGAGACAACACATGAGCCATTATTGATGTCTGCGGACCAATTATAGCCACTGCATCAGTCTCCATGAATTGCAATGCTGCAACAACAAATGACAAGTGAAGTAAGTTCTTTTATCCAAACGCAATCAAGAAAATGGATGCAATGAAACAAAGATAGGATTTTTAAGTCTTCTTGAACCTCCCATGATGCTGAGGAATCCACTACGTTTAGCATCATTGATCATAATCCGCAATTTCGATCCACCTAGGAAGCTAGGATCAGAATTTACATCTTCCTCAGCAGCTTTGAAAGCGATACTCGCAGTTTCACCGTACATGGTGTTTATACCAAATATAGCACCAACTTTAATAACAGGGGGCCTAGAACTAGAAGCTCCTTCAGAAAGTAACAACCCATCACCAAGAAAAATGATGAAGCTCAACAAAACCCAATTCATTGAGCTTAACATTGAACAATAAAAATGCGACCTTTGAGTTAAAACCCAAACCAGATTTCAAAAGCAGAGAGAAGCAAAAGCAAGTAGCTTTCAGTTTTTGACCAGTGTCACGGGAAATTTAAAACCTTTTACCACAAAAAGGAGGTGGAGATGAATTCGAAGCAGAGATTATACCAAACCTCAAAAACAAATCAACCTTAAAGAAGTAGGAAAAGCTTAGATTAATGAACTGAAAAGGGAAGACATGAGGAACAAGCAAGAGAAAGGGGGAAGGGAATATAAAATCGTGGGTATGTTTGAAGATTTGAGAAAGGTACAAACTTTACTTTTGATTGGTTTTTGAAACAGTGTCCATGGAGGAGACGACTACTCAGCTTCAGGAGATAACAGAGGGAAAAGCTTTTGATGAAGGAAAGCAAAACGTGGGAAATGACATGGACAACAACAACAGTAGTGGTAAGTGGTCACTGAAACAAAGATCTCCATTACAAGAAATTTTGTCAAACCACTGAAACTAAACCATTTTCTTTCCAAACCCCAAAAGACAAAAAACAATGAAGAATTTAAATTTTAAATTTAAATTAGTCTTTTTTAGAGGGGAAAATAAACTAAAATTAGGTAAGATAATGTAGTTTAAAGTTGCTAAAAAGTGTTTTGTTGGAGTATATGAAAACAGATTCAGGTTTCTTGAAATTTGTGAATACTGAATACCACCATTTTATAAAAATAAAATAAAAACAATTTGTGAGTTTTGTATGTAACACATAAACCACATTTTTTTTCTTCATTTTCACATATTCATATCATACCGACAAACACATCTTTATCTCTCGTTTCTCTTTTAAATCATGGTGGTTGCATAGGTTTTACTTAGAAATATTATGTACACCACTTTTGAGTGTTAAGCTTTGATGAAAGTGAGCTTGTTAAAGTTTCAACAAATTTATAAAATGGGCACAACTAATAATAGAAAAGGATATAATTTTAAAGTGGTGGTGGTGTGTGCCTAGTGTAGTAGTGTTGATTTGCACAACCAATTACAATATTGTGCACGATGAAAAGATTGTAATGATGAACGAAAGGAAACTGAGAAGACTAATATATGGAATGAGGAGAAAACAAAGTGTAATGGCCAAGAAAGATCATATTCCAATTGGAATATATATATGATGGGGATTTGTGTTTGAATCTCTACCAAAATTGGACCATACACTAATGAAAATCTTATTAAAGTACCAAAGATCCTCTTTAATTCCCATTTGCCTAATGACCGAACAAAATATCCTCATTGTAGTGTTTTGCACACGGTGCCTTCGAAACTCATATTCATGGGCTGTAAATTTCTATTTTTTTTTTTTATCAAAAACAGTCTGAAAAATAAAAATACGGCCAGGGTTGATACACTTAACGTTACATTTCAGTATCAAAGCTGATTTCTGATCGATCAAAACTACAAAATTTGTCAACACAAGCATTCGAATAACCCGCACTTTAGTTTCATGGGTTGGCTACTCTTTCAAAATCTCTCAAAATCAGCATTTTACTTCCTCTTTCGGAATGGCGAATGTCCACCCCGGAAAATCTGAATCCTCAAACAGAGATGTTGGAATCGCTTTGTAAAAAGCTACAGGAACTTGTTTTACTCTTCTACGAATCTGCAAATGTTAATATCTCCACGGTTAGTTTCATCTAATGGTACCGGATTTGCGACTATAAATGGGAAACCAAAATCGAGTAACAAAAGAGTTGATATCATTATGAACCAGAGCTACATTACCTCGTCCCCAAATATGGTGGCATATGAGCCAGAGCTATAATCTTCAATTTTCATTTCAGCTGTTTTCGCTCTCTTGGTTAGATCAGTTTCTAGAGATGAGATAAACCTAGAAAATTGAAATATAGGAATCAAGGAAATGACCAAATGTAAAAATATTTTCTGATATAATCATTTGGTGAGCATATATACCTTGAAACGGGTGGGCAGTAATGATGGCGCAAAGTGTCGATCTCCCAAAGAGAACTTTCTGTAACAAGTTTGGTGGTTTCCAGTAAAACAAATATCATCAGTTCTCTTACAATTTGTCTTAACAAGATAACAACTTACAGAAAGCAAAACAACACATTGTTCTCGAAATTTCAAAATGGTAAAAACTATACTTTGTCACATTATCTATGAATCTAGAGAACCCGGGAATTCTCATAAAACTAATACATGCTACAAAGCCGCTAAAGTACAAGTCAGGAAATCTGAAAGCACACACATCATCGTTTTTTGCTTGATGAATCATAGGGGTCTAAGTAATTTTGTGCTAGTGGTGTGGAAAGTAGAAAATAAAAATATAAGACTGGGAATAGAAACTTACTTAAGGCACCAGATTTCTTGGGATCACTCTCCTGGTTGTTAAAATAGTCAATACCAAGCTTTCGCTTTTTGGTCTTTGGTTGGCTGTCGTTGTTGTGTTCATCAGCCTCTGCGTTGGATTCATTGGCGGTTTCAACAGTTTCCTGAACACGAGTGGCCCATTATAAGTCCATGCTTTTCATAAATTCTTTTGTTCAGTTGTGAGGGATATTATACAGAGGTCCATTTCCCATCTAAAACTATGTAATTTGCATTTTTAAGAACAAAGAAAGATAGTTCATACCTGCACAAGATGGTTAATTGTAGGATGTCTTCGTAAAAGGTTGAAGATCAAAGCTGTTATGACCAACGATCCCGCGGGAGGAATGGAAAGTGACAATCTGCTTAGTTTCTTTGTGAATGAAGCTGCCAGATATGCTGGAAGCATTGACGATTTCAGGCAAGCATCAAGAAGCTGCAGAAATCATTTCAGATATAGAGGGAAGAAAAATAGATTATCAAGTAATCTGTAAATCATCGGTTACAAAAATAAGGCAATACCTGAAGAAATTTTGCTCGGTGCTTTGCAACAAAGACAGAAGGCACCAGTAACGCATATAGTTTGTCATAAAAGTTCGGATACTCCAAACCATGTTGTGTCATGAGGATGAAGAGACTGCTAAGAGCCATCACACTGACAACTCCCCCAATGTCATATGATTTTGTTAAGAAATCGCTGTAAAGTATGGTGAAACATATGTAAGCGCTTATTCAAGGACAATGACATATAGAGAATGAAAGAAGCTTTGGTAAATATGCCCACCATAACATTGTAGGATTAGATAGATGGGGAATGACTGTCTGGTGAATACTAGCAAGAACCTGGTTGTTAGAAGATAACATATTGGTAAGTCTTCGTCCATGCCAGATTTTAGACAAATGGCTAGTTATGAAAGAAAATTGGCTTACCTCCTTGTAAACATCAAGAGGAAGAGGTAGTCTGAGAAATGAAATCCATGCTTTAGTGAACTTCAACTTCATCCTCTTGCTAATAGTCGTCGGAGAAAGGAGCTGGATTTTTTAAAAGGGCAAATTAAGAGGCAAAAAGTAAGCAATTACATGCCAAGAAGAAAAATTATTCACTGAACAGTGTAGATTTAGCAAACTTGCAAAACTCACAGCGCTGTCTCGTTCCTCAGATTTTTTCTTTTTGTCTTTCGGTTTCTCACTACTGCTTTCATCTGGAAATACCAATAACTCTTATTAGCAAATCTAAACACATATGGAGTCCTCTGCACCAAAGTAAAAAACATGTAGTCAAAAGCTCGATAAACAATCACCTGATCCACTCCACATCTCATGGTGAGACTTTTCAGCTTGTTTCTCAGGTGGTGGAATTTGAGATAAAACTTGATAGATCTTGCGAACAGAGAGTTCTAGGCTACAATCCACAATTTTTCCAGATCATCCACAACACAATAACAACAACAACAAAGAGCTTAAAGATAACATTTAAACAGACTGGAAGAAAGAGCAAGAAATGTAAGATATATACTGATACTAACCTTTCTTTTGGATCATTCTCAGCCTCACTATTCTCAGTCGCCATTGTATCACCTAAGAGTAAACACCAAAATAAAAACTTACATTATGCATCAAGATGATTAAAAAAAAAGGATCTCAAGAATGAAAAGGCACGGATAAAAACGCACCAGACAAGACTGATGCTTCCAATGTTTTCACAAACTTTTCCATACTGATGTAGGTAAAATAGCTGGCATAAATCGATATTGAGAGTCAAAATCTCAGATGAGCAGAGGATAGAACATGGAGTATATACATATATGAAGCAAAGGGTTATTAACATACCGGACATCAATGTATTTGAAGTACTTCGATGTAAGTATATCCAAGAATATCTCAACATCAACTGCAGAGTGAATCTACAGAGACCATAGTAGAAACATGGAGCACAGCAAAAACAGTAAATAAAGAAGAAGAGTATTTCAATACTAATTAAGCCTGAGACTAAAACTTACAATAGCATGAAGTAATCTCTGGTAGATTGAAGAATGAAACCTTCCAACGTTCAAAAGCTTTACAAACTCCATCAATGTTCCCAACACAATTCCCTAAATCAACCAATGCAACCAAAAACATTCAGATACCAAAACAAACAACGCTATGTAAAACCACAAATTAAGTAATGCAGAGAAGTTTACCTTTAGCTCATCTTCTGACTGTTGAGAGACAAGAACATCGAGTAGAAGCTTGACGAATTCGTCAAATTTTGATCTGAGCCAAGCTTTGAAAACAACTTCAGGGTCATCGTCTTCGGAACGAGGGAGTTTGGTTTTGGTTGAAGAAGGAGACGAAGGAAGCTGAGAGAGGAGAGGAGTGAAAAAGGATTGAAGTGAGAGGAGTGATTCCACGACGAACTGCGGCGGCGATTCAGGTGAGACGAAGGTGAGAAGGAGAGGAAGGTTATTGATGTGGGAACGAGAAGTGAGTAAGTCATTGCCTAGTGACTTGAGCTCTTTCAACGTGTATTTCTCTTTCTTCTTCTGCTTCTTCGAGAGGATTGACGCCATTGTTGAGCTTTTCTCTGGTACTGTGGCGCGGAGACAGAGCGGAAGAAGAAGAAGATGAATTTAGCAAGAGAGAGGAACAACACAAAAAAGAAAAAAACCTAACGATGTAATTGCAAACAAGACGGCGTCGTATTTACCACTCAGGAAACACTAAATTATGTTTACGCCCCAAATTTTGTAACATATCAAGATTTGACCCTTATATTTTCGTTTACTCAATTAGAACCACTAAAGTATGGTTACCTGTGACGATGCTCTATAACCTCTATTTTTCAACATACAAAGAAGGATCGAAATTTCAAAAGGATAGCTTCTGAACTTGTGGCATTACACAAATATAATACACGAACAGGAGTATGAGATTAAATCTAGCAACTAAATGTGAGAAAAGATTGATTCTATTTCCTCCTCCAAAACACTACAAAAGTTGGAACAAAAAGGCTCTCTTCGATCGGTGTCTCTCGATGTTTCCATCTTTGTCGTTTCTCCAACCAAAAATCTATTGCTGCTTCTCGGGTTGTTCCTCTTCTTCTTGGTCTGGGTTCTCTTCTTCCTCTTCTTTCTTCTCTTCCTCTTCTTCATCTTCTTCCGGAGGATCATAAGGCATCGGTGGTGGCAGTGGTGTCTTCATAGGGCTAAACTTGGGGAAAATGTCAGGTCTCCTCCCAGGTTTAGGTCTCTCCCACTCCTAACAGTAGATCACAACAATCCAATAAGGAGTATTACAACCCAGTGCCTTAATGACAACCAAAAGAACATGCTCTTTACATCGAACCTAAGTAGATTCTTGCATAGTCTATAAAGAAACAATGAACACTAATCCCCTCTTAATGCAAACAGAACACATGATGAGCAACCAAATCAAACCTAAGTAGATTCTTGAATAGTCTATAGAGAAACAATGAACACTAATCCCTTCCTAATACAAACAGAACACATAACGAGCTACCACCAAATCACACTTTTGGAGTCATAAAGAGAAAAGCTTTTCTCTAGACTTGAATCAATTGAACTAACTGTTAACACATTCAGGTAGATTCATAGACAGAGCATAACCAATTGCTTTCAATTCTTGATGTAACTTTCTAACACCAATCAAGGAAAGCCATGACAGAACAAGAAACATCGAAAATGGAGAACAAATCACAGACTCTGGCACAACAACTTGACTAATAGCTACTTTAAACCAAACCCTTATCCTCAATCAGACCCGACTCGGCTCAGGTGAACTTACAATTGGGAAATCGAGAGGATTGCGACGAGTGAGCTTTTCTTCCTCAGGAGCCATAGCCACAACTTGAAGCTGATTCCGATTGCGACGCGAAGAGCGGTGAACGGAAGAGAACCCAAAGACACGCGAGCGCGAGTCGGAGGAAATCCTCGTCTTTCCTAAAACATCGATCGATGGAGAAGGAAGCAACCTCGCTGAGCAAAGCGACGCCATGGACGGAGCTAAAATCGCTTATCCACCAACCAAGAATTATCGGGACAGCTTCTAAAAGAGTTTTATGGCTGCGTCTGCGTTTCGATAGTGGGCTTTTATTGGATTGGTCCATAAATAAATATTAAAGCTTAGACCAAATAAGCCCAAATAAATCCAAACTATGTATTTGTCAAATATTTTTCCATAACTAAAAAAATGAACATATCTTGCATACTATATAATAAACTTAAACCAACGAAAAAGTTGAATTCAAAATTAGAAACATGTGTTCATTGCCGAATTTACATAAACCTGTTTTAAAAAAAACTGTTGGTTAATTATGATTGAACTACATGTAATTAGTAAAAAAATATTCACAATAACGTTGTTAATCTATGTAAATACGAAAAAATAGTTATATACCATTATATACAAATTTTACCAACTCGCAGATTTTTATGATCATATACAAATTTCACCAACTCACAAAAAGGCAGCAAATATGGTAGTATTATATGAATTAAATTGAATCATACGTGCACCAAAAAAAATTGAGTCATTTAAGTTTAATATTTGATATATGAATTTTTATAGATCTGGAAATATTTTTTTTCAAAAACATACCATGATTATTTCTATTTCATTGAGTAAAATCAGTATTTTTGGAGCGTCTATTACTACAAATAAGCGCTCTGATTTGTAAATATTTTCGTTTTTAGCGTTCACTTTTTGGTACGTTTGATTTCTTTCCGATCTAGCTTCCTTGAATAAATAGTTTTACAAGTACTAACAAAATTATATTTATACCCTTTCTCTCATGTCATGCAATCATCTCAAAATTCATACCTCATATGCCATATGCTCATATCATAGATTCAAGGTACTTGGGAGAGAATGTGATTATTAAATAATTATTCTTCTATAAATGATCAAATTAAAATTATATAGACTACGTTTACAAAATGCTTTTCATTACAATTTTTTTTTTAAAAAAATTTAGCATATAGACTATGTTTTGCTTACTCGTTGAACAAATCTTACACATACTTATGAAAAAAAAAAAAAGTCAGATAAATTATGTTCATTTGATAACGACAAACACTATGACATTTTTTAAATTTATATCCTTATACAAAAAGTAATAATATAAATATGTGATCCGAATGATTTGTGTTGCTTATATATTCATAAAGCAAGCTGATAATATGATTTTTACCAACTCTATTAAATTTGGATAACTACATGGAGATATTGTGCAATGATAATCAATTTGCAACATACAACTTGAGAGGGTACATGGCTAATTGATAGTGGTGGCGTTGGTGGTGAAATCTTGTTTCATGTAATTAACTAATATACATAAATAAAATTGTGTCTAATGAATATTCATAAGTTCTCTCCGCTATAATTGGTGTGAATTAAATTAAAACTATATATTTTCTATTGAAATGTATTATATATGTCGAGTTGCATCAGCTTGATACTGGTTTATCTGCTTAATAGGAAAACAAATGAAATTTGGGCATAATCATAATCCTAATTTTTTTCTTAAAAACTAGGCTATTAGCCAGTAATAATAACGAATGTATATGACACTTAAGTTAGGAGGGAACTAGTAAAAACTTGAATTACGGCGTTGTGGTAAGCAAACATAACAAATTATCAAGTAGCTGTCCTATGCATTCTAACATCTTACATAGTTGGCAAAGGGAAACAATTCTAAAATCGTGTGCCAAGTTTTGATTTTATATGTATGTTTGCGTGAATATATATATATACTTACATATAATATGATTTGAATGTAGTAAAAGAACCATACATAATTATGGACCACCATTCAAAAAGGCTAAATTATTACCAACATATAATTTACGGCTCAAACTTAATGTTGGCACTTCTCACTTTATCTGAAGTCTTAAAAAAATGTATTTATCGAATTCCTAGAGCAGAATAACTATAGCACTAAGAAATCCAAGTTTTTTTTATTTCTTCTATTTCTTCAAACTATTATTATAACAAATTAACAAAATAAATTCAGATCTAAGTTTTGTTCGGATCAAAGTTTATCTTTTTTATAGTCTGCAAATTTCTGGAATACTGAAAATAATAGCGACATCCCATCTAAATATTTTTATGAAGCAGCGATAATTTCTTATATCTTCAACTTCAACCTTAATTTACTGAATCGCTAGATTATATGTTGGTAATATCTATTATTAGAACAAACCATAAATGAATACAACCCTAGTATATAGTTTTTAATTATGCTTAAATTAAGATAGGAAATTTCTATTACTAGAACAAACCATAAATGAATACAACCCTAGTATATAGTTTTTGACATACTTTTAAATTATGCTTAAATAAAGATAGGAAATTTCTATTACTAGAACAAAACATAAATGAATGATCCTTGTATTACTAAAACTTGTTTCTTAATTATTTATCTAGCTTTGGAAGATAAATAATTAACCATACATGTGATCTAGTTTTGGAAGAAAACAAAAGACTAAATTGATAATTATAAGAAAATAAGATAAAGAAAAAAGACATGCATCAAGATTTTTTTTTAAAAAAAGTCTCAAATAAAAATCTTAAGATATTTTTCTCAGTCCACAGATCACAATAAAATTTGACTTTAATTTCAATATAGTCAGTGACAAAAAGAGAAGCCAACATTTGCATTTAAGTAGTAAGATATTTTTAATTCGGAAAAGAGTAAAGAGGAGAAGATATTTTTCTTTACTCTTTTTGCTGCTACTATTCAAAGATAACACAAGATTTTACACATTGGAACAAATCAAATACATGTAATCAAACATTTGCATTACTATCCTTTTCAATACACTAGTAATATCGTAAACCAAGTTCGTGACTATTCAATATTCATACATAATAAGATTAAGAGACCACTTGTCTCTTGTAACAAACATATCCAGCTCTTTGATAACTGTTTTGTATAATGTGACGTTTTTCTCCATGAAATGAATACAACAAATTCTTATTTTCTTTTTTTTTTTTCCACCAAAATTATACCTATAGATCACATTGACTGACAATTAACGACTTAATAAAAAAATAAAAAAGTAATTAATAACAAGAGAATTATTACTTACCCATTTACCATTCCATTGCAAATATTTTTAATTTATTATTCTTTACCACTTCAAAATCTAAAAATTTATGTAAAATATATACTATCTCATAACAAATATTGCATTCAAACTAAAAAACATAACACAAAAAACCCAAATATAATATTTACATTATGTTCTTAAATCTTGAAAAACCATACGATGTTAGAGAAAATGACAAAAAATCAAAAATATCACTAAGAATAATAACTTTATCGTTAATAATTTCTTAATAACAATGCTATTGTGCAGAGAAACTTACTTTAATCATCGATTCAAACAAATATTATGCTTGACAATCACATTCTTGATTAAAAACTCCAAAATGCATACTATCATGAGTAATACCACTATAATACAAAGTATACTCCTTTCTTAATAAAATCAATAAAACAATATCAAAATACTATACAAAAATAGTTTTACCTAATATTTTATACCGTGTAAATTTTTTTTAAATATACCAGTGATACCACCACTAACACATCCATGTACAGTCTTTAATAATCAAGAAACATATATTATAAACTAAATTTACTCTATTGGAAAATAAAAAAAAATTATAACTTTTATTTTCTGTATACATCACTTAAAAAAAAAAAAAAGTGACGCAAACTCCAAAAAGAAAAAGTGAAGAAAAAATCCCATCCCATCACCATATATACCATAGGAGAAGGACACACAAACACACCAAACTAAGCGCGTGATAACACACGCGCACTGCAGCTGGCAACAGCCACTTTCCCTCTCATTCATCATTCTCTCCTTTAAAACATCTCTCTCCCTCCTCCTCCTCACTTAACTCTCTCAATCCTCACTTTTAACCTAAACCTATCAACAACAATGTCGTCTCCGGCGACTACTTATCTCTTCTTCTTCTTAACCATCCTCTCCTTCTCCTTCTTCTACATCTCCTCTTCTCTTCAACACTCCTCCACTGTTAATTCCTTAACCATCCCCTCCCCCTCCTCCACCGCCGTCGCCGCCGAGATCGAAGTAATTAACCCAAAGCTCCCGCCGCGGAGTCTCACTCTCACCACCTCGAAAAAATACGAAGGATCCTCCGATCTAATCCACCTCCGTTACCACATGGGACCTGTCCTCTCATCCTCACCAATCAACATCTACTTGATCTGGTACGGTCACTGGACACGTCCTCACAAATCCCTAATCAGAGACTTCCTCAACTCAATCTCCGACGATAAATCACCATCCCCTTCCGTATCCCAGTGGTGGCGCACAGCTTCACTCTACACTGACCAAACCGGAGCAAACGTATCCAGATCCGTTTTAATCGCCGGAGAATACTCCGATTCTAGTTACTCCCACGGTAACCACCTGACCCGTCTCACGATCCAAGACGTCATAGCCTCCGCCGCTAGATCAGCTTCTTTCCCTGTAGATCACAAAAACGGCATGTACTTGGTTCTGACGTCACACGACGTCACGATGCAAGACTTTTGCCGTGCAGTATGTGGATTTCATTATTTCACTTTCCCGTCCATGGTTGGTTACACTATGCCTTACGCTTGGGTTGGTCAGTCGGGGAAACAATGCCCCGAGGTTTGTGCTTACCCTTTCGCTTTGCCGGGGTATATGGGACACGGCGGACCTGGTGAGCTCCGGCCACCGAACGGGGAGACCGGAGTTGATGGGATGGTTAGTGTGATTGGTCATGAGTTAGCGGAAGTTGTTTCGAATCCTTTGATTAACGCTTGGTACGCCGGAGAAGATCCGACGGCGCCGACGGAGATTGGGGATTTGTGTGAAGGGTTGTATGGAAGCGGCGGAGGAGGAGGGTATATTGGTCAAGTGATGAGAGATAGAGAAGGGAAGACTTTTAATATGAATGGTAAAGGAGGAAGGAAGTTTTTGGTTCAATGGATTTGGAACCCTAATTTGAAAGCTTGCTCTGGTCCTAACTCTGTCGACTAAACAAGATGGTTAATGATGATGGTGATTAAGATTATGATGAAATAACTCGTTTCTTTAGTAAGAATTTTTTAGGTTAGTATTTTGTAGTAACATTTTTACTTTTTTTTATTCTATATATATATATATATATTTGTGTTATTATACTTTCTTGAATTTCACATTCACTTTTTTTTTTTATTTTGTTTATTTCATCACTTTGGGAAATGAAAAAGTTTGAATTCAAATTCTTGTAGATATTTGTTTCTCTGAATTATTTAATAATTCGGTGTTTCAATAAATGTAAGTGTACGATATCAGAAACTTTAGTTGGAGAGTATTTAAAGTGTTTATGGAAAAGACAAAATAATGTATTTTAAAAGGGTTGTTGGATTGAGAGAACTGAACTGACAAGATATGTGAGAAAAACGAATATTTGAAAAACTCTTACAAGATTCTTAATTAATCAATCATTTAGTTGTGTAATTAGATTTAGTTGTCGGATAATCTAGCAAGCAATAAGTTTAATTAATTAATCTTTAAATATGGACGGAGTATAATAGTGACACAATTTTTATTTCTTTTTTAGTATTTTGATACTAAATATTCCCTCCATTTTATAAATTAAGATTTTCTTTAAATTATAAGGTTTTTCAAGTTTCTATGCCAAGTATAGACTAATAAAAAAGTAAGTGTAGTGATGACAAAATAAACACAAGTTTAGTTAAATGGATTATTCAAATGTTTGTATAGTTTAAAAGCCTAAACTTTATCATTCTATTTGATACTAATAAATAAGAAAGCAGGTCAATTTGTTATTATTGCCTCTCCTAAGAAAATGGTATAGGGGACCAAGACTATATTATATGGACATTCGAACAATTTTGTTTTGCTATTTAATAATTTTGTTTTGTTTTTTAAGGTCTAATTCTAAATAAATAAATTCATGTGCCTTTTTACATGAATGTTTTTTTTCCTTTTAATATAAAAATTTGTTAAGGGCTTTTCATATAAATTAGATTGGACTCCCCTCCCATACATTTGTGAGGCTCTGCTTCTCTTACCAATCAAATATGTAAAATACTAAAGAACTATTTTGTTTTGCAATTGTAATAATACTAATAAAGGTGAAGGACAAAGACTTTGAAGACAGTTATGTGTTTGCTAGTGGTAAGAGACAATATTGAGAGAGTGTTTGTGAACAACAGCTAAGGAAAAGGACCCTCCATTTTGATTACCAAATGTCAATGGAAACTCCATTTATTACTTCAACCCTTTTTCATGTTTTTCACCTCGTTTTTAGCTAATCTATCTCATAATTTGTTGGTACGAATCATTGACATTTTTAGATAAATTGATTCGGGGCAACTCTCATGTTGAAATGTTTTTTTCTATATATATAATTATCATTCCATCTTAGCTAAAGGAGTTTTTGACTTACGCATGTAAGAAGTGGGACAAAGCGTGCGGATATGGTTTCATCCGTCCGGCTGCAGATGTCTATAATTTTGCATATGCAACTCTTACGAGGTGGGTTTTAATCCGATTAAACATTTTAAAGCTCATCATATATGATGGATTGTAGAATTAAATATTCACACGATAAATTTGTTTAAAAGGAGACACAAATTCCTTAACATTCTCGTTTGATAATTCGATTCAAAACTTTAATAGAAATCTCTTAAATAGAAATCTCTTGAAAAACAAGGTAGGTTTTTCTTAAGAACAATTGAAAAACTAGGGTTTTTTGTATTAATTCTCGGATCTTTTGCAGGCGTTCTAAGTAAATTTTTGTGTTCACAAGCCCATTTAACAGGTCTTATCCGAGATTCTCTCGGATTCCAAAATTACTTGGTTTGTCCTTGGTTTAAATCGGGTTATCGTGGGTGCTAATTTCTACGGCAAATTTTTTTTCTTTGCTTTGTTTTTTAATTTGATCTAACTATTTTCACAATTATAGAGGAAGAAGAGTAAAAAGAAAATGAATGGTTCTTCTATATCACAATTCGAACACATGCATGGGCTGATAAATGAAACGAATGGTTTTACTGTTTTCTTGTAATTCACTCCAAAATCTAGGTGCAAATACATATATTCACCACTAACTATTGGGCCTATTGACTGAATTTTTTTTTGCTTCTTGACCTGAACTGAGAAATAGGCCCAATAATTGTTTCTGACCCACTTCTTGAAGCTGGATCGTTTCTTCACAACGTATAGTTATGGAATTTCGTTAGAAAAATACACAAGAAAAAAAAAAAAAAAAAACAAGAATCAAGAATCTTCTTATTCTTCTTCTGTTTATACTATTTGTAGCACATCAACTTTTAATTTTAGTTCTTATAAATTGTTTCCACAGAAAAAATCATGATCCTTTGACCGAAGCATTACGCGTGAGAGATGGCTGCTCATGCTGTACATTAGTGTTCATATTGTATTAGTAGTAATGCGCATATGATTTGTTTGCAACTTAATTATCCTTAATTTTGTTTTTTATTTTAGGAATAATAACACTAACCTTAACTTGTGAAATATGATGCGTACACGTGCACGTTTGTTTTGTATGTATGTTGTTCTTTCTTTCTTTTTCCTTTCCTTTGTAGAAATTTTTGTGTGCATATTGTTCATTTAGAAAATATACTATACAGTAAAACCTCTATAAATTAATAATGTTGGGACTACAGAATTTTATTAATTTATAGTGATATTAATTTATCTATAAATTAATATTTATTATTTTATAGTGTAAATTAATAATTATTAATTTATAGTGGTATTTTAACTCTTAAAGTTTTTTGAAATTATGGATTGGGACAATTTTACAAAATAAGAATAGTCTTTAAATTATAAATTTTTTATAGTTTAGAATTGAATTCTATATTTATTAAAAACAATAACAATGAATTAAAATATTATAAATAAATTCACTTCTATACAAACTAAATACATAAATTCAAATTTATGATTAATACTTCAATTGTTATCTTTTACCATCCTATAAAACAAACAAAAAATAAATATGATGCATATTTATAAATAGAAAACATTAAAAAAGTTTTGGTTATTTTATGATGTTATGGAATATATTATAAGATTATAGTTTAAAAATATAACATAAATTTTTTTTTATAGAGATGAGGACTAGGAGAAATTTATTTTTAGAAAAAACTAAAAGCATATTATATATATATATATATATATATACATAGTGATTATTAATTTATGATATTATTGGGACTATATTTACATAGGGATTTCGAAAAAACTTATTATCTTATTATTTTATCGAATTTAGTTAACTTTTACATTGGCCCGACTTGGGACCAACAAAATTTATTAATTTATAGTGTTTATTAATTTATACAGTATTAATTTATAGAGGTTTTACTGTACATCTAAATTGCTCTATATCACTCTTTATGGTAGGTGAATGTAAACTTGAGAATTGGATCAATCCACACAAAATGGTTGTTAATTTTTAAAAGAGTTAAAACTCTTTACGACTTAAATTTGAATTACAAAATTTAGATCTAAGTTGAACGATGACTCTACAAAAAAATTCTAAATCCAAAGACTAATCTCTTGGGACCGGGGAAAACTATATTAAATTTTGAACCCCTAGAACCAATGCTACTCGAACCCAAACAACAAAATTTACTTCCTTTTACCATTGGACCAAGACGACTTGGTTCTATAACATATACATCAAACCTTTCTATCTCAAACTTTTGATCAAATAGTAAAGAAGAAAACATTATTATGAGATGAAAGGCTTTAGACACACACAAAAATCAGTGCCTCAAGTTTTCACAATCACATCAAAACCAACGAAACCACTCCAAACGGCAACATTACTACGTCCATGAACTTTTGACAAATACTGTATATTTGTTTTGTCTTATTTATTCGTATGCAACCGAACCGACATATTCAGTCTTTCGAGTCATGATCTTATGAATTTTACCAAAACATGCCGTGAAAGACAATATTCTAGATTAACAATATTATTGTTTTTCCATGAAAAAAGCTATTCATCTATTATTAAAATTCGAAAATTTACCATCTTTCATTTTTGATATCTATATAAAGAAAATAAATTGAATATCATATAACAATATTGGAAGAGCTAATAATTGATTTTACATCATCAAACCATATTGTTGTTGACTATTATTTCAACAAAATGAATATCTTCTTAAATATATGTATATATAATTTCACAATTTAGAACTATATATTATAAAACAAGAAAAATTTAATATAATAATATTATATGAAATCTTTTTTTTTGTCGCCAATATTATATGAAATCTTGAGTAGGTTAAAAGGGGAAAAATAAACTAAATTTCAAAGAGATAGTGACCTTGTTGAAAAGTAAAAACAAAGTTTCAAACACATAGATAATTTGATTTTTTTTTTTCTCATTATTTTGTAAGTCTCATCATGGAAACATTTTTCTTTAGAGTTGACTTATAAGACCTCCTCAATACTAAAATAAAACCATCTCTTTCTTCCTCAAATCCTAGCACCACCTCATCACCATTCTTTTTCAAAGACTTAGTCGTCTCTCTCATCTATCAGTGCCCATGATAACAAGTAACAAACAAACTCACCACAAAATTCTTTTAACAATAAATAAACTTGTCAGAGAAGAAATTTCCTCGAATTGACAGAAGAAGAAGAAGAAGAAGAAAAAAAAGTTTATCTTTTTCTTTCTAATCATTCACACCCAATTCAAACGATACTTGTCCGACGATCTCTATCCAATCTCTTTTTCCCATCAATATTGTATTCGTTTCCTTGTAAAGTACTCTGTTTTCGCTTCACACGCCATTTTTTTTTCTTTCTTTGACTTCCATTAAAACCATGCCTGACAAAGAATTGTATTTGATTGTTTAAGACAGCTTGTATTTGTTTTTGAAAGAGGGGTTTGGCTTTAAATTTTTTTCTTTTGTTGGGATGGGACTTTGTTGGGGATCTTTATCTGATTCTCCTCCTACAACAACAACACCTTCCTCTACTGGTAACATCAGTTCAGGTTTGTTCTCTCAATCTACTGAATTTTTCCCATCTGGGTTTGGCTTAAACTTGTGTCGTACGTTGTGATTTACCTGCAAAAACTAGTGTAGTTTTTGATAGATGCCTAAAGGTTACGTTTTTACATCTCTTTGTATGGTTTTAGCCTTGGTTAATTGGATTGAGACTCTTCTTTTGGTGTTATCTCATATGGGTTCTCTTAAAGTTTCGACCTTTGATTAAAAAGACGGTGTTTTTTGTTTGTGGTCTGTTATGTGACTCTGTGTTTTGAGCTTGACTAGGTTTTTCCTATGGTTCTAATTGAAAGCAGGGACTTTTAAGTCATCAAACAACACGACGACTACAGGAGCATCAAGGGGAAGTAACATCTCTAGCAATAGTGGGTTCTCTGTGGCAAGTGGTGAAGATGCTTATCCTGAGGGTCAGATACTTCCCATTCCGAATTTGAGGATATTTACCTTAGCAGAACTTAGAGCTGCAACAAGGAATTTCAAGACTGAGAATGTTCTTGGAGAGGGAGGATTTGGGAAAGTCTTCAAAGGCTGGCTTGAAGACAAGACGTCTGGGAAACAAAGCAATGTTGGAACCGTGATTGCTGTTAAGAAACTCAATGCCGAAAGCTTCCAAGGATTCGAGGAATGGCAAGTGAGTAGAATCAGCTTATCGAATGAATCATGGGATAGTAGTTTTCTTTGATATGCAATGTGGAGGTTTTTTTTGTTTACTGGATGGATTCTTACTTGGTTTTTGCGCAGTGTGAGGTAAATTTTCTTGGAAGGGTCTCTCATCCGAACCTTGTGAAACTATTGGGATACTGCTTGGAAGGTGAAGAGTTGCTTCTTGTGTATGAGTATATGCAGAAAGGGAGTTTAGAGAATCATCTCTTTCGAAGTACGAACTTTCTTTTATCAGAATCCTTCTTATACTCATCTAAATCGGATGATCCCCCAATCATCATGGTTTGAAATTGCTTAATTTTCATTTACTTTTCCAGAGGGGTCGTCTGTTCAGCCGCTCACATGGGATATAAGGCTTAAGATCGCAATAGGAGCAGCTAAAGGATTAGCATTCTTGCATGCTTCAGAGAAGCAAGTAATTTATAGAGACTTCAAAGCTTCAAATATTCTACTTGATGGGGTACGTATATAAGGATTGCTTATGGATTTGATGTAGCAAATCATCAAGCATGGTATTCAACTAGTTTGTTCTTGATGCAGTCATTTAACGCAAAGATATCAGATTTTGGATTGGCGAAATTAGGTCCTTCCGCGAGTCAATCTCACATCACAACACGGGTTATGGGTACACAGGGCTACGCAGCTCCAGAGTATGTTGCTACAGGTATTACAATTTTTTTGTCTTCTTGGTTCTTTTGGTTTTCATCACAACACAGGGTTATCTGAACATCTTGGTTGGTTCTAACAGGTCACTTGTATGTAAAGAGTGATGTTTACGGGTTTGGCGTTGTTTTGGCTGAGATCTTAACTAGTTTACATGCGCTTGATCCTACTCGTCCTTCCGGGCAACACAATCTAACGGAATGGATCAAGCCTCATCTATCTGAAAGAAGAAAACTAAGGAGCATAATGGACCCTCGTCTAGAAGGAAAGTACCCTTTTAAATCCGCTTTCCGAGTCGCTCAACTTGCTCTGAAATGCCTTGGACCCGAACCCAAGGACCGTCCATCGATGAAAGAAGTGGTGGAATCTCTCGAACTCATTGAAGCTGCTAATGAGAAACCGTTGGAACGAAGGACTACTAAAACTCCCCCATCCGTCCGTCAACAACAAGGCCATTATCGTCCGCAACACCTCTCTTCATTTCGTCCTAGGCATACCATGGCTCGAGCTCGCTAGTGTTGTTTTGAAAGACACGAGATTCTTTTTTTTTTAATCAGAACCCATTCGTATGTATTACTACTACATGGAATACCCAACATAGAGAAAACATAACATATGTTGTACCTGTATTAGTGTGTAATGTTTGCTGTGTAATATAAAAGCCATTTTTCACAAACTCTGCTGTGAAAGCTTCAAACTTTAAAGTGTAGTTTGGAGTATGGTAATGGGATCACACCTGTGTTCAAAGCTAGAAGCTTTCTCTTCAAAGATTAAACAAGCTTCCGTTAATGGAAGATGGCGGGAAGTGGTCACTGGGTATTTAGAGATACAGCGAGCTGGAGTTCAATGTAACGATCCTTTTGTTTTCCCCATCGTTTTTAAAGCTTGTGGTAAGCTCTCATGGCTGTTTCAAGGTAGATGCATCCAAGCGAGTCTGTTAAAGAGAGGCTTTGAGTCTTTTGCTTCTGTGGGGAACTCAGTTGCTGATTTCTACATGAAATGTGGAGACTTGTGTTCTGCGATACGAGAATTTGATTGTATGACGTCGAGAGATTTGGTTTCTTGGAATGTTATTGTTTTTGGGCTTCTCGATCATGGTTTTGAAGAAGAAGGGTTATGGTGGTTTTCGAAGTCGAGAGTTTGGGGTTGTGAGCCTAATGTATCAACATTGGTTTTTGTGATTCACGCGTGTCGTAGCTTACGATCGTATGTCGATGGAGAGAAGATTCATAGTTACATGATCCGTAGTGGGTTTTGTGGGATTTCGTCTGTTCAAAATTCGATCTTGTGTATGTATTCGGAGTGTGATCTTTCAAGCGCACGTAGACTGTTCGATGAAATGTCTGAGAGAGACGTTATTTCATGGAGTGTGGTAATCAGAAGTTATGTGCAAAGCCAGGAACCTGTGCTGGGATTGAAGTTGTTTAAAGAGATGGTTAGTGAGGCGAAAACAGAGCCTGATTGTGTAACTATGACAAGTGTTCTCAAGGCTTGTGCGGTTTTGGAGGATCTTGATGTGGGAAGATCAGTTCATGGATTCTCGATACGGAAAGGTCTTGATTTGGTAGATGTGTTTGTGCGCAATTCACTCATTGATATGTATTCCAAAGGATTTGATGTTGATTCAGCATTTAGAGTATTTGATGAGACCACTTGTCGAAACATTGTTTCATGGAATTCGATTTTGGCTGGGTTTGTACATAACCAAAGGTGCGATGAGGCTCTTGAGATGTTTCGTTTGATGGGAAAAGAGGCGACTGAAGCAGATGAAATTACTCTTGTGATGCTTCTCCAGGTTTGCAAGTTCTTTGAGCAGCCATTGCCTTGCAAGTCAATACATTGCGTGATAATCCGGCATGGATATGAGTCCAATGAGGTGGCTTTGAGTTCTTTGATTGATGCATATACAAGCTGCAGTCTTGTTGATGATGCAGGAACCGTGCTTGATTCAATGACATACAAGGATGTGGTGTCATGCAGCACAATGATCTCTGGATTTGCCCATTCTGGCCAACCGGATGAAGCAATTTCAATCTTCTGTCAGATGAGGGAGAAGCCCAATGCAATCACCGTCATAAGTCTTCTTAGCGCATGCTCAGTATCTGCAGATTTGAGAAAATCCAAATGGGCTCATGGGATTGCTATCCGGAGAGGTTTAGCCATCAATGACATTTCAGTTAATACCTCCATTGTTGACGCATACGCAAAATGTGGTGCCATAGAACTGGCGAGAAGGGCATTCGATCAAATGCCTTTGAAAAACGTTGTCTCTTGGACAGTGATCATATCTGCATACGCCATTAACGGTTTACCAGATAAAGCATTAGCATTGTTCGAGGAAATGAAACGACAAGGTAACACACCAAACGCTGTGACATATCTGGCAGCTTTATCAGCGTGTAATCATGGAGGATTGGTAAAGAAAGGTCTCATGATATTCAAATCAATGGTAGAAAATGATCACAAACCTTTGTTGCAACACTACTCTTGCATTGTGGACATGCTTAGCCGAGCTGGAGAGATTGATACAGCCATGGAATTAATCAAGAAACTTCCGGAAGACGTTAAAGCCGGGGCTAGTACTTGGGGAGCGATTCTTAGCGGTTGCAGAAACCGTTTGAAAAATGGAACCATTACCTCAGAGGTAGTAGCTGAGATTCTTGAACTCTCACCCTTGTGTTCTTCAGGGTATTTGCTTGCATCAAGCGTGTTTGCTGCAGAGAAATCGTGGGATGATGTAGCCATGATGAGGAGGTTGGTGAAGGAGAGAAAGGTTCGAGTCGTTGCGGGTTATAGCATGGTTCTTGAAGGAAGCATAGCTAGGAGGTTTTTGGCTGGAGACACGTTAAGCCTGAGTGATTCTGAACTAAACGATGTCGTTCTGAGTCTTCATAGATGCATGAGGTTAGAGTTAGACGATACAATAGATAAGGTAACATAGGCCCAATGGGCCTTAGTGAAGAAGACAAAATGGTAGTATATGACGGCATGACGCCTTACGTCTTTGTGGATCCGGGTGACCTGACTCGAGTGAATCCGACCCGACCCGGTTCGAGTCGATTCATTTTCTGAAGCAGAAGTCTTTTGTTTCGTTCTCGTCGTATCTGCTGAGTTATATCCTTTTCCTCAAGAAATCTACCGAACCGTCTTAGAGCTTTGAGTCTTCTCAATCGTCGTTGAAATTTTCTAGGGTTAGGGCTCCTGATCGATTTCGCGAGCTCTGCGGTTTGTTAAACTATAGGATCCGAAATTAGAAATGGGTGGAGAGGGAGATTCGAGTCAGCCGCAGACTGGTGAAGGAGGAGCTGTGACTGTGAACATCAGGTGCTCGAATGGTTCGAAATTTAGTGTGAATACGAGTCTTGATTCGACGGTGGAGTCTTTCAAAGAGTTGGTGGCTCAGAGCAGCGATGTACCAGCCAATCAACAGCGCTTGATTTATAAAGGTCGGATCCTCAAGGACGATCAGACGCTCCTCAGCTATGGTAATTTTCTGACTATTCATGTTGGGTGTTTCTCTTCTTCTGTGGATCTAATTGATTGAAATCTCATAGGGTTGCTTGGTTGGAAAGATAAAATTGGATTTATGTTAAGGTTTTTGTTATGGTGATACTAATTGCAGAAGAATGGTAGATAATGTCTCCACCTAGCTGTGGTGTTGCTAATGGAAATGCTAGTGATACAATAAATGATACATACAATTTTGTATTTGTTTATGAAGTAAACGGGAAACAGATGTTCTCAAGATTCTATGCATTTTCTTCTGCAATGACTGCGAATCTCGTTGACGGATTTTTACCTGGATAGTATGTCTAGTACCTGTTACATTGATGATTGATGGAAAGTGAATTAATTGTCATACTGTAATCTCATTTCATTGGATAGTTTTCCAAGTATTATTGTTTTGCATCACGAGCATTAATGTTTCTATTCTCTGTGGACCATTTTATATCTAGGTTTGCAGGCTGATCATACTATTCATATGGTTCGAGGCTCTGCACCTTCTTCAGCACCACCTTCTGCTCCCGCTGGAAACCAAACCACTGCACCGAGTGTTACTAGAGGGGTGGGTTCAGAAAATAGCTCGAATCTAGGAGGAGCGAATCCTGGGGAATCTTTGTTCCCTGGGCTTGGATTCAATCCTTTGGGTAGTGGAAATGCTATGTCTGGGTTATTTGGAGCTGGTCTTCCGGATCTTGAACAGGCACAGCAACAACTAGCTCAAAACCCCGCCATGATTAGAGATATGATGAATACACCAGCCATTCAGAATCTAATGAACAACCCAGAATTTATGAGGAATATGATTATGAGTAATCCTCAAATGCGTGAGCTTGTAGATCGCAATCCTGAGCTTGGTCATGTGCTCAATGACCCAAGCATCCTTCGACAAACTTTAGAGGCGGCGAGAAATCCAGAGCTTATGCGTGAAATGATGCGGAATACAGATAGGGCTATGAGTAATATTGAGTCTATGCCTGAGGGATTTAACATGCTTAGGCGTATGTATGAAAATGTCCAAGAACCATTCTTGAATGCTACTACTATGTCGGGAAATGCTGGAAGCAATACAGGCTCTAATCCGTTTGCTGCTCTCCTGGGAAACCAGGGGGTTACTACTCAAGGAAGTGATGCTTCTAATAACTCTTCAACACCAAATGCTGAAACAGGGACAGGGAATAGTATTCCGAATGCAAATCCACTTCCTAATCCTTGGGGTGCTGCGGGTGGTACGTAACTGCATTCTCATCTTCTTAATTTCCTGTGGAATTTTACTCGTCTCTTGAAGCATGCAAATTATAATAGTAAAAGTGGCTTTTACATATATAAGAAACTGGATGTTTCTGTTACCACACTGGTTCAGGAACAATATTGTTTATACTAAATTGGTGAGTTCATGTAGTTCTCGCAATTTGTTGTTGAGTAGTTTGTGTAGGAATAATCTTTGGCTGCTCTTTCTAGTTAAACTTTTACTCGCAATGTACTAAACATTGTTGAACATATTGTGGGGGCTACTTGATAGGCCAGACCACTGCCCCTGGAAGGACAAATTCTGGTGGGGATGCGAGAAGCCCTGGTCTAGGTGGTCTTGGTGGTCTTGGCGGCCTTGGTGGTCTTGGTGGTCTTGGAATGCTTGGAGCGGATTCGCCTCTTGGTGCCACTCCAGATGCTTCTCAATTGAACCAGCTATTGCAAAACCCAGCCATGTCGCAGATGATGCAAAGCATACTTTCCAATCCACAATACATGAATCAGGTAGCGCCTAGAATAATCTTAACCTCCTACACTTTTGCTGTTGTGAACATGTCTTTGATGTTTTCTTTTGATTCCAGCTTATGAATCTCAACCCACAACTCCGAAGCATGCTAGATTCAAATCCTCAGTTGAGGGAAATGATGCAGAACCCAGATTTCCTTCGTCAGTTTAGCTCTCCGGAGATGATGCAGGTCAGTTGGTCCTCTAATGTTTTTATGCATGTGAATTTAACATATGCTCTCTCTCCATCGCTAAGCTATTTTTCAAGTCATGAAGTTTCTTAAACCTGATGTTTGTATTGATTTTTGGTTCCCAGCAAATGATGACTCTACAGCAATCACTTATGTCTCAGAATAGGAACACGACCAGCCAGTAAGTTTGGTTACCCTGTGCTGTTTTGTTTTAAAAACTTTGTTGAGGATTTATATGACTATTATATATTTTTAATTGTACTTTACATTGTTTCGTATTTAGACAATAGTGTAACTAGCTAAACAAACAGTTCTATTGGTGGTGAAAGATCTCTATATCAAGTAAGAAAAGGATTCAATCATGTGTAACGCAGCAACTCTTGAATGATTTATTGGGCTGATCATTAGTAACTTCTATAATTTGTTTTTGGTTCTGCATTTTTAACATAATATATTAATGTGTTGATTGATCTCCGTGTCTTGACTTTCATTAATCCGTATTCATGTTCTCAAACTTTTCTTCTCTGTAGGGATCCGGGGCAAACTGGTGCTGCCACAGGTACTCTTACAGATATTATTTGTATATGAAGTATAAGGGCGTTAGTTATGCCACTTAGAATAGTAGATACTTTTTTTTGCTACTCCTTGCTTTCATGATTGTTTTATTTTGGCACATATATTGCTATCATACATCATCTGTAGCTTACTGAGTAAATGATTACGGTAGGGACAGGCAACAATGCTGGGATTGATTTATTGATGAATATGTTTGGTGGTCTTGGTGCTGGCGGCCTGAGTGGCACTAACCAACCCAATGGTTTGATTTTCTTAGGACTACCTTTTTTTTAATCTTACGTATCTGTTGAGATGGTTTCACTGATACTCGTCTGTTTGATTCCAGTTCCACCTGAGGAGCGTTTTGCTACACAGTTGCAACAGTTGCAGGAAATGGGATTCTACGACAGAGCAGAGAACATAAGGGCATTGCTTGCAACCAATGGTAACGTTAACGCTGCTGTAGAACGACTCTTAGGGAGTATTGGTCAGTAGCACACAGGTTCGTGAACTGAGGTTTCTCCATCTTGCTTCTCAGTTATAGAATAAACAGCTAGGTCGAATGTGTTTTTCAGTAATAATATATACTTACGCAATTCTTATATATGATAGGGTGGTGAACTTGTGGATAGAAAAGCCATTTGTTTTCAGTGGTCATCTTCTTCTTCGTCTTTAACCATCCCCCCGAAACCTTTTCATATAATTTGGGTCGTTGTTGTCTTCCAGAATTTATTTGAAGTTGTTACAACATACATCTGTAAGAGTTGGTCTCAGAATGTGGAATGGTTACATATACGTTATCGTATATCAATTTGTTTATAGATGAGTATTGTAACGTTCATATGTGTTTTATCGCCAGAGATCTCCAAGAGGTTTCGATATATAGTTTGGGATTAGAAAAGTGCGTGGTGTCCACGTGCTGCTCTGATGGCATCAAAGTGAAACCGAACCGAGGAATTAATTATAGATATATTGGTTATTTGGTTCCTTCCAGAAATTAGAATAGAAATCATCAAATCCGGTTGAAATTTCAAACCAAATTGCATAACCAAACCCAATGCTTGATGGATCTTTGGTTAATTTCAGTTGAACGTTAAGTTTCAATTCAATCCTCCGGGGTTTAAGGTTTGATCCGATCCAAACCGACCCGGTACGATCCAATCTCTCAAGCGCAAGGTTTTTTTTTCTTGTCTCATTTAATTGGCCAACAAAATAAGTCCTTCTCTCTCTCTCTCTTTAATTCAGCAGTCTCATTTTTGTTATTCGACCAAAAAGTTTAGTTATATCCCTTTCCTCAAGAAATCTACAAAAACCGACTTAATAGCTTTCGAGTCTCTCCTTCGTCTTCATTGAATTTTTCTAGGGTTAGAGCTTTTTGAGTCTCTCGATCGATTTCGCGAGCTCTGCGATTTTATTGAACTAGGATCTGAAAACAAGAAATGGGTGGAGATGCAGATTCGAGTCAGCCGCTGACTGCTGAAGGAGGAGCCGGAGGAGAAGCTGTCGCCGTCAACGTCAGGTGCTCGAATGGCACGAAATTTAGTGTTACGACGAGCCTCGATTCGACGGTCGAGTCTTTCAAAGAGTTGATTGCGCAGAACAGCGATGTGCCAGCTAATCAGCAGCGATTGATTTATAAAGGTCGGATCCTCAAGGACGATCAGACGCTCCTCAGCTATGGTAACTCATCGTCTTCTCTGATTTCGGGATTTTACTATTGTTATGTGGATTGCAATGCTAGGATAGCTTGGCTGGAAAGATAAAATTTGGATTTATGCAAGGGTTTTTGTGGGGGCGTGATACTCATTGCAGAAGCATGGATGATTTTATGTTTCTCTCTCGATGTGAATTGTGTTATATGCTCAATTCTGCTATGGGAAGAATATGGAGATTTAGTTACTGGTTAAAGTGTTAATGATCCATACAACTTTTAGGGTTTCTAATGTTCTTACGGATTGGTTTATCCTCTTGGCATGTATATTAATTGGCTGTTATATATTACATTGTTGTTCATAACATTGATATGGTTGTGTTAGAAAGTTTCCAGGTTTTATTGTTTTGCATCATCAGTCTTATTTCTGTGGACCATTTTATATATAGGTTTGCAGGCTGATCACACCGTTCATATGGTTAGAGGCTTTGTACCTTCTTCAGCACCTCCTTCTGCTCCCGCTGCAAACGCTGGAAACCAAACCACTGCTCCAGCTGTTGGTTCAAATAATAGCTCTAATCTTGGAGGAACGAGTCCTGGGGAATCTTTGTTCCCTGGGCTTGGATTTAATCCTTTGGGTGGGGGAAATGCTATGGCTGGATTATTTGGTTCTGGTCTTCCGGATCTTGAGCAGGCACAGCAACAACTAGCTCAAAACCCTAACATGATGAGAGATATGATGAATACACCAGCCTTCCAGAATATAATGAATAACCCAGAATTTATGAGGAGTATGATTATGAATAACCCTCAAATGCGTGAGCTTGTAGATCGCAATCCTGAGCTTGGTCATGTGCTCAATGACCCAAGCATCCTTCGCCAAACTTTAGAGGCTGCGAGAAACCCTGAGCTTATGCGTGAAATGATGCGGAATACCGATAGGGCGATGAGTAACATTGAGTCTATGCCTGAGGGATTTAATATGCTTAGGCGCATGTATGAAAACGTCCAGGAACCATTAATGAATGCTACTACTATGTCTGGTAATGCTGGAAGCAATACAGGCTCTAATCCATTTGCTGCTCTTCTGGGAAACCAGGGGGTCGCTACACAAGGAAGTGATGCTACTAATAATTCTTCAACACCGAATGCTGAAACCGGTACAGGGAATAGTATTCCAAATGCAAATCCACTTCCTAATCCTTGGGGTTCTACGGCTGGTATGAAACTGCTTTCTCATCCTCCTATTTTAATATGGTATTTACTAAACGTTTAAGGATGCTATATTCTTTTATAACAGCAATAGTGGCTTGTTTATAAGAAATGGTAGTTTATGTTTACCATAACTGGCTCATGAAATTGTCTATTATAAAAATTGGTGAATTCATGTAGTTCTCACAGTTCGTTTATCTGATTAGTATGTGTATTGAATAAGTTTGCTGATTGCTTCATGTTGAACCTTTCTTCGAAATGCGCTAAACATTTAAGAACATATTGTGGGGCAACTTGACAGGCCAGACAACTGCCTCTGGAAGGACAAATTCTGGTGGGGACGCAAGAAGTCCTGGACTTGGTGGTCTTGGTGGCCTTGGTGGTCTTGGTGGACTTGGTGGATTCGGAGGCCTCGGTATGCTTGGAGCGGATTCACCTCTAGGTGCGACTCCAGATGCTTCTCAATTGAACCAAATACTGCAAAACCCAGCTATGTCGCAGATGATGCAAAGCGTACTTTCCAACCCACAATACATGAATCAGGTAGCGCCTAAGATAATCTGAGTTTAAGACATTTTTGGTATTGTGAATGTGTTCTTAATGTATTCCCTTGATTCCAGCTTATGAGTCTCAACCCCCAACTCCGAAGCATGCTAGATTCAAATCCTCAGTTGAGGGAAATGATGCAGAACCCTGAGTTCCTTCGCCAGTTTAGCTCTCCAGAGATGATGCAGGTCAGTTGGGCCCATGTTGTCTTTATGCATGTGAATTTTATAACATGTGGTCTCTCCAAAGAAATAATTTTGTATCTCCAAGTAATAAAATTATTTTAACCTAATGTTTTGAAATTTTTTTCTGTCTTTTTCAGCAAATGATGACTCTACAGCAATCACTTTTCTCTCAAAATAGGACCACGGCCGGCCAGTAAGTTTTAATACCCTCTTTCTGTTTTCTTTAGTTGAGTACTTAAGGTTATATATATATCATAATTAGATTTTGGTTTGAACTGTGTTTAGAAAATAGTGTGACGAGCTAAATAGATAATTCTAGCGGTGGTGAACTATCTTTAAGTAAGCAATGGATTGATACATTAGAAATGCAGCAACTCTTGTGGTTTTTACTGGGAAGATCATTAGTAACCTCTTTCAAGGGTTGTTATATAACATATGATATCAATGTGTTGATCTTTGTATCTTGATTTCCATCTACCTCTATTCATGTTTCCAATCATCTTCTTTGTAGGGATCCGGGTCAAACTGGTGCTGCGACAGGTACTTGTTAAAATATTATCTGTAGTTGAAGTATAAAGGCTATAGTTATTAAAGTAGTATACTAGTTGCTCCGTTTGTTCTATTTTACCATACTTTTATGGTATATTTGCACGTCTCTTATTGAGTAAATCACTAATTCACTTATATGGAAATATTTACAGGGACGGCCAATAATGGGGGGATGGATTTTTTGATGAATATGTTTGGAAGTCTTGGTGCTGGCGGCTTGAGTGGCACAAACCAACCAAACGGTTAGATTCACTGGGACTATACTTTATTTTCTTATGTATCTGTTGAGATGATTTTACTGAGACACGTCTGTTTGATTCCAGTTCCACCTGAGGAGCGTTTTGCTACACAGTTGCAACAGTTGCAGGAAATGGGATTCTACGACAGAGCAGAGAACATAAGGGCATTGATTGCAACCAATGGTGACGTTAACGCTGCTGTAGAACGACTCTTGGGGGGTATTGGCCAGTAGAGCACAGGTTCGTCAACTGAGGTCTCTCTATCTCGGTAATAGAATAAACAGCTTGAATGAAATCTATAGAATCCTTATAATTACATTTATGATAGGAGCGTGAACTTGTGGATAGAAAAAGCCGCGCATCGAATACGGTATTTGTTTTCAGTGCTCAGTCAAAGCTTCTTCCTGCCTCTTTTTTACCCAATTGCCAACCCAAAACCTTCCTTTTTATCTTTTTTTACATATTTTGGATCGTCTGTTACTGTTTCAGATTCTATTTGAAGTTGTTACAACGTACATCTGTAGAAGTTGGTTTCGGTATGTGAAATGGATAGTACATTTACGTTATCTTATCTCTCCCATTATCTTATAAATGTTTTCGTTGTAACGTTGATAAATCTGTGATAGAGAGATCTCAAAGACCTTAATTTCTTTTTTAACCAATTAGATTGTTTGAGAGAGCAAAAATATGTTAAGTCCGAAAAAATAGGGACATGTAACAAAAAAAAAAAAAAAAAAAAAAACTATTCGACAAGTAACTGTTAAAGTAAAACCGTAAAGGCGACTCTCCACAAATGAAAACTAAACCTCTTCTATAAACCAATCACAACTCCCACTCTTTGATTTTTTTTTTCTTTTCTTCCCCTGTTTTGTTCTTCCTACTTGTTCGTTCTCTCTTAAGCCATAAGAATGGCGAACACTTCAAACTCCGATCCAAGTTTCGATATCCCATTTGCTTCCTCCAATGTAACCCTCCCGAGTAACAGTCAGAACCCAAGAAGAAAACGTACTAAACTCACCAACAACGAAACCGGATCTTCTTCTTCTCCTGCAAGGCCTAAACCGGTCAAGAAACCGCTGGACCCTAACGCTCCTCCACAAATCGCAAGACCATGTACTGAATGTGGTAAACAATTCGGGTCACTGAAGGCACTCTTTGGTCACATGAGATGTCACCCTGAACGTCAGTGGCGTGGTATCATCCCTCCTCCTGACCACAAACGTGTCTCTAACGCAACCGCCGCTTCAAGCAGTTTGAATCTTGTTTCCGAGGAAGAGATAGCCTCTTACTTGCTATTGTTGGCTAATGGTGCTGTCACGACCGGTACAAGTGGTGTTGAGGGACGGTTCCAGTGTGGTGGCTGTAAGAAAGTGTTTGGATCACATCAAGCGTTAGGCGGACATAGAGCAACACATAAACACGTGAAAGGATGTTTCGCCATTACAAACTCAACTGAAGATCCTTCTCCTCCTCCTCCTCCTCCTCCTCCTCCTCCTCCTCAAGAGATCGTTGATCAAGACAAAGGTAAGAGTATCAAGTTGGTCTCAGGGATGATTCATCGATGTAACATCTGTTTCAGAGTCTTCTCGAGTGGTCAAGCGTTAGGTGGTCACATGAGATGCCACTGGGAGAAAGATCAGGAAGAGAACCAAGTCAGTGCGATCGATCTTAATGTTCCTGCAGCCACATCTCCAGACACATCCATAGGTTGTTCTTTAGATCTTAGGTTAGGTCTTTGATCATATATAATAAACATATGTGTTTTTGGTTTTTCTTCTCTAATTATAATAACTCTCTCCCTCTCTCTCTGTATATGTGTGATGGATTTGTATTATGAACTTATAGGATTGGGTATTGTATTCTATATAAACTATTTAATTGATGAAATTCACAAAAGGGTTTTCTAATAAATGAAATCCATTTCTTGAATCTTCTTTATTTCTCTATGTAAAAATTGTATATTGTTATATATGATCACACTAGAGATGAAATCACAAAAGAAGAAACAGGTTCAACTTTGTTTATGAATCTTAGTTCAGAAAACACACACAAGATGCTTCAATCAGAAACAAACCAAAGTATATAGTTCAACAAATAAACTCTTCTTCCCTAACCATGTTGTTTCAACGAAGCAAATCTCTCAGCTATATGATTTGCCACTCAGGGTGCAAGTTGTTGAGGTTGACTCGAAGATGATGCCTCCTCCTCTTGTGGCTTTGGCATTTCAGAAGATGGAACCTGCTGCAAAAGCACAAAAAGATTGGCTTTATTGCAAAACAAATCATGAAGAAAAAGTTAACAGTTACTGCAGCATCCTTACTTCATTTTTAGCTTGCAAGGCTTCAAGCATTGAAAAAACATCTTTTGGGATGAAACTTGCGTCATCATTGTCACATTTCAAACATTCAGAGGCGAGTGTTAAGACTATGGTAGCTTCTTGTTTAGAATACTCTCCCTTTAGATTTGGATCAATCAGCTCAGTAATACTCTTTCCATTGATCAACTCAGAAGCCTTAAACACATGAGAATAACAACAAACTCAGTCATAAGTAGCAAGAAATTCACAATATAATGATTAGAATCACAATGTCATCAAGTGAGAAAGCAAGAGACTACATTGAACAGAATCACTTACTTGGCTTGGAGAAATTTGCATTCCAGTTAGAAGATTCACAAGGATAACACCAAATCTGTATGGCACATTCCCAGTTTCAACATTTCCTACAGTGAGAATATAACATAAACATCACATTCTGATATAAAATGGAATGTAGAGATCACAAAGCTCGCTAACCGATTACCTTCTTCTCTTCGGTTATAACTGATGATCGCCCTTACTAAACCGAAACTCGAAAGACAGGCCTCACCATTCTGCACCACATCAATTTCAAGCAATGAAACACAGTTTAGTTAGTATCCTTGAAAGATCACACGAGAGAAGACATAGGCATGTATAACAAATGTAGTGTTGACATACCATATCAAAAAGAACAGAGTTAGCAGTTAGATTATCGTATGAGTAACAACGTGCAGTTTTGCAGTAATCCAATACTTCGGCTATATGACACGCCACTCGAACCCTCATTGACCATTCCATGTCTTTCTCTGTGAATCACACAACAACCAAACAAACAACTTCAAAAAACAGAGTATATACTACTAACAAGTTCTGTTTCAACCGTTCCTACGAGCAAATACACTTATACAGATCTATTCACTACTCTAGTCTTGAAAAGTTTCCATCTTTTAAGAACCTAAAGCACAATCATGTCACATAAACCAAAAAAGGCAGCTTCTTTAACCTAATGTTTAATGTGAATGACACAAGAGAAGGAACATTACGATGGAACAAACGCTTAGCGAGAGTATCATTAGGCATGAGCTCTGAAACAAGAAGCCTTTCTCCTTCATCTTCATGGAAGCAATATCCCAACAACTTGACGAGTCTCTTGTGCTTTAGCTCCCCAATTCTTTTTGCACTTACCTGAAGAAAGATCAAAGAAACAGAATCGAAACCCATCAAAACAGATCCAATGAAACGTTCCCATAGGCGTGCGTTCAAAGGTAAAGAGAAGAGTACCATTAAGTAGTCAGGATCATCCCAAGGCGTGTTCTTGAATTTCTTGATAGCGACGAAGCCAAGATTCTCTGATAAAATACCCTTGTAGACGACATTGGAAGATTCTTCGTGAGATCGGAGAGGAAGAACACTGTGAAAGGCCACTTGGAGAATCCTTCCTTCTTGATTTGTTCGTTCTTGCGTTCGTCGTTCTGAGTCTGTGGCTCTTCCGGGGCTGGATCGTACTCCAGAGGCGTCGAGGTGCAACAACCACCCATGGTTTCGTGTTCGCCGGAAAAAACAGAGTATTCAAAGCGTTCTTTGCAAGAGAAACAGAGTGAGAGAGATGAAGAGAGAGAGAGACCGTTGCGTTGGGTTTATGATTATGATTCAACCTTTTATAACAGAGTCTCACTAAAATCTTTTTTTTTTTTTTGAGAAGTTTGCATTGCATTGTGGTGGTGACACGTGGATTTGCAAAGGTCTAATGATATTTTGTTTTGTTTATTAGACTTGTGTTTTGTTTGTATTTATTTGTATTTTACAATGTTCAACGTTTTACATTGGCACTAGCACCAAACTTTACCAAGTAAAATCATAAGTCACATATATAATCATATGCTTTATTGGAATTTATACAATTTTAGACAAGTGATTATGAAACTCTTAGAAACAATTGTAGTAGTCCCAAGATTTAACATAAACTCAAGATTCTTATTCTCTTAACCTATGTTGCTATAGATCTCTCTGCTTCGAGTCTCGAGAAGAGTTTGATTTGTTGACTCTATTAGAAGATTCAGTGTTCAAGTTCAACACACTGTATGCTACTCCAACCTCATGCTGCTTTGCTAGTTCAAGCATTTGAATATATGGAATCTGCATGCAAGCAAAAAAGATGGGTTTCAGAACATAGAATGAGGATAAATGTGATTACAGTTACAGTAAAGCTTCCTAATTACTTGTGTTTTAGATTGCAAGGCTTTTAAGTGTTGCAACAAGCTCTTTTGTGATGAGACTCTTTCTAGCTTCGCACTGCAAACATTCAGCGGCGAGTTTCAAAACTGTGGCAGCTTCTTCTTTAGAATACTTTCCCTTCAGACTCGGATCCATCAGCTCAGTTACATGCTTTCCGTTTATCATCTCAGGAACCTATAATACAACTAATCTAATCAGCTTCTACATGTGGCTTGTGTTGCAAGTAACTGGCAATGACAGATTCTCTAACAATGATGAGTAAAGCTACTAAAAAAGCAAGAGAGGACTTGGAACATAATCACTTACATGGCTTGGAGGAGTTTGCCTTCCAGTTAACAGATTCACAAGGATAGTACCAAATCTATATGTCACACTTTTAGTGTTCACTTTTTCTACAAATGAGAATATAAACATCACATTCTGATTTATGAATAATCTGAAGAGAACAGCGCGAATTCGATTACCTCTTGCTCGCTGACTTCGATCATATCTTATCGCTTTTATCAAGCCGAAACTTGAAAGACAAGCATCACCATCCTTCAACATATCCATTTACGCAATGTAAAATAAAGTTTAGCATCCTTACATAAGTAAGAAGCTATAGGCATGAAAGTGTTGTTTACTATGTACCTTATCAAACAGAACCGAGTGAGCACTTAAGTTACTGTATGATACAAAACCTTCACTATTGCAATACTCCAATGTTTCTGCTATATGAAACGCCACTCGCAACCTCATTGACCACTCCATGGCTTGACTTTTCTCTGTGACATCACACCCATCAATGTCAAAATATAACTAACAAATGCTTGCAGACTCATTAACCTCAGACACACCAAATTCTAACACATACGATGGAACAAACGATGAGCAAGAGTATCATTAGGCATGAAATCTGAAACAAGAAGCCTTTCATCTTCATCGCAGCAATATCCAAACAGATTCACGAGTCTCTTGTGCTTTATCTCCCCAAGTGATTTTGCGTCTTCCTGAAGAAACAGAACCAAACCCATCAAAAAGAGATCATCAACCATCTCGAAATTTATAAGCTTTTTTTGTAGGAAACTACCGCAAACTCTTCATGATCAGGCCAATCTGAATTCTTGAATCTCTTGACAGCAACGAAGCCAAGATTCTCTGACAAAAGACCCTTGTAGACAACATTGGAAGAGTCTTGTGCCTTCTCTGATATGATCTCCTCGGAACTGAAGTTCTTGGTCGCTGTGTTAAGATCGGAGAGTAAGAACTCTGTGAAAGGCCAGTCACAGAATCCGTCGTTTGGTTGTTCATTCTCGAGCGGTGTAGAGAAGCAACAACCACCCATGCTTTCGTTTTCGCCGGCAAATTAGTGCAGAGTACCTAAAACGTTTTTTGCAAGAAAGAGAGGGAGAGAGAGAGATGAAGAGAGACAGTTGCGTTTATGATAATGATAAAACTATATTAACAGACACTAATGATCTAAACTCATCAAGGTTTAGAATTTTGCATTGCATTTAGTGACTATTGATTTTGGTAATAATTTAAAATTGGGTCTAATTTGTTAATAACTTAATATAATTCTTCTACAATAATATTCAACGTTTCTAACTTTTTAATGACTTCATATGGTTTCTATTGAAATTGTTGTTTTTGAAATTATATCTTTTGGATTTCTCTTTTTGTATAAAATGTTCGTGTTGTATTGTGTGCATAGTGTGACAAAAAAAATGTTCAACATATGGTTTTCTATTGTGCATGCAACAAAATAAACTTGTTGACGTTGTTATAAAACACACAAACCAACAATATGCCAAAACTATATAGCTCACTAACATTTATCCTAAAGAAGCTCTACAAGTTCAAGATTCTTATGATCCCTAAACCATGTTGATGATTTGAGAAGAGTTCCTACGTTTGAAGATTCAGTGATCAAGTTGTTGCTGCTGACTCGAAGATGATGCCTCCTCATGCTGCTTTGTTACTTGAGGCATTTTAGAAGATGGAACCTGCAACCAAAAAGATCGGTTTTATATAACATGAATGCTAAAAACCATGAAGAAATACAATTACTGTTACAGTTAATAATCCTTACTTCGTTCTTAGCTTGCAAGGCTTCAAGTGTTGCAACAACCTCTTCAGTAATGAGACTCTTTCTATCAGTCCACTGCAAACATTCAGAGGCGAGATTTAAAATCACTGCAGCTTCTTCTTTAGAGAACTTCCCCTTCAGATTTGGATCCATCACGTCCGTAACATCCTTCCCATTTATCATCTCAGGAACCTATAGAACACATGAGAATGTATAACAACTCAGTAACTATGTTGGCTTGTGTTGCAAGAAATTGACAAATTGCAGAGAATCAAGAGAGGATTTGAACAGAATCACTTACATGACTTGGAGGAGTTTCCATTCCAGTTAACAGGTTCACAAGTATGGTACCAAATCTGTATGTTACACTCTCAGTGTGAACACTTCCTACAATGACAATACAAACATCACATTTCTGATATGAACCATCTACAGAGATAAGTTCAAATTGAGTTACCTGTTGTTCTCTTATCATAAGCAATGACCTCTCTCACTAAACCGAAACAGGAAAGACATGCATCATCATCCTTCAACATATCCATCAAGCAATTTAGTATCCTTAGATCACATGAGAGAAAGGCACTTAAGCACTTAAGCATGAAAACGTTGATTTATATACCTTATCAAACAGAACAGTGTAAGCACTTAGACCATCCTCAATGCTGATCCTTAAGCTGGTCCTTAAGCTAATTTTGATTAAAATTTAATACATAATTCAACAAAATTTATAAGGTACGTACCTTATATAAGTTCAAAAACTGGAAGTAAAGGCATAAGATCCACTTTTAAGGATTATGCATTGAGGATGCTCTTAAGTTATCGTACTTAGCAAGACCTGCACTATTGCAATATTCCAATGCTTCAGCTATATGATACGCCACTCGCAACCTCATTGACCATTCCATGTTCTTCTCTGTGAATTACAACAGTACAAGAACATAAAAAACAGAGAATACTAAAGCAGGTACATTTATACATGCTACTCATAAAAAGTTTCCATCTTTAAGAATCTAAAGCACAATCATGTCACATAAACCAAACAATGCAGCCTCTTTAACATCAGATTCACAAAAGAAGAGATGAAGAGAAGGAGGAATCATACGATGGAACAAACGGTGAGCAAGAGTATCATTAGGCATGAACTCTGCAACAAGAAGCCTTTCATCTTCATGGGAGCAATATCCCAACAACTTGACGAGTCTCTTGTGCTTTAGCTCCCCAGCTTCTGATGCCTCTTCCTGTAAAAAAGAACGAAGAAACAGAATCCAACCCATAAAAACAGAGCAATGCTTTTAGAGCAAACGTTAAATGTGTTTTCTTGAAGTGTACCTCCATGTCATCATGATCAGGCCAAGGCTTATTCTTGAATCTTTTGACAGCGACGAAGCCAAGATTGTCTTGTAAAATACCCTTGTAGACGACATTGGAAGAGTCTTCTGATATGATCACTTCAGAGCTGAAGTTCTTGGTCACCGTCGTGATATCGGAGAAGAAGAACTCTGTGAATGGCCAGTTGATGAATCCTTCGTTCTTGACTTCCTCCTCCTTTTTGCCTTCATCGTTCTTGCGTTCGTCGTGCTCGTGCTCGTGCTCGTGCTCGAGAGGCGTCGAGGTTTCAAATTATTGCAAAAAGGATGATTGAGCTTGATTTCTTGAGCTTTCAAATAAATTGTTCATTCAATTAATAACTAATGACAAATTCGCTTTTGCCTCGGAGTTTTAGCACTAGATCAGATCGTTTGATATCACATAACTTGATATATCACACACGACGATCAATAATACTGATAATCTTTAATTAGAGCATCATTATTTGTAGTATCTTAGCGTAAGATACCACCCGATAACCGTGGTCTAAATGTAGTCCAAATGAAGATTACATTATTGTTTCCTATAAAGCAACATGTAGTAGGCTCTACCGCACTCGAACCATAAAAATAAGAATTCCAAAAATACAAAAAGAAATAGAGAGAAAGAGAAAGAGGTCGTGCACAATTTATATAAACTTTTTTTTATGGTATATGATATTTTGTGATTTACACGAGGATTCAACTATTTGTGTTTGATATAATTATATTTTTTTTAAGGATATGAAGAGTAATTAAAGAGTTTTAATGACCTTTGGTTTGGTCATGTGTCCCGGACGCGGCTAATGGAGAGAATCGAATGATACGACTCCCCAAATCATTGAGAGCCGTTTTACTCATTTACGTTAAAAAGCTTAATTAACCCTGACTCTTTGGAGATTATGTATGATTGATATCGACGTTCATATGGTTGAGTGATGAACCTAGCTAAGATGGTATGGATATAAGTTTAACCACTAAATATGGCTGAGTGATAAACCTAGCTAAGATGCGTTACTTGCATCGTTTGCTCAGTTTTGTTTTAGTCACTTAATGACAACAGAAAAAGATAGAGTTAGTTCAATTTGGCTTTTTCTCTTTTATTGCAAATTCAGATAAATGTGTAACATTGGGATGTTCACAAGTCACAACCTGTCTTAGTTAGCACCCAACATATAAGTTCACCAGAATAGTTGTCTTAGCAAAAACTGTTTTATAAACTTGTAAAGGAACCTATTCAATACGAAAGACATGTCTTGCTCCGACCGATTCATTCATTTGAGACAGCCTAGTTCTAAGTTTCTAACCAATGAAAGATTGAGCCGAATAAAACAAAGTACCGACGAAAAATATAAACAAAGTAGGCATACGTAATCACCACAAATGATTAACAATATTAATCTAATAGTACTATCATTAATATAAACACTATTACACTAATTAACTAATAATCTAGGGGCAACAAATTGAGCAGGAGAAACCACCAACCACACGATTAAGAAGAACATCTTTTTTTATCATCTTCAGCTCCTTCTGTGATCTTTCTTGCAGAAGTAAAGATTGATTTGTTTACTTCTTTTTTCTTTCTTTCTAATATGAGGTACGGACAAAAGTGATTAGAACAGTGGATGCTCTTATCACGGGTCCACTTGTCTTCCTAGAATCTTCAAAGCCTCCCCATATCATACATAATCATCGATCACATGGTTTTGAGAGATTAAAATTAGTCTAATCATCATTGCCTACTTGTGTCCGGAACAAGAAAAAAAAACCATTCTACAGAGAGAGAAGCTTTGTGATAAGCACTTTCACAGGTTTCTTCTTTTCTTTGTTTTTATTTATATATATATATATTCCAAGATTTGGTTTTCCTTAATGCTTATTATTTATGTGGTCATGGGTGTTTTGTTTATGAAGATACAGAGAGACCCAACAACTTCTTTTTTAAGTTTTTACACAGACCAAAACCAAATCTGTGTTTCTTCTTCTCTCAGTATTTTTTTTTGTATTGGTGCTTTCTTCTAAGAGTTCTTGGGTTTTGGTTATAAACCTAAAGTGAAGCCTTTTATGTCTCTCTGTGGAACAAATCTTGATAAAGTTAGTAACTTTTTGTGAAATTTTAACTAAAATTATTTAAAGTTTCTTTCTTTTTGGGTGTTTTCAATCTGAAATCTTACACTTTCATTGACAATCAGATTTGCATTATTTATATGCTAGTAATCTTCATTTGGATTGTTTGTTAAACGAGCTTCATTGATTACCCTCTTTGAGATTTCCATGTCCGTAGGGGAGGATCTTGTACTTGGAATTGATGGCACTCTACTTTGATTGATACCATTTTAAGTCAACTCTCTCCATTGAAAGCGAAGCTGCTTATATAAATGAGTTTTATACTATGATTTTAACCTTCGGAAAAAGCTCATATAATATTGAAATTTGGGATAACAACAGTTTGATTCTTTCTCTTCTCTTGTTCTTTGGTTGGGTCTTTGATTATGTTTTTGTAACTTTTTTTTTTCAGATTGGGTTTTGACATTACAAAGGAGAGGACTTTGTCTTGTGTCTATTCATCTTTAAGACGCTTATCCTTGTCTAGTTCATGAAGAAGAAGAGCTAAGCACAGTCTCTGAGTACTTGTGGATTTGGTAGTATCTGTTGGATGCTGAGATTGAAAGAATAAAAAAAAAAAAAAAAGGAATCTTTAGATATGGAAGATGATGCTGGTGGCGATGGGGGAGAAGGAAATGGTGGGTTTTCACCTAACTCTAGCTTTGGGGCATTCCCTGACACGGCCATGGATTTGGATTTTATGGATGAGCTTTTGTTTGATGGATGTTGGCTAGAGACAACAGATAGTAAGAGCTTGAAGCAGACAGAGCAATCTGGTTCAGCTTCTACTGCTATGAATGACAATAGCACTTTCCTCTGCTTTGGTGAGAACCCATCCCAAGATAATTTCTCTCATGAAGAAACAGAGAACAACAAATCAATGAATCAAGAACCTTTTGACCAGGCTGAAAAGTTTCTCCTCGAAGAAGCTGAGGTGGGAAAAAGTTGGTGGATTGCTCCAAGAGCAAGTGAAGGCGCTTCTTCATCTGTGAAGGAGAGACTATTACAAGCTATTAGCGGTCTTAATGAGGCGGTGCAAGATAAGGACTTCCTGGTACAGATATGGGTGCCAATTCAGCAGGAAGGAAAGAGCTTTCTGACCACTTGGGCTCAGCCACATTTATTCAACCAAGAATACTCCAGCCTTGCAGAATACAGACATGTTTCAGAGACTTATAATTTCCCTGCTGATGAGGGTCTGAACGATTTTGTGGGTCTTCCGGGTCGTGTTTTCTTGCAGAAGTTGCCTGAGTGGACTCCTGATGTGCGTTTCTTTAGAAGAGATGAATATCCACGCATTAAAGAAGCTCAGAAGTGTGATGTTCGTGGGTCACTTGCCCTTCCTGTGTTTGAAAGAGGTAGTGGGACTTGTTTGGGTGTTGTTGAGATCGTCACAACAACTCAGAAGATGAATTACCGGCAAGAACTTGAGAAGATGTGTAAAGCTCTTGAGGTTTCTCTCTTCCTCTTGGTTTTTGCCTCCACCTCAAATTATGTAGATCCTGGAAACCTTACCACATATGTCTAGACCGATATATACAACCATTAAACCTTAAGCTTGAATATCTCTTTCACTGGACGAGTTTCTGTTTCCTCCTTAATCCAATTTCTCGCATTTTGTTTTTGTGCTCTTTACCGTCCAGCAGCAGAATCTTCAGTTAAATTCTTCATATGTTTGGACTGTGATTTTTCTGCTTCTATCTTTTAGCATCCATGTCCCTTCCTGTCAATCTTTTAGTCATAGTTTTCCTTTCTTAAGTCTATGTGACGGTAGTGAGAAGTTTCGTTTGTTTCACACAACAGTCTAAAGACTAAAGACATTGCTATTTTTGCAGGCTGTTGATCTAAGGAGTTCAAGTAACTTGAACACTCCAAGCTCTGAGGTGCATTAACTGGACTCTTAGTTCATTCAGCACCTAGAAACAACGATATGCATTGCTAAGGTCATACCTCGTGTTTCAGTTTCTGCAGGTCTATAGTGATTTCTACTGTGCTGCATTACCTGAAATAAAAGATTTCTTGGCCACAGTCTGCAGATTATATGATTTGCCTCTAGCATTGTCATGGGCCCCGTGCGCACCACAAGGGAAACATGGCTCCCGTCATTCTGATGATAACTTCTCTCAGTGTGTTTCAACAACCGATTCTGCATGCTCTGTCCTCGATGAACAGAGCAAAAGTTTTTGGGAGGCATGCTCTGAACACCATCTACTCCAGGGGGAAGGCATTGTTGGGAAAGCATTCAAGGCCACCAAACTGTTTTTTGTGCCAGAAGTGACCACATTTAGCAAGACTAACTACCCTCTTGCACACCATGCCAAGATATCTGGACTACATGCTGCTTTAGCAGTCCCATTAAAGAGCAAATCTGGTTTAGTAGAGTTTGTGTTGGAATTTTTCTTTCCAAAAGCCTGCCTTGACACGGAGGCGCAACAGGAAATGCTCAAGTCACTATCTGTGACGCTGCAGCAAAATTTCAGGAGTTCAAATCTTGTCATTGACAAAGATCTAGAGTTAGAAGTCGTATTGCCTGTTAGAGAGACAATGCTCTTCTCAGAAAACCCACAAAGTGGAGCAGAAACCACAGAGACTTTGACTGAGATTGAAATGCAAGAATCCTCATGGATCTCCCACATGATAAAGGCAAACGAGAAGGGTAAAGGTGTATCACTCTCTTGGGAGTACCAGAAAGAAGATCCTAAAGAGCTCTCATCTGGCCGGGAGAACACTCTAATTGATCCAAGCCCCAATAATGTTCCTTTAGAAGCCGAGCAACTTCAGCAAGCATCAACTTCAGGACTCAGAGTTGACAGCGGTCCAAGTACTAAATCACCTTCGACTGGTGGGGGAAATATGTTAGGCAGTAGGAGACCTGGGGATAAAAGAAGAACAAAAACAGAAAAGACCATTGGCTTAGAGGTTCTTCGACAACACTTTGCTGGAAGCCTCAAGGATGCAGCCAAGAGCATTGGTGGTAAGAAATTGTTGTACACTGCTGGAGAGATAGCTCCACTCTTTATGAATTTTGATTCTTTTTGTGTATCTTGGGAAAAGCATAACCAATACCTTCCTTTAGTCCACCCCAAAACATCCCAAAATATTGAATATGTAAAAAAAAAATACAAGCTTGAGGATATGTGAAATTCCATAGCTAGTATAAACACACTAGTCTCAGATGAATCCGGAAGTGTCATACATTCGATTTACATGGCAGTGGATCAGCATGTTCTACAACGATTTCATCATGCCTATTAATCCTTCTCTCAAACAGTGATGTGACAAGGTTTCGTTTTTATGTTGCAGTTTGCCCAACTACCTTGAAAAGGATATGCAGGCAGCACGGAATAATGCGATGGCCCTCCCGGAAAATCAAGAAGGTTGGGCATTCGTTGAAGAAACTCCAGCTTGTTATGGACTCTGTTCAAGGTGCGGAGGGCTCTATCCAACTAGATTCATTCTATACAAGCTTCCCAGAATTGAACTCCCCAAATATGTCCAGTAATGTCCCTTCCTTGAAGAGTAATGAACAGTCAAGTCATTTGAAAGCTCAAAGCGAAAACGATATGGCTGAGGAAAACACAGCACCAAGGTCACCATCATCTTCTTGCAGTAAGAGCTCTGGTTCAAGCAACAATAATGAGAACACTGCAAACGTTCTAGTTTCTGAGGATGCTAATGCAGCCTTAGAGAGAGATCATAGCGAAGCGGAATTGCATCAAGTGAATCAGGAGGAAACAAAATTTCCTGCTAGAACCCAGAGCCATAATACATTCAATGAGCCTCCTGTTCTTGAAACTTCACCTTTGATACCAGGTAGTAGCAACAAGAGCTTAAGAGGAGGTGCCATAAAAGTGAAAGCAACATTTGGTGAGGCCAGAATACGGTTTACCTTGCTCCCGAGTTCTGGCTTCCGAGAGCTGCAGCAAGATATTGCTCGGCGTTTCAACATAGATGACATTTCCTTGTTTGATCTTAAGTACCTGGATGATGATGAGGAGTGGGTTCTTCTGACCTGTGAAGCGGATCTTGAGGAATGTATCGACATATATCGATTAACACAGACCCAAACAATTAGAATAAGTCTGAACGAAGCTTTTCAAGTCAAGCTGGGTGGTTCTTTTGGCAGCACTGGTCCTTCCTGATGACCAATCAAAGAAGGTTGCAACTGCAAAGCACCAGAAAGACTCTACTGATTTTTAGCTTTTGTAGAAATCTCACTTACCTTTTCCGCCTGGGAATCCTGTGTAAAAACTAAACATATATCCAGCGCCCTGAATACCATTTTGGAAGTGGCAATAGTAACTGGTCTCCTGTATCGCCCCTGCAGATTTTTGTAGATAAGGCGATGCATTTCCAGAAACTTGTATTTTATGCCTGTACAATCATTTTTTATCCTGCTTCTTAAGTTTTGCAAGACTGAAACTACGGCAATTGAAATATTCTGTGTTTTCACTTATTTATATTTGGGACATGTCTGTACAGGAATCTAATCCCTGATTGCATTGATGTACAAGGAACATGAGGAGAATGTGCCAGAATACTAGAACATCCATTTCATTATATTGATTATGATATTAAACACTTCAACTGATCTGGTAAAAGAGGAAAAGTCAGTCTGTATGTCTATGGTTAAGAAGAGTTCTACTTCCAATAAACCAGCAAACACTTCATATCACTACGAACTCCTATTGTTCCCAAACCAGAAAATGTGCAGACTAAAAGAACAAGAATAGGCTTACATTTCCAAGTCGGCTTCAAATTCATTATTAAAAGCAGGCAGCTCTTTTCCCTATTTTCTCCACTAGCTTGTTCTTGCCACTTATGTATGCTCGCCAAAATCATCTGTTCCCTGACTTCAGATGCACCCCATGAAGTTATGTTTCCTTTCAAAACCCTTGGGAACGTCTTTCTTATAAGCATATCTGTTCCCAACCATGTCATCTGGTCTGCTTCTACCAGCTTAGCTGCAAAGACAGAAAGAAGAATGTGAAGGTCCAACTCTAAAATAGAATGTATTCATAAACATTATCAGTGATGATACTTTTACCACAGTTTTATTTAGCTTCGTTAGAGATCTCTCAAACTGTACATCACAAGCTACTATAATAAGGTATTAGACAGGAGCATGGAGAATGATGAAAAGAGTTGGTCCATGATGCGTATTCAATTG